TTTAAATACAATAGAATATACCCATTTTATCTGCGTAGTTCAGTGAGGTTTTTTTATAGAACTGGGATTCAAACTCAGGACTTAACGCTTGTTAGGCAGGTACCCTACCACTTGAGCCATTCCACCAGCTCCTTTTTCTTGTCTGTTCCTCCCACCCCAGGCAGAAAGGGACAGGCCACCCAAGCACCAAGGGGCCTGCAGGCAAGAAGGTGCTGCCCTTCAGCCTCCCCATACCTTCACCTGCACAGATGCTTGCAACTGAAGCCCTGTGGGATGGAGGGTTGCAGTCAGGTTCAGGCTGACTGACCTCACTGACCTAAGGTCAAATCCCACTCTGGGTTGAAATCCCCCATCTTTGCATGATGGCAAAACAATTCAGTTAAAAAAAAAAAAAAAAAGCCTAGATACTGATTTCCACTTACTAGGATGGCCACACCAATGATAGAGAATCACAGGTGCTGGCAAGTATGTGCAGAGACTGGAACTCTCATACACTGCTGGTGGAGATGCAAAATGGTGCAGCTGTTGTGTAAATTCCTTTAAAGTTAACCACAGGGCTGGGGGTGTAGCTCAGAATTACCATATGACCCAACACTTCCAACTCGTAGGTATTTACCTAAAAAAGAACTGAAAACAAGGATGTGAACAAAGGCTTGCACATGAATGTCTGAGTGTCCAAATGTGGAAACCCACCCAGCGTTCATCGCTGGTGAATGGGTGGACAAGCTATTCATGCATACAAGAGAATGTGCAGCTCGGATGAGTCTTGGGAAGTCATGCTAAGTTAGAGTAGCCAGGCCCAAAGGGATAATTACTGTGGATTCTACTTAAGTGAACTATCTAGAATAGGCGATTCATAGTGACGGATGGAAGATTGGAGGTAGAGGGGCCCTGGGGGGAGGGGGAGTGGCAGCAGTTAGAGCCCAGCCCAGCCCCAGGTAGACCAGGGTGCAGAGGGAGCAGGAGGCCTACCAGAGGCACTGGGCACCCACCAGCACCTCCCTCCTGGGGTAGGGAAGAAGGGCCTGGAGCTGGAGCTGGAAAGAGGCAAGGCTCTGCAGGGACTTGAACCCTGGCCCAGCAGTGTGGGCGTGCCACCACCAGCGCCTTTTGCTTTTTCTTGCTCACATTCTCACAGACGGAAAGGTGAAAAGCAAAACCTGATCGCGGCCATGAGCCGCGGTCAGTAAAAGAAACACCTGCGGCGGCTCCATGCCTCCTCCCCTCCCGGGCTCACTCCTGCCTGCACGGATACCCTTCCAATGATGTGACCAGGGGGACTTGTCCCCAAGCCTCATGGCCCATGTTCCCCGCCACACCAGATGCAGATCCCAGCTGAGAAGCTTGAAGTCAGACCAGCAAACTGAACTACTTGTCCTGGGATGGTGTCAGTTGTGACAAGTTTTTTTTTTTTTTTTCTTTTATGTGACAAGTTTTTGTACCTTTGTTAGGACTTGGATTTCTAACTATGAGGATCACTAATAATTAAAGGCATAAATCTTTTCATTAGAATAGGAAACCTAAGAACTAGAGGGAACTTCCAGTGCTCGGTCTTTCTCGACTGCAGGTGGTCCTCCAGATCTGCTGGGCCCTGGCCACCTGAGTCACACAAACATGCCCACCTGCCTTCCATCCTCTGAACTCTTGGCCATCATCAGTTGTGGAGTCCTTCCTGGAAACAGCCATCATTTGAAAACGATGCCAGAAGCACTGTCCCCATCAGCTCTCTCTGATGGACTCTGACCTGGAGTCTGAGTTCTGGGGAGGATGGGTCCAAATCACCAGGGCTCCAGAGTCAAGAGGTACGCGAGGCCAACCCTGGACCCTTGGTGACCCTGCCAGTCTGCTGCCCAAACACCCATTGCTGCAGCCTGGGTTCTGTCTCTCTTAGGCCCATGGCAAGTCCACATACCATCCAGTGAGTCTTATAGTCCTTGTCGTGGGTGGAGGTTCCCTAGGTCTCCTCCTATGAGTCCGGAAGAACTCCGAATCTTGTCCCCAGAACACACAAGATGAGCATTTGAAACCTTGAGGGCTGTAACCTGCCCAGGGGCATCCAGAAGGTCGGGCCAGGCTGAGAAGTGGCTTCTCTACTCATTCCCAGCACAGGAGTTCAGTCAGCCCCTTCATACACACACACACACACACACACACATGCACGCACGCACGCATGCACACACACGCACGCACGCACACACTCGTTACCTCCATCCTAGCCCTTGTCTGTTGCCCCTCCATCCTCACAGCCTCCCTTCAGCTTCACCCCTCACACCCCACAAAGAGTAGACACTTACTTACAGCAGCAGAGAGGAAATGGTACGGCCATCTAAGTCCCAACCTGACGACAAAGTCACAAAGCCCAGGCTTTACAAGCCCTCGGAAATGGGGGAGTCAAAACACACTCTGTAAGATGAGCAAAGGATTAATTCAACATGTTAAGTGACAGATCCTCAGGTATGCACTGCAGGAACCCCACGAGGGATCTACACAGGGCATCGCACTGGCTGGAAGGTGAGTGTTAAAAATGGCTTCCAGGAACCACCACACTTCAGTCTGTGAGCCAGGTCCGGCAGGAAACAACAGTCTTCACAACAGTCCCTTGGAGCCCTCCAGAGGGCATACGGCAGAGAGCAAGGGGACCCAACACATTCCCTTCCCTTTGGCCCTAGGGGTCACATCATGAATCCTCACAGTGGCCATGAGGCCCCCAGCCCTGCCTGCCCTGCCTTGCACTCTTCCGGCTTCAGCTCAGAGGCTGGGTTTAGGCCCTTCCTTCTCCATAAAATTGCTTTTCCTTCAGGTGAGAGCTTAAGGCATCTCTTTGTGCAGAGGGCTTTGTTCTCACTCACTGCACAGCACTCTTTTGTAGCTGTTAGGCAACTGCCAGCATTCATTCCTGTTTTGTGTCATCTGTGAAGCCTGGGCCCCTTGAGAACAGGGGGGAGAGATGGGGAGTCACCTTGTCTGCCTGCATCCTCTGGCAGGAGCTGTCTGGCTAGGGAGGACGTTGATGGAGTGACCATTCAAAGTTGAAACTGTGCACCGAGGCAGCAGACCTTTCTCTGTTTCCCTTTGCTGGATGTGCTACTTGTTTGTGAAGCCTTTGGGCAGCCTCACCCATTCCCACTGCTTAGTGGCTCCTGTCACATCCTCAGAGACACTTTGCCTGGGCCACAGAGCAGAGCAAGACCCCTGTGCCAGTCTCCACTACTGACCCTTGCTTCTCCATTGTGACAAGTGTGCAGGCCTGGATATGACAGATCAAATGTGCAGTGTAACAAAATGAAATCTAAGGAGAGCATGAGGGAAGAATGAATGAAACTGAAGCAGAACCAAGTTACTAACTGAAAACAGGGCTGCTTGTTTTATCTAAAGCTGCTTCTCTGAAAAGGCCAAGAACACAGATGTCTTGACTGTCTATTCAAGAAAAAGAACAATCAGAAATAAAAAAAAAAGAAAAGAAAAAGTGGGCACCAGTGGCTCACACCTGTAATCTTAGCAACTCAGGAAGCAGAGATCCGAAGAATCACGGTTCGAAGCCAGCTCAGGAAAATAGTTCTAGAGACCCTATCTCAAAAACATCCATCACAAAAAAAAAAGAAAAAAAAAGGCTGGTGGAGTGGCTCAAGGTGTAGGCCCCGAGTTCAAGCCCCAAGTACCGAAACAAAACTATTCTTAAGGACGATGTTAAAAAATAAAAGACAATCTACATTAATACACATGAAAAGTCAATTTTCTTGGAACATAAAACTTTGAAAAATTGACTTTTGATGGCATAGAAATACTGAAGCTGGGCATGACTGTGCACCCCTGTAATTCCAGCACTCAGGAAGCTGAGGCAGGAGGATTGAAAGTTCAAGGTCAGCCTGCGCTATACAGAGAGACCCTGTCTACATTGAGTATCACCATAACCCTGGGAGAACATGGAAAAGCTTTCAGAGAACCATAGCGCCTCCACAAAGGAGTGCCAGCCCTGGCTGGTGTCAGAGGACAATGCAGCTGTGCAGCCTGCAGAATACAGGAAGGCTGGGGACTTGATTAATACATTGCCTGTCACAAAGGGACAGAGGCAGCAGCTCTCCCTGCTCTCCCCTGCCACAGTGCCTGCACTGCACTCCTCTTTCCAGCTTCACACAGATGATGCAATACCTTATAACACTGTTTCCACCCGCTTCATTATGGAGGAGACACTTCGAGAGATTAAAAAATGCAGATGGGCCCAGGCATGACCTACAGGCGAGATACTCGGAAGGCTGAGGCAGGAGGATCACTTGAGCCCAGGAGACCAGGCTGGGAAACATAGAAGAAGAAAGAAGAATTTAAGACATCTGGCCAAAGTTATGTGCTACTTAGTGACAAAAGGAGTAGAAACGAAGTCTCCAACTCAAAACTGTGCTCACACAGCCTCTCCTGACGTCCTGATCACAGACCTGTCTGACAGTGTCCTGAAGTCCAAGTGAACCTCTTGTCATTCCTGTGTCATGCCTGGAATCAGAAATCCCATGGCTTAATGTCCTGTTAGTATTAATGGAACCATTAATAGTTTTTTTTTTGTTTGGTTTGTTTTGTTTTGTTTTTCTTTTTGTAAACTGGAGCAACTTTTTTTTGATGTTGTTTTTGGTAGTACTGGGGCTTGAACTCTGGGCCTCATGCTGTAGTTTTTAATAAAACTAAAATCAGATGATGAGAAGAGGAAAGCCTGAAGCTCATTTCAAAAGATGCAGAAAAGGCATTTGAATAAATCCATTATTTCCACAATTTTTAAAACCAAATCAGAAACTTCTGAGCCATCTAGGAAATGAATTGACAGCCTGGGCCAGGATCCAGCACGAATAAAGGCACCAGGGGCACTTCTCATCCATTCCTATTTAAGGACTGCCCCCTTTTCTCTGCCTCTGATACCTGTGGTGTCACTGGTGACACTCCACCAAGCCTTCACTACAACACCTTGAGATTGTTTTTCTCTTTTGGTTATATCTGAGTTATAACCAATCATTTTCTTTCTCTTTAATTAAATCAACTTTTTTTTTTTTTTGGCAGTGCTGGAGATTGAGCCCTAGGCAAGTATTCTACATGGAGCTACATCCCAATTCCTCAAGTTGCTTTTTATTTATTTATTGGCTGTACTGAGGTTTGAACTCAGGACCTCATGCTTGCTAGGCAGGCATTCTTACCACTTGAACCATTCTTCCAACCCCCTCAAGTTGCTTTTAAAACATAAATTGATGTCAAAGGACACTATCAAGAATGTAAAAACACACAATACTGCCAAAATACAACAAAGTGGGAGAGAGATACACACATGGCTAACAGTACATGATATCTGTCATCAGTGATCACAGGAATGCACATGAAAATACATGAGAAGCCACTTAACTGCCACTAGGATGATTATAACCAAAGTCACAGAATAGCTGGGGTTGGGGAAAACGTGGAGAAATTGGACCTCATATGTTACTGGCAGGAACATAAAACAGTGCAGTGGCCTTGGAAAATAGCTTAGCAGTTCCTCAAAAAAACCTAAATATTGAGTTCCTATATGACACATTAATTCTACTCCTGGGAATAGCAGAGAACTGAAAACATGTCCACGTGAAAACTTACACACAAATCTTCACAGCAGGATTGTTCATCATAGCCAAAAAGCAGAAACAGTCCAAGTACCCAACTGATGACTGTAGAAACAAAACATGGTAGAGTGGAATATTATTCAGCCACTAAAAGGAATGAGATATTGTTATAGGCATGGTAGGATGTGGATGAACCTTGAAAATATTATGCTACATGAAATAAGTCAGACACAGAATACAATTACAAGAAGTACCTACAGTAGTAAATTCATAGACAGAAAGGATAACAAAGGTTAGCAAGAACTAGGGGGAGGGAGATAGGAAGTTGTCATCTTATGAATGTATAGAGCTTCTGTTTAGGATAATGAAAAAGCCAGTGATTGCACAATGTAGTCAATATACCAAAAATCACAGAACTGTACACTTCAAGGCTAAGTAATCCCTGTACACAGAAAGCAGAGGCAGGACTGTCAAGAGTTGAGGCCACTGTGGGCTACAGTTAAGTTCCCGGCCAGAGTGAGCTACATAGTGAGACCTTATCTAAAAAAAACACAAAAAGAAAAAGCATTTTATACTTTAAAGACATGAATTTTATGGAATATATATGATTATTCTTTCTTCATGGGGGAAACTGAGGCAGAAAGATGGTCATGTGGTTAAGTAACAGGCAGCTCCAGGGTGAGAGCCGGTAGCTAACTGGAAAGACTTCACTCTTAGCCAAATGCTGTTTTGCCTCACATCTGGCCCTAGCGGGGAAGCCCAGCCTATTTATGTTCCGTACAAAGTACACGTGGAAAGCAGGTCTCACCAGGTGCTACCAGAAGCATTCTTTAGTGAACTCAGAGATGAGCCATGCCTGGAAGCCCATTTCAGACATTGTTAACTAAATAGAATAATATATGCAACCATAATACAAAACACTCAGCTTCAAGGAAGAATCTTCACAAATATGCATCATTTAGAGAAAAATGAGTCAGTGAACAATAGCCCAGTTTCTAAGTGGAAAGTGTCAATATGGTAATGTTTATAAATGTAATGAAATTATAATAAAAATCCAAAGTCTTAAAAGAAAGGCAGGGATCTGTATCACTACATATTAAAACAGTATCACGCAAAGAGTTAAAATATTGGGTTAGCACCAGGAAAGACAGCTATCGTGAAACAAACTAAAGTCCAGAAGCAGACTTAATTGCATAATTTAGCTAGTAATTAACAAGCGGCATTTCACATCAGCAGACAAAGTACAATTGTTTAGTAGTTGGTGCTGGGGAAATCAGTCGGCCATTTCGAAGCAACCAAATTAGGGTCTTACCTCATACTGGACAGAAAAGCAACTTCTAAGTGGGTCAAAAGTTTAATGTCAAAGAGGAAATAGAAGAAAATGTGGCATAACAGCCTAATAATGAAAATGGATGGATTTGATTACAAAGTTTAAAGCCATCAGCAAGATCTGGCACTTAAAATTAAACGGACACTTAAAATTCAAAGGCAAACTACAAACTTAAAAAACATCTTGTTACATATATGGGTAAATGTTCTAACTGTGAGGAGTTCTCACATTTCAATGAAAATTCAGGCAAAGCACAGGCTAACGGGCAGATCGGCTAAACACAAAAGTATTCACTCTGCTTCTCAGAATCCAAAAGTGCAAATTAAAACATTAAGACACATGGGAAAGGTCCTGGGTTCCATCCCCAGCACCACAAAACAAAACAAACCCGAAAACACTTAAGATGCTGGTTTTTTTGTCTTAAAACCAGGGAAAGTAAAACAGATGGGGCTTGCAAGTTTGCGGGAGTCACTTACTGGTCATTGGCTGGTTAGAGTGGCCAAACCCTGCCAGTAGGGTGCGCACTTGACAACCAGAGTCCACAGCCTTTCAACTGTTCAGAGCCTCTGGGCCAGAAATGTCACTGCTGGGAAAGAGAAATTCACCCTACCTTATCCCAACAGGATGTCAGGAAAAACAGTGTTTGACTGTTTTCATGTTTAATGAAAAAAAGGGAAAGCCCACCCACATCTTTCTGAAGCAGACACAGACCACTTCAGGGTGGAGAAGCAAGGTAAAAGGCTTATTATGGCACACAAACAGCCCAGTAGAAGGGACAACAGATCCCTAACCAGGACAGTAGTTAGGGAGGGGATCACCAAGGCCCACTTCAGCAGCCCACAAAAGGAACACTATGTGCTACACAGGACGAGTTTATAAGGGTGGCCTTGAGACACTGAAGAAATGGCAAATGCTAGCTTGTATAATCTCTGCGGGAAAGCATGCGAGACATTTTGTCCAAAGTTCTACCAGACTGTGGGCAGGAGAACAAGGTGAACCAAAGGTTGAGCATAGGTATCCAGTGCTGCTCACTAGAATAGAACTCACTTAGACATTCCAGTACACAGAACTTCCGGTGAGAGGAGCCAGCCCTGCAGAAGCAGAGGTTCAGAACCTCCCAGCTGCACTCTCCCTGAATGTGACCTTGGGTGCAGTTTGCTAAGTTTGTATAAATTTATCAGCATTTTTTGTAGGACAGCATGTTAGGAACATTTCAACCGCAAAGACCATAAATTGGATATTGTTGTTGACAGTATGACAACAACAAGCCACCATTAGGCAAAACCAAATATATAAAAGTGCTCTTGGTGGAGACAGTCATTTGTATGAGGAGGGGTCTGCCAGGAGGCAGGTTAAGAAGTCCAGATGTAGAGGCAGACAGACCAAGACCAGAACTGCTGACCACAGCCTTCCATGTAATACAAAGTTGGTTAAACCAATGGGAGAAACAGAAAGACAAACCTGATTTTTTGCATAGGGGAACAATCATGAAAGGGTAAAGTAATCATGCGAGAATAGCCAGGAAAATTCTGGAAAGGTAGAATACTGAGAGTGGGCCATCATTAGTGTACTGAAGCACAGACTGTAATATTTAAAACCACTGGAACTGGCACGTGAATAGACCCACAACTGTATCCATCAGTAAATGTGTAAAGAAAACGGGTTAAGTGTCCTAAAGTCACCCATTATGTCAAAGTCCAGTTCACTCAATAACATAAAAGTAAAACCTTAAAGGAACTAGGACAAAACATGAGATTTACCAAAAAATCTTGAGCTGGATTAGCCTCCCTGAACTACTACTAAAATCCAGAAGCCATTAAATAAAACATTGAACAGCAAAATAATACCATCCAACTCAAGGTCAGTGAGGAATGGGAAAGTATTTGCAGCACAAATGACAAATGGTAATTTCCTTCCTGTATAGAGTTCTTAAAAACGAGTAAGTACACAACCCCACTAAGAATACAAACACAAACCAAAACTACAATTAAATTATGTTTTTCACCTTTCATATTGACAGATCACCAAGTTTAAGGACATGCCATTGGGAAAGGCATGGGAGAATGTCAATTGAATTCCTGGAAGGGCAGCCGGTGGCATGCTGTGCCCGGAATTCCTCCTAAAGAAAACTTTTCTTCTGTAGATACAGTTGCTCACATATGTGAAGACACATGCAAACAGATACTGAATATTCTGTTTTTGTGTGATACTGGGGTTTGAACTCAGGGCTTCCTGCTTGCTAGGCAGGTATTCTACTGCTTGAGCCCTAGACAAATATTTAGAATAGCCTTATGTACATATACAGTCAGAATTTCTAGAAATAACCTACTTGCTCCCTAAAAGGGAAAAGCGTAGTTCAAACATGGCTACAGTTCACATAGATGTTGAAAAGACTAACGTGGCTGTAAGTTCAGATGTGCAGGCTCTTCCAACGTACTGTTAACTGAACCATCCTAAGCCCAAAACAGTGTGTGTGGTGTGCCCAGGCCCCCATGGCTTTGTCTATACCTAGAATTCTCTGGAAACAAAGCTGCCTCTGTGGGAAGGGAAGCTGTGCATTAGATAAAGACATCACTATGTCACATACAGTGTTTGAAGTTTTAACATGAATGTCACTTTGGATACTCTGTGTGCCAGGGAGAAGAGATGGAAGGAAATCAGTGAAGCTTTTGCTTTTGGGGTCAGCACAGAAGCAGAGGCTGAAGCAAAGCTTTGCTGGCACATAGTTGTCACATCATAGAAGAGCAAAGAGAAGGTGTACCGGTCACTAGAGGCTGAGGATCTGTGGCACCTCAGCATTTCCTTCTAGAGGTAATAAGGTTGCCAGGCAGAGGCTGGTCTAATAGTACCCACTGGCCAATGTCCAGCTCCCTGTGACACTGCAAGGAGAGGAAGAAGCAGAGTGGGGCTCACACCTGCACTCCTGGCGTTTGGTGGCTTCTCAGAGGAGAGGAAGAGAGCATGTCTTAACTCAGAAAGCAGCCATGCTGTGCTAAGCGAGGGCAGGAGCTGCCCAAAAACAAACAAACCAGACACAATGGAATATCATTTTTACATTGCTGTAGCTGCTTTCTTAGAATAATTTGCTTTTTGTTTTTAACCTGACTAGGGACAGAGCACCAGGAAGCAGACTCCAAGACTGAAGGACCCATTATCGTCAGACACTATCTGACATCAAACTGATAGGGACAAGCAGTGTTAGCTCTTAACCAGCCTTAACTGAATTCCATGGCACATGAAGAAAAGACCAACATTATTCCATTTCTGCAGCTTTAACACCTCACAAAACCCAGACCCAGAAGGGCCAAAGGGGAGAACAGGTGTGAATGCCTGGCGCTGCCCATGGCCTCCTCTGGCACTGCCCTGGGATGGAATAAGAGGTACCTAAACCTGGGCACCCAAGGAATTCAGTGGTGCTTTCCTCAGAGGTCTGTGTGCAATGACTAATAGACCCTAGAAACAGCCTCAAAGCCATCAGATGGAAAAGGGTCAACATATCTGTGCCAACAAGAGTTTAAATAAATACTAGAGAGCCATAAAAATAATAGTATGCATTATAGGATATCATTTTAGAACCGATAATAATAAGATAAACTTTAGTACTTCACGGAGGGGAGATATCTGAAGGAACAGAATGAAGCCATTAGCACTTATCATGGGGTGGGCATTAGGTATCAGGTGTTGGGCTTTCTGTAATTCAAGACTAGAAATGTATAATTGTGCCATGAGCATACACTCCTCAGTCCCATCTATTACCACAGTAGTTGCCATAGAAACATTAGCCATGGACTTAAATCTGCAAGAGAGTCGCTTTGTCGCAAGGACAAGCAGAGAATGAGGCCAGTGTGACATGGATGCATAGCATTAGGGTGGGTGTCCCTGAAAGCCTCATGACATGAGAAATTTTAAAAATTATATGCTCTTATAAAATTACAGATTATTTAGGTTACCACCATTAAGTCCACAAATGTTAAATTCACACTCAGATGACAAGAATCTATTGCACCAATTAAAGTCTCCGTGGGTCACTGTGCATACAGGACAGACCACTGAAGGCAACCAGCAGAAATTTTAAAAGTGTACAAGAAGATATGAAAAAAACAGATACTCTCATACTCAAATATGCATATTTATATATTCATTCTGGAGGGCAACAGGGCGGAATATAGTAAAATGTCTGACCCATGTCTTGTGACCCAGCAAATCCACATTTTGGTACCTACCCCGAGAAACACTCATGATTGAGCACAAGGGGTTGTGTATGAAAATGATCACACAGCAGTGTTTACAAAACCAGAAGATTAGAAAGAGTGTAAATTTCCACCAGTGTACACTAAAGAAATCATGGTATGGTCAGGGTAAGGAATACTATGCAGTAAGCTTTTAAAAACTGAGAATGAATGCTCACATGACTCTTCCTATTCTTAAATGGAAAAAAGCAAGCCAACAGTGATAGGCAGTATGCAATACTGTCTCACCACTTGCAGAAAAGAAAAACAATTCAATACCTCTTGCAAGAAGGATATATGAACATATGAACAGAAAGAGGTCTGGCAGGAAACACAGCAAACAAGTAACACTGGTTACCTCTGGAGAGGGAGGGGACATGTAGTGTCAACCTCTTAGACACATTTTAATTCTGTATAATGGGAAAGCATCACGTATCACTTCTCTAATGACACTTCACAGAAGAGAAGCAACCCAGTCACCATCAGTGGGAGAATCAATTAATTCACTGCACACCAGGCAAGACAGATAAATCTCAACATTTCAGAAGATTGCATGCAATGACATTTTTCTATAAAGTTAAAAACAACCATATATATATTTTGAAAAGCACATTTAGTTAAGATATTTTTTAAAGCAAGTGAAAGATAAACCCAGAAACCAGGATGATGACATTAGTCTGGGAGGCAGGGCGGGGACATATATACCACATGGGTTGAAGGAAGCTACTGTACTTGTTTTTATATTGATGAGTGATTCAGAAATGTCATGTTATTAAAAATAAACAAGGAAGCAAATAAAAGAGTCAAATAAATGGAAGCAAATAAATGAGACAAAGATTAAGATTAACCCAGTTCCTGTGTACTCAGCTCCAGCAGGGGAGGGAGAATATTCTTAGAGCGTATCATAGTTCATACTTATATTAAAACAGTTGACAATGACAGTCATTAAGATTTGTTGTATTATACTGAAAACAACAAAAACTATAGCCTGAAATTTCTACAAATAGATTCAGACACATAATTATGAAAGGCCAATATTGGCAAACCTGGAGCAAAGAGTATTTACTGTTATTCCACCAGCATAAATAATTAAGATAAACGAATAATATGTATTATAACTGAGCAAACACCATGTGCCTAGTTACTAAAGAAAAATTGAGAAGTACAAGAGACTTACTAGCTATTAGTAGACTTATTAGACTATCTTAAGTCCTTTAGAGTATATACTTTTCAGATCAACAATAAAAAAAAGGAAAAATAAGTTTAACACCCATAACTGGTCAAAGCTTACCTTCCCACATATACAAAGAATTTATGACCCTTGAGCAATGCCCTGGAGAAAATGGATAAAAACTTCAGACCATGTCACTTCTGAGGCTCAGCCTTTCTGAGACCCCTCCTGTACAAGGACTTTTCTTCCACTCTGCTTAATAAACCTCTGCTCTTTTGCTCAAAGAAAAAGAACTCATGACCCTTACAAAAGTCAATATGGAAATTTCAAGTTAGACGGTCAAAGAGGAAAAACATAGATGGTAGATCAAGTGATAAAACACTCAGACTAACCAATAATTGCAGATTAAAACAATTATAATAACAACTTTATAATGTTGAATTTGGTGATAATTTCTTGGATATGTCACTGAAAGTACAGGCAACAAAAGAGAAAATAAGGTAAATTAGACTACATTAAAACTAAAAAGTGAACAAAGAAAAAGCAACTTTATGTAGAGAAAGAAAACAAATGACATATCTGATAAGTAGTTAATATCCAGAAATATAGAGAAATCCTATAAGTCAACAATAACAAAACCCTAAGTTTTAAAATAGGCAAAGCACTTGAATAAACATTTTTCAAGAAGATATAAATGTGTTCAGAAAACACATGGAAAAATGCTGATTAGGGCAATGCACCTCAAATCCACAATGAAACATCACCTCACCTCCATCAAGATGGACCTTATAGATCAAAAGAACTGAAACAGGGTGCTGAAAATATATTTGTACATCCATGTCCATAGCAACAACCTAAAAGTGGAAGAAGGACTGGGGTCAGGGGTAGCTCAAGTGAGTAAGGTTGAGGTCCTACGTTCAGTTCAGTCCTCAATACCGCAAAAAGGTGGAAGCAACCCAAGTGTGCATTAGTGGAGCAATGGATACATAAAATGTTACATACTTAAATTACTCAGTTCTTTTATAAAAGGGAAGACATTTCTGCATACACTACAACCTAGGTGTACCATGAGGACATTGTGCTAAGTGAAATAAGCTGGTCAAGACCCAAATCCTATATGACTGCACTTGTACGAGATCCTGGAGCAGTCAAACTCAAGAGACAAAGTAAAAAGAATGATGGTTGCCAGGGACTGGGGAGGGGAGAAACTGTCACGTGAGTTTAATGTTGTTTAAGGGTAAAGAGTCAATTTTAGCAAGACAAGAAAGCTCTGAAGAGTGATTGCACAAGAACATGAATACACTCACTGCTGCTAAACTGTACACTTAAAACGGTTGAGAGTAAATTTCATGCTGTGTATATTTGACCACGAGAATTCAAAGTAGCCATCAATAAGCAAAACTGAAATAACCTGATGAGTTATTTCATCCACTCCCAAGGGGACGGCAGGAGAGTTATAAAACTAGTGCACACACTGACCAGGGGATGCTGCTCTGGAGAACAGTCATGCACACCAGAGTTATGGGGATGCTCGTGCAGCACAATTCTTTTTTTTTTTGGTTCTGGGATCGAACCCATGGCCTCACCCATGCTAGGCAAGTGCTGTACCATGGAGATACATCCCAGCCCTCGTACAGCACAATTCCAAACAGCCAACACCCAGCAACATAAGAGACTGGCTAAATACACCACAGGACAGGCACAGTGGACAAAATGACACAAATGATATGATTGCTCATTTACGATGTTGCTTAGTCACGGACTTCTTTGACACACTGGGGCAAACTATGCCTCCCACAGAAAAATGTACACAGTCAGAGACTTCTAGAAGCCCATTCATAGCATTCTTGTGGAAATATTAACAAACCTGAGGGGGGAAAAACACTTCAAAGATGTTTATGGGTTCTGCTGATACACGGAATTATTCGTGGAAGCACAGTTAATGTAAAAAAACCAGAACAGATTCTCACACAATATTACGTCCAAAGCAGGTGCAAGACAGTGGGGAGAGGGAAGTAGGGGAAAATGGCTGACCCTGATATGCTTGGACTAAGACAGTAAGAGAGGGAAGCACACATGAACACATGTGAACACATGCATTCACTGCCCCCACTTCACACATGAGGCAAACAGGCAGAGTGACCTTAAGAAACTGACTCCAAATCATAAAGGTGCCAAGTGGTGGGGTCAGGACTAGAACTTGGCTCTACTGCAACAGAATTAAGCCAGTTGAGGCACCAGCATCTCATTCAGGAGACCCCACCAGTCTTCTCCAATGAGCTGTCCCACTGTGAGAACAATTCTTGGCTCTCTGCTACTCCTCCTGGCCAATGACAGAGAAGACCCACCTCCGACATACACAACTTCCACAAAAAAGCTCCAGTTGGAGCCCAGGTTTAAATATAGAAAATGAAACCACTAAAAAAAAAAAAAATGGAACCATAGTGGGGATGGGTTTAATCAAAGCATGTATGGAAATATCCCAATGAAACCCCTTTGTACAATTAATATACACTAATAAAAAAGAGAAAATGTGAAACCATACAAGTGCCACAAGAAAATATTAACATTTGTATACTCAGGGCAGGAAAGATCTAACACCAAGTGCAGAAACCGTAGAGATTTAACTAAGAAAAATTTACATACAACTTTTGTATGTCCGAAACCCAAAAGCAGCAAAAAGCAGTCTATAAACTGGAAAAATACTTGCATCATATATAACAAAAGATTATTAATATCCTTAATATGTAGATAGCTTTTACAAAAGAACCAACAGAAAATAAAATACTAAGAAGCAGGGGAGTGTAAAGTTACACACTGCAAATGGTCAATCAACACGTATGACAGATGCTCAATTTTAACAGCAGGCAAAACAAGATTCACACCCACAGGGAAAGTGGGCTCCATGTAACCATCATGCTGAGGAAAGGGGAGGTCAACTTTCATTCATACTAAGAAGACAAATTTAGAAAATCCCTCCCTGGAGGGTAGCTTGACAATATGAACCTAAAGAAGTTTGACATAGTAATTTCCTTCTAGAAATGTATTTGCATTATCTCAAAAAAATAGCAACAGATGTGATACAGTTTGGGCTACAAGGAAGGTCATCAACATGTTATTTCCTAAGAGGAAAAGAAATGTTCACCTAAGTGAGATGGTTTAAGTTAATATAGTCATGTCAAAGCTCATTATGTAACCACTAAAAAAGATGCTCAAATGACACGCTCACTATATATTAAGGAAAAAGAACTGCAACACAGAATTTAAGTATAATCCCATTTTTGTGTAAAGATGCATATAGCCAATGCATAGGAAAAGAAAGAAAATTCCAGAAGCAAATAAGTCAATAACACTTGTTAATGGAAGATTACTGAGGACTTTTTTTCAACTTGCTGTTTTTTTTTTTGGAAACTTTACAGTAAACTCTTTGTATGATTCGATGACCAGTTATTTAAAAGTGAGGGAAAGGGTGTAGAGGAATGAGAGTAATGGAGGGGGTGAATTTGATCAAAACACACTATGTGCATTATGGACACATCACAACAGAACTCCTTTAAACAATATACATTAATACAAACAAAAAATAATGAGAAAGAAGGGACAGAGGATGGAGGGCAGAGGCTAGAGGCCTCCAGCAGGCACAGGAGGCAGCCATCCTAAGCAGAGGGTGATACCCCCTACTCAGAGGAAGATCAAGACCACACTCTTTGGGACACACACCTTCATACCTTTCTTACTTTTAGTCATTTGCTATCTTCCCCTTGTCATTCGCAGTCTGCAACCACATATTTGAAGGTTGAATATGAAATCTTAAAATGTACCACAAACATCTGTAAGCCCGTTTTAGCATTTCTTCCTTCAATACCAGCACAAAACCACAAGTATCATGCAAGGCCAGTGGTTAATGCTTCCTTCGAGAGACTTAGCTACACACAAAGAGGTTAGCCTGGCAGTGAAGGTCCTTGCAGTCCCCTGGGGGTCACCATCAGTAAGACTCACTGAAGGCAGCTGACAGGACAGGGGGGCAGTTTCTGTCAATCCCCTTCTTGTTACACAGGCCATATCCAAACTTCTTAGTTACTCCATCCCAGGCACACAGGAATCTCAACCAATACCTGCTCTCGGGTTTTCATTTTAAAAGAACTCCAAATTCAACTTCTGCTATTCTTACCCCCCATTACTTTTAATTTGCACAAGATCACCATAAGCCCATTCACTGGACTCCAGTAGACTGTCCACTGTCTTGGGGGTTCAGGGAAGACTGAATTCAGACCTATGCATGAGCATGCTGACTAGTGACCATCCTGCCATCAACCCCAGACCCATCCTGTTGGCCCGAGGATAACAGCGTTCCCTCAGGGAGGGCAGCTCAGACTTCAGCCACCAGCCTCATCTCTCTGCTCCCCTATTAGGAAGCCCCACTCCACAGCCACTTTCCAGTACCAAATACTTCAACCCCTATGGCAAATTCCTTTTCAGCTATGCAGTGGCTAGGAAACAAGGGTACCATTTACACAGAGGTGAGGGTTGGAAGCAAGGTTTTGTAATCATTGTATAACAAACGAGTTCTGAAAAGAGGACTAAGTAGATGGAGAGGTGTAGGAGAAAGAAGCCAAGAAGAGGGGTGATAGGAAAAGAGTCCCGGAAAGGAGTGACCTGCACACAGCAGGGTTTGCCCTTGGCAGTGCCAGAGCTGAGACAGAAGGCTTGCTGGACTGCGTGCTGTCTTTCTCTTCCCAGTGCATACCTCTATAGTTAGCAGATAGGTGAGGGATCACCAAGGGACAACCAGGGAAGCAAATAAGACACTCAGGATCTGGACAACAGTCAGTCCCACAGCTGTCAGATGTCAGCCCGCACTCTCTGCCCTTTGCTTTGGTCCCCAGTGTCTGTTCCAGTTTAGGATTCATCTCCCCTTGCCAGGCAAGCAGCAGAGCCACAAGCCTCCCTTCTCTGCTCCCTTTCAAACAAAGGTCTCCATTCTTATCAGAGGCCGGCAGTGCTTCTATTCTGAGCCCAGAATCTGTCTCAGGTGAAGCAACACCTTAGTCACTGGTGCCACAGCCATAGAGTCAAGTACAGATCAGCTCCCAGGATGAATCACTGCTGCTGCTTCCCCCGCCTCACCCCCAGGACTCAGATCAGTGATGCACTCTGGATTCCAAGTGCTCCCACCTACATCCTGACACAGCCTTCCCTTGCTTAATAGAGAATTTCCACAAGGAAGCCCAAACTCTTCAGTCACGTACAAAAGAAAAATGAAGCCTAACTCTTCAGTAAGATAAAAACTACTTGCTTATACCCAAATCCCAGGCCCATGGCATAATCCCAAAGACCGCAAATAAGAAAAACACCTCATGCGTCCATTCTGTTCTTGACTGTTTTCCCCAAATCATTTGGAAATAACCAGGTAATGTTCTAGAATATTATGGTCAAAGTACTCCCCCCACTACACTAGCCACTGGATTCAGTCTCACGTTCTACACTACCACCAACTCCCATCAGTGAGCAGTGCCACCCCACCCGCCATTGGCAAGCCAGTCAGGGGACACCAGTTCTATATGAATAAAGGTTCCCGGCTCTAACAACAGCCGTGATTGCTTAGTGAATTCTCTACAAAATAAAGATACATGCGACTTCATTATGAAGATACAACAGGAGTCCAGAAACATAACATAGCAAAACAACAGTTACAGAGCTTAGAACTCAAACCTTTATTTGTCCTGTAAAGGAGAAGAAAAATTAGTATTACGTACAAGATGCAGCAGGCCAGTTCTTGCCTTACAGAGCAACAAATGGGTACTCTGACCACCTGCCTTCAGCTTCGATTCTGCACCAGCACACCGCAAAGTATTTATTTTCCCATAAAAGCACAACTACACCTAAAGTACGCTTTAAGTTCCACTGGCAGTAATTGTATCATTCCCAAGTTACTGGGTAAGAATTAAGTACCACACCAACATACTTTGGCATTTAAAAGGAACCTAGAAGACAGAAAAATCCCAAGGATAAAGAGTACTGGGGGATTAATTTTTTTTACATGCAATTTAAAGGGAAGAGACATAATAAAAAGCCACTGGTATTACTTAACCAACCCAAGAGATGCAGCCCAGAAACCGGCAGGTTCAGACTCAGTATTTACAGAACACACAGTAATGGAGCCCCCCTCTCTCCAGTTTTGCTCTTATTTCCCAAACTGATTGAAGGACAGTTTTCCTCTAGTTATTTAAAAAGCACAACCATTCAAATTAAAAATACAATGGATTACTCAGTCTCAATTTAGCAAATGTACAAAGATTCTGTTTGCAATCAAATTTCACAATCACCACAAAAGGCTATTTGATTCTCTTTGTTACAATGACTGATTTGAAAGATTAGTATACCAGCCAAACTTCTGCAGTTATAATTACCAATCACAGAAAAGGCAGCTGCGTTTTATAAGGCAGGATTTACACAGGAAATTTCTTTAGAAATCATAGCATTGCCACTTTGCTCAGAATTTTCAACCACAAAATATCTCAGTGACAGAATATGAATCACAAACCCAGAAAAGTCCATCTAATCTCAAGTGCACACTTAAACACTGAAAGCCCATGATTTAGGCATTTAGAAGTCTTTCCCAGAGCTTACTGTTCTTGAAAAATCACACCTTCCTAAGCAAAGCAGCTAAGGACTCACATCAGTTGTTAAATCATGTGGATTCGAGTTTGACACCATCTTTCCAATGAGTAATATTTAGATTTTCAGTTTACAATCTTCTCACTTTACAACAAAGCAAAACAATTTTGCTTTTTCCCTTAAATTTAAGGTCCTAAGCATTTTTACAAAGTTTAGAAGCCACTTTCATCTCTTCCAGGCAACAATTTAACCAGAGTTAACAATTTTCTATTATTACTTCTATTATTTTCTTCATTCATGAGTTCTGCACTGTTTTTCCCCTCCAGTGCATTCCCTTTAACCCACATCCGTGGTACCCCCAAACCCTTTTGAGCTGCACCCCTCGCCCACCTTCTTTACCTCCATCCCTCCCAACAGCAGTGAGGAGCTGAGCCCTCCCCCGCCCACAACTCCCGTACTGAATGCCAAGAGCACTCTGACCCAGTAAAATTTAAGTTTAAAAAAAAAAAGGGAGGCATGAGGATCACATCTGAGGTCAGCTTGAGCTACATAGCAATACACTGTCCAGAAAAAAGAAAAGGGTAAAAAATGTGGGCTAGGCTCAGCAGAACACTTGCCTAGCATGCAAGAAGCCTGTGATCCATCCTCAGCACCACCAACAAAAACCCAGGTATGTCCACCCACCATTCCCTTTTTAGTCATCTATGATGTCACCGGAATGCCCAAGCTAGACCTGCCAGCTCCAACACACAGAACGTGAACATGATCTTGTACCCTCCCAGACCCAGAGCAATGTGTGATGCCCCCACCCATTCCCCCACACTCTAAATGCCTAAGGCATTTAAAAACTACACAGCTTTCCAACACCCCAAAGTTCTATCATCACACTAAGAACTCCTCCAGCCAGTGCACGGCAGGCAGCTTGGTGGGAAGGTGAGAGGCCACGAGGCTCCAATTGCAACACCATCTACAGGGTATCATTCTGCGTTGTGGCATCAACATTTAAGTGTTCTACAGCTTAAGAATCTTCATGAAGCACACACAGTTCATACTAGAATGAGCGCAGGCTGGACTTAGAAGATGCAGCATCTGAAAACCTCTACTCCCAGGAAAGGAAGGGTGCCTGGAGAATGTTGCTCCCGGAATAAACATTCACTCAAAGCTGATGGCCCCTCAAGCCGGATGCATCTGTTTTGGACTTTTGGATCACCCCCCAGAAGCTCATCAACACCTTAAGTGGTGGCCTCCTGAATACAGGGCTTCCTGAGCAAGGCCTGGGCAAGGGACTGGAGAACTTCCTCCTCCTCTTCCTAAGCCTCTGGAACTCAATCTGCTGGCATCAATTTAAGCAGGCTGTCTCCTTCAGGGTCTCCCCTCCTGTACTGCTACGACTCACACCTGCAGGGGCTCCATTTCTCCTGGTGCCATCTGCTCGGCCACGATGAACACTACAGTGACAAACCACGTCCATGAGGCATGCGGGCAGCTTTCAGCTGGAACCATGGCTGCGGGCCCACCCAAGGGTGCACATTCAATCCCCACCCTCTGCAAAAGCAACACCAACCCACCCCACCTGGAGTCAACTCAGCAGGGTGTTCGATTCCTCCTCCATCTTTACCAACAATACCGCCTGGACTCCAACAGTGACTCCAGGGACTACCCCAGGCTTACCAGATGACCAAAAGGGTTTTAAATGAAGGGATAACCTCAGAGTTAAGAGGGAGGAGGAGAGAGTAGAGTGAGCTCACAGGAGAAGTTAACACCAAACCTAGGCAAACTCCAGGGGGGCGACTGCCATCTGGAAAATAAAGTGTTGGTCAATGTTGCTCCCAAACACTGAGTCTTGCCTCAGCAGCCCCCGCCTGGCAGGCACATAAGATGCACACGAGTGACAGGCAAGGATGACCCGCTGCCTCCAGTCATTCTTTGGAAGGCCACCCCTCACCTCCGATCCAGGCCTCGCCTCACTCCCAGACCTGGGCTCCACCAGGCCGAGATCCAATTACATACCACCCTGGGCCGGAGCTGCCACCCTAGCGAAGCTAAGTCCAGCTTCCACAAGACCAGGCCTCATCCCCAGGCAGGTTCACAACCCCTTTTCTGGAAAAAAAAGGGGGCTGCTGGTATTGACAAGTTCAAAATCTGCCTCCCTGCCCACCTGCACCCACTGTCTGCATGCCACGTTCGCTTCCATGGCCCTGTTTCCATCTACATCCACCTCTCTTCCCGCTTCCGCCTGCCTTCCTCTGGTCACATATGCCAAGGACACCGGGCCCAGCGAGGCCCAGGTAAGGGCCATGCGGTCCTAAAGGTCAAGTACTCCCCGTCCAGCAGGCAGTGAGGACAGCCTGGAGTGCGCGCTGCTACTGTCCCTGTGAAGGCAGCCTTTCCCCTGACAATCCTCCCCAAACTGACAATCCTCCCCAAACCTAGCCTCCTCTCCAGCCCTCCTTCCGGCCGTCCCCCACCCCGATCTAACACCATTATCTCCCCCAGCTGTGCCCTGAACTAGCCACTTCCGCCCACCACTAGGCCCAGGCGCCAGCCCTCCCTGTCGCTAACTCCTGCGGGCCTGGCCACAACTTTTGCTTTTATAGCCCCGGGTCACGTCACCAAGACATTGCTCAACGGCACGATTCCTCCACGGCCACGAGGAAAAAAGAAGTCCCTCGTGACTGCTCTAGCTGCAAACGAAGGGCGCTTCACCGTTTCCCTCGATGGCCACTCCCCCACATTCCCCGACCAGCTTTTTCCCCTTTCCTAAGCCTTCACAGAACTCAGGACAAATCTCAAGGTCACACTTGGGAGGTGGAGGACATGGGGGGACAAGTCCCCTTTTCTTCTGGTGGCGTGTATGTGGGGGTACGAGTCCACGACAGAGGCTGCGAGGGGGCGCGGCTGGGGCGCGCTCCTGTGAAAGCGAGGGAGCTGCTGGGGTCTTCTTAGGTCACCGAGCCCCGCGGAGGCCCGAAAGAAGGGCCGGCAGAACGTCTGGAAAATTCCAGGCGGCGGCGGAGGGATCTCTGCGGAGGCGCATCACTCCCGGAGGCAGCCGGGTGGGGGTGGGGCGCGCGCGTGACTCCTCGGGCGGCGCCGCCTCGTGCTCGGCCGGTGACGTCCGTGCCGGGCCCGGAGTGGGTGGGGATGGGGTGATGGCGACTCTCTAGAGAGAAACGCAGTGTCCCTCAGCGCGGAGTGCGACCCTGGGGTGACAGGCTAAGAACCCCGCTTTGTTATTTAACAAATGGCTGGACCGACTGGGGGAGAATGTGAAGCTGGGCCAGGGCCGCCTGCCAGCTGGAGGCGGGGGTCCTGGAGCGTCCGGGTGTTTGCTAAGAGCGGAAAACCTTGCAGCTGGGGTGGAAATGAATTGGGAAAAGGTTTCTTGCGGAAAATAGGTGTAATTGCAGGGCCACAAGGCCAAGTGGGTTAGAGTCTCAACTCATCTTAGTTTTAGACGAGGAATGGTGCGAAAAGTGATTAAAAAGAAAACAAAATCCCCAAAACCTGCATTTGTCGGTGGCAGTTCGTGGCCTGTGATGGGCCTCAGAAAGTGGGCTTAATGACTGCTGGTGGCACCAGGCTGGCTGCCCGCCAGGGGAGGGTCCTGAAGTAACTTGCGGATTTCTTGTCCCCTCTGCCAAGGCTGAGCAGGGCCAAGGCGTTTAGTGAGGATTTTGAAAGGGGTACTTGGCACCCCCTGTGCCAGCGTGGGCTCAGGGTGAGGGGGAAGACAGCCTGAGACCCCATGAGGCGTCTGTCCGGCCTTGCCCCTCCCCCAAGGGAGAAGGTGAAGGACAGTCCAAGTGACCAGAATAGCAAAGGCATCTGGCAGAACTATTGCCTGGAAGTCACCCCCCCAGGGTCACCACCCACACCCCAAACAAAACTCCCTGTGACACCAGGCTCCCTTAGCAACCAGGAGGGAGAAGTATGTGGAAAGATTTGTCCCCGTCTCTTTAAGGTGGCATCTGCAGGCAGGGCTGCACCCAAGCCGCACCCTTCCTGTTTCTCAGAAAACTGGTGACTCGTTCTCATGTGACTGTCAACACAGAGGATGTGGCAAGCCTGGGCTTGTTCGCTGGCGTCTGCCACGTTGACGCCTGTGGCCCACCCTTCTCCAAGATCAGCTCCTGCCAACATTTCCAGGGTGGGGTGACTTGGCCTGAAAGAACAGTGAAAAAAGAGGCAACTCCTGTCAGAATGTTCCAGAAAGATGGAAGGGACAGTACAAAACCCCGCAAGTGCCACCTCCCTGCTGCCTCACAGTGTCAGGGTGTGGAGTCAGTCCTTTGACGGCACAGCTCTCCGGAGAGGTGTGTTGTCACTGCTGTTGCTTTGCCTCCAGAACCCGAAATCTTACTTTCTTTACCTCTGGTCTTAAAAATCTCTCTCATTCACACATTATCATTATCATTCCTGCATCCCAGAAACAATTTATTTTCAAGAGTAGGGACAATTGGCATCTCACAAAGCATAGGATTCTATAAGTCACAGGGATAAGGCTCCTTTGTACCATTGTGTCAGTACCAAAGGACAAAGTGGCACTTTCAGAGGCTCTGTGTTTGGAAGTTTGTCTCCAAGTTCCACACAGCTAGTTTTCCCTGGAAAAGGAATGTATTTGAGAAGAGGTAAGAGGAGGCTACAATCACATAGGGTATGCTCTTCTGCCTTGGGGGCCTGGGCTGTGCCCGCCATTCCCTGGATACATACTGGGTTCTGCTTTCTTCCTCTCACAAATAAGGCTAAAAATACCTCCACCCTGGTGGAAGGAAGAGGGCAGGGCAGGAGTGCCTGCCTCAGCAAATATCTGTAGATCAAAACAAGCTGTTCCAGAAAACGCAGTAAACAAAACCTTGGGTCCCTGGGTGGGGCTCAGTGTGATGGGCTCACCCTCTGTGGACCTGGGCCACAGCTTCTTCCCAAGGAGCCAGTTCAGGGGCTCTGGGTTGGAGGGTAAAGGACAGGCTAGGGCTGCTTTGACATCAGATTCCAGGGTCAGGGACCTCTCTCCAAGCCCTTTTTCACAACCTCAGACAATCCAGATCACAGCCTTCCCTGTCTTACTCAGAAGTCAGCTCAGCCCTGTGGTTTCCAAACACAGCAGCCCAGGGAAGGACCCCAGGATTTCCCTTAAGAACCTCAGGAAGAGGGAGACAAAAGGGATGAGAAAGGGTGGTGCTCCAGGTTTACCCCCAGGGCAGGCCTGCTGCCATTTGAGAATGTGCCAGAACTCCAGCCCCCATCCTCCACGGGTCCAGTTTGGGAGCTGTGGCCTCCTGGGTCACCTTGGGCTCCTCATGATGCCAGAGACCGTCAGCCTGGGGTCTTTCCCTCAGTCCTGAAGCTCGTGACTCTGACTGGATCAGGAAACTGCACTGTCACCGTGTGCTGGCTTGGAGCCTCCCTGTCCCAGTTGCTTGGCCTCTCAGCTGCCTGAGCTGAAAAACAACCTGGCCCCCGCCCCTGCCCCAGGCTCATTAGCCTCTTACAGGCTCTGGCCTGCACTACCCCCACTTCTCAAGTGGCAAGGACAAGCTGTTGACCTCTCCCAGCTAGCTTTCCCCATTCTGTCCTCCCTCGCCCCCCCCCACGCTAACATTTCATAATTTTGACGAATGTTTTTTGCAACACTCTTCACCCAGTGGCCACCTGACCCACTCCACCCTCAGCTCCTAAAAGCCCAAGCTGTGCCCCAAGTTCCCCTCTCAGTGAGCCCCCTGGCCCCAGCTCTTTTAGCACTCCCTCCGTTGAACTTGGTCCTCCTGCGGGGGGAGGGTTTCTGGGGTACTGTATCTCTGTACCCACAGAGTCCCTGGCACACAGTAGATCTCAGTAAGTATGTGTGCCTTCACTGTTCACATTTTATAAAGGTCACTCTGACCACTAGGACTCTTGGTAAATATTTGTGCACTGACTAAAGCAAGCAAGGAAGTGGCTCCCAGGTCTGCTGTGGCCCATAATTTTTATCACAAGCCCAGCTTTGTGCACCCTGGGCCCCATGTCAGGAGAGCCAGGAGCAGCAGCTGCTCCTACCCATGTGGGGCGGGCAGTAGGGACAAAGGGGGGGTGCCTTTGTCGACCAATGCTGGCACCTAGAAGGGGGCTTGGGACACTGTTCTTGTTTACAAAGCAGAATGGATGGAACAGCCCACTTGTCTTTCATGCGCTACATTTTCTTGGCCCATACAGGTCAGAAGGCAGGGAGGAGGAGAGGGGATCCTCAGATAGGAAAGGGGGACTTAGGCATTAGACTCTGTCTCCTCTTGAGGTGTGGGGTCTATGTCTCCCCCATCCCTGCCCCTCAGATCTGCCTGGGGGCTTCCTCCTTCCTCAGGCCATGCCTTGTAGGAAGCAACTTTGATGTTGTCACACCCCAAATCTACATCTTGTGCCACTCTGTGTTCCCGGTACAGACCCCTCACTCCCCACACACATTCTTAAACACCTGGCCTTCTTCTGCCCCTTGTCCCAGGTACTTGAGCCCCAGTCCTGAACACACCCCTTCCTAAGCCTTGCCCAAGCTGCTTCCCCATGGAATGCCTTCCTGTCCTCTTTCTCCTAAGTCCTTCACTGGCTCACAGGGTCACCTCCATCTCCTGCAGCCTCAGGTCTGTCACAGCACTCACCAGACCCACCTGTTCCCCTGCTACCCCATGCTGAGTGGCTGTGTCCTCACTCCCCAGGTCCCAGCAGAAGGAAGGCCTATGGAAAGGGGAAACCATTCCTGGATGGGGGGCTACTTCCAGGAGCCCCCAACCTCCTCCACCTGTGCCCACTAAGCAAGTTCCAGCTTTCCTAGACCCCACACATTGTTTGTTGCCTCCCTTCCCAGCCTCCTCCCCAAGCCCACCCACCAGGAGTCCTGGGCAGCTCTTCTGGCCCCATGCTGAAATTCTGCCATCTCCCACTGTAGTTTTGCAGAGTTCCCAAAGAGGCCTTCTTACTTCTCTGCTTCCAGGCCTGTTTCCAACAGGAATGTCCTCAGCCCAGGACTTGCCTGCCCCTTCAGTGACCCCTTAGGAGTACTAGAATGTCCTTGAACCTGTTGGCAGGAGTCTTTTCTGCTTCACCTCCCTCCTCTCCAATTTGGTCTGACTGGGTTCCATCTGTGAGCAAATCCATCTTGGGGCCTGGGCGTTTACTGGGGGACAGAGTAGAAGCCCTCTGGAGGCTGCTGACCTTCATGTTGTGTGGGAGGCCTGTGCTCATTGGCGCAGGGTGTCATGGTCAATGCCACCTTCACCCAAAAATGCCAAGGTTGATGGCAGGGGACACAGAAGTTCTATGGAAGAGTTGGGACTATTATTCTCCCCGTTACAAATTATATTAATAGTCAAATAGTTTAAGATAGGAACTGGTGGTGTGGGTGAGTTATAGAGTGCTTGTCCAGCATCCTCAAGGCCCTGGGTTTGAGCCCCAGCACGAGAGAGAGAGAGAAAGAGAACTTTAAGACAGGTGGAGGGGGTTCCAGGTGTAGTGATATATGGCTGTAATTCCAGCACTCGGGAGGCAGAGGCAGCAGGCAGGGACCTGGGACGGGCAGCTCCTGTGGACACTGGAAGATGACAAGCCTCAGAGGATGCCCACCCCACCTCCAAATTTCTCCAAAGCCAGAGTTCTGGCTTTAAATAGTTTGACTAAGTTGTCATTTTACAGGAAAAAATGTTCCAAAGCAGAACTGGTTTCTAGGATACGTAAGCTGCTCATTGGAAAGCTCAAGTCCCATTGCCAAGCTGGGGAAACCCCCTAGCTGCTGCACTAGGAGTTCCAGAACTCTCATCACAGGCCTAAGTGGCAGGAGTTCCCCGCCTTCAGGAGCCAGAGCACCCACTGTGAGTGGGGGTGAGCAAGTGGGGATGGGCATGCAGCACCAGACTCAAGACCTCCCATTCTGTCTCGGGAGGTGACCATGGTTCCAGGCTGCCCGGACTCAGCCAGGTGGGCGGTGCCCAGTCATGGCGTCCATAGTCAAGCAGGAGGAAAGGGTGGGCTCCGCTGCCCCCTGCTGGTCACAGCTGGACCAGCACCTCCATGCAGGGACTGGCCGCACCCAACCCCCCACACTGAGCCTGATAGGGCAAGAAGAGGTCAGTCACTCCGCACTGGACTTGCTGCCTAAAACTGAAGCCCAGCCCTGCACCCCTGTCCTGGGTGAGAAAGGGTAACCTTCTCACCTTCTTTGAAATGTGGGATTAATTTGGACAGGGAGGAAGTAACAGGTAGCTCTGAGGTCTTCCTGGCCAAGAACTCAAAGGAGCTGTGAGGATCTGTCCAGAGGTCGGCACCATGCAGCGTCAGCGCTGCTCGTGCCCATCAGACTCAAGGTCACAGCCAGGCTTTCCTCATGGCCTCTCACTTTGCTGCATTTTCCTCTGCTCTGCTGAGCCTGGCAGACCCCTTTCCTCCAGGAGGCCTTTATAACACCACGCCCCTTCTATCTGTTTCTCCTTGTCTCATGTCGGGTATGGCATCTTCTTCCTTCAGGGCTGCCATGTGTGTGCAGAGTGGCTGCTTTTCCTGGTCATTTGTGTTCTCAAACTCAGTGCCTTTGAAAAGTTGACTGGACGCAGAGGTGACACCCACTAGGACAACACGGTTGCTAATCCCATGACTTCCTATGCAGCTGTTACTGGAAAGCTAGTCCTCTGGGGGTTTTTTGTTTTGTTTTTGGGGGGAGGAGGGTGTTTTGGGGAGGGAGATGTACTAGGGTTTGAACTCAGGGCCTCAAGCTTGCTAGGCAGGCGTTCTACCACTTGAACCACAGAGCAGGGTTTATTATTTGTCAGATGAAGAGGAGGACAGGGAAAGTGAGCCTCTTAAAGCTCTGTCATCCCACTTCTGAGATGGAATGTCTGCTTTTTAAAGGGGAGCTCAGCCAGAACGTGACAGAACATGTGTCCCAAAACTTTGGCTCTATCTCCTGGCTTTCTGGCGCCACATCTCCAAAGCTGTATGTCTTTCTTGACAGAGGTTTACTCCTTGGTGGACAGAGAGAGAGAGAAGAGGGAGAAGATTATTTAGTTTAATTGAAGAGTAAAGATTGTCAACCATGAGCCCTTCATAGAGACAGAAAAACCAAAAATGAAAAATGTCAGTTTGAATAGCAAGCTGGCTACACCAAAAGTTTTTGCCTGTTTTAGTCTCGGTTATGCTTTCCCCACTGTCAACTTGTTCCTTCCATTTCTATGAAAAAGGGAAATTACAGTCATTTGACTGCTTCCTGCTTTTAGTTAATTCTTGGGCCCAAATAAGGAGTCAGTCTTCCTCAGCAAAAGCAGCTTTTAAGTACCAGTCCCACAAGGGGCAGCTGGAACTGCTAGCTGACTCATGTCCCTGGCATGGTCACCTCTGTCCTCTCTTTCCTGGTTTTCTCTGACTGTCCACTGAGCCTTCTTACCGCCACTCTCCCTGGGAGTGGGGTTTGAACTCAGGGCTTCGTGCTTGCAAAGCAGGCTCTCCTGCCACTTGAACCACACCTCTAGTCCATTTTGCTCTGATTATTTTGGAGATGGAATCTCAAGAACTATTTGCCCGAGCTGGCCTCAAACCAAGATCCTACTGATTTCAGCCTCTCATGTAGCTCACAGGTGTGAGCCACTGGCCCTTGGCTGTCTTCGTCTTTCCAGACTGAATGGAACAGCCTCCTGGGCTGCCCTGCCATAGCCTGTGAGAGCCCCTGTCCTCCTGTGGATCTCTCTGTGCCACTGTTGGGTGGTGGCACCATGAAGTCCTCACCAGTAGGTCTAAGCTGACCTCTTGCTGGGCTGAAGTTAGAAGCCACCCGGCCCAGCTAGCCCAGGGTGGGGAAGGGCCATGGGGATTTTCTGGAAGCTGCTGTCAGTGGAGAATGACACAGATCCACCCAAGCCTCAGAAGGGACAAATAGCATTGCCTGTGCTGCTGTTCCAGTCACCTCTGTTTCCAGAGTTCAGAAGTTAGGGGGCGGCAAAGACCTCAGTCTACTGCACTGACCCCCTAAGCAGTCTTGGTAGGTGGGTCCTCTCTTGGCCCCATGGGCCTCTGGGTCCAGGTTCTTAATGGCCCTGGAATATGTGAAGGCTGGCAGAGGGTAAATCACCCATGTGCTCCGTGCAACCCAAGGTAGTGAGTATTTGCAGTGGTCTTTGGTGAAGTAAAAAGTCCCAAACAAAGCTAAGACAGTCAGGCGCTGGTGGCTCTCACCTGTAAATCCTAGGTACTCAGGAGGCAGAGAGCAGATGGATCGTGGTTCAAAGCCAGCTGGGATAAACAGTTTGTGAGACCCTATCTTGAAAACACCCATCACAAAAAAGGGCTGGTGGAGTGGCTTAAGTGGTAGAGCACCTGCCTAGAAAGCACAAGGCCCTGAGTTCAAATGCCAGTACTTCCAAAAACAAACAAACAAAAAGATCCACTGAGACCCAGGCCTCATTCTGTTCCTGTCTTAGTTTGGGAGGCTACCATATGAAGTCCCATTAACTGAGTGGCTTAAAATGACACAGATCTGAACCAGGCACCTGTAATCCTAGCTAGTTCATTTTTCATGAACTATTGCCCAGGCTGGCTTTGAACCATGATCCTCGTAATCTCTGCCTCCCAAGTAACTCAGATTATAGGTATGAGCCACTGGAGCCCGGCTCAGTGGATCTTTGGGATGAGGGTTGGATGAACCACTGCACAAACATGCAGCCATCTTAGGCACATGTGTCATACAATGTCATCCTCAACCTTGAGAAGCAAGAGTGATTGTCCCCATTAGACAGATGAAGGAAACAGGGCTCAGAGAGCTGACCTGTGGCTCCACAATGCTATGACCGCCTCCCCTGCCTCTGGAAGGCCAGGTAGGTGCCTGCTTCTCATTTGCAGAGGGCTACACAGCATTGCTCCCTTGGGGATGAGAACATTTTCTGCCAAGCAGGTTCCATGGCATCCTATCCTATCTCCCCCACAGCCTGCAGTGGCCAGGAAGAGACTCAGAAAGGTGATGTAACTTGCCCGAGGCCACACGAGGGAGGAGGTGGAATAAAGACTAGGGTGCTGGCCCTGCAGGAAAGAAGTCTGGTGGGGGAGGACTGCAATTGACTGATAGCTGGGTGTGGGAGAGCGGGGAGGGACTGTGAGTAGGGGTGTGTTGGGAGCTGGAACAAAGGCCGAGGCAGGAGATGGCAGGTATATTCTAGAAATAATAGGAGCCAGCATGGCTGATGGACAGAGGCCAATCCAGGATTTATGGGGCCTAAAACATATCATTTTAGGGTCCCTCATTTTTTTTTTTGGGGGGGTGGTGGCTCTGGGGTTTGAACTCAGGGCCTCATACTTGCCAAGCAGGTGCTCTACCACTTGAGCCACCCATCAGCCCAGAAAATACTTGTTTAAATCCTACCATTACAAATGTTCCATAGCCACCGATCATACTGCTAGGCCTTCAGGGCTTTGAAGGGGTCCTGGGAAGGCATCAGCCTTCATCATTCTAGGGGCAGGCAGGTATCTGTGGGGAGGGGGCCTATGAGGAGGGGATGACGGCTGGAGTTTATGTTTTAGTCCTTACTGCCTAGCCAGACATTGCTGACCACTTGCTCTGAGTCTGGGCCTGGACTCGTGTCACCTCATGAAGGTGAGGAAACCAAGGCTTGACCAAAGGGTGCCCACAGGGGAGGCAGTTGAAGCACAATCCTGATGTGTGCAACACGCACTGTGGAAAGTCGAGCAGGTGCTTCACGACCTGGAAGTGGACTCTTGAGAGAACTGGTCCTTCAGGGCCAGGATCTGGCTCCCAGCTGGGCTCCTCTCAGTCCTATTTGGCCATCTCAAGGTACCTGGCCTTGGGGTCTGGGCTCCAGGCCCTCAGAAGGTGAGAGGCTGCCTCTAGAAGCCAGCCTCTCCCGACTCCATCTGCTCGGTCCCCTTGTAGGGCTTGCTGGTTCCTTTATCCTTTTTGATTCTGGAGCACACTCAGTACACTCAGTTTGCAACTCAAAAGGCCGAGCTGGGTGCAGAACAGGGTGGGGGCAGTGCCCTTGCTCATGTCTCATCAGGTGGGCAGAGAGAGAGCACCAAGGTCCTTCTCTGGAGACCCACGGACCCCAGAACGTGTGGAAGACACATTCTGCTGTGACACGACTGGAGACCTGGGCAGCCCCCAGGCAGAGAGATCCAGAGAGCTGGGCTGGAGCTGAAGCACCTCCATGGTCCCGAGGGGCCCCACGTCAGCTGCCAGCCGGAGCCTGCGCTGGCAAGGTCAGGAAGCTGCTCCTCTCACCTGGCTACTGGACCCAGTGCCAGGTCAGCACAGCCCAGTTCAGGGAGTGCCACCAGGCCTGGTCAGATGGAGCAGTGAAGAGAATGAGCGTTGTCCTACAGCACTGTGCAGAGGGCAGAAGACGGAGGGCAGCGTGGTAGGCACAATAGCGACCTTCAGGGGATCTGTCCTAGAGCCTGGCGCTAATGGGCAAGGGCGTTAGCGCTTCTCATCAGCTGGCTCTGAAAGCAACATTGTCTTGGATTATTTAAGTCAGCACATGCGACTGGGTGCGGGAGATAGGAGGGTAGGTCAGAGTGTACAAAGTTCACTCTGTTTGCCTGAAGCTTCATTTTAAGATGAGGAGGGAGCCAGGAGCCAAGTGATGTGTGGCTCCAGAGCTGAGACAGTTAACAGACTGTCCCTAGAACTTCAGTCCAGCCCCGAGGCCATGTGCAGTTCTCAGTGACTTCGGTCCACTGAGACCATGTTGGATTCCCAATCTATAGAACTGCGAGATGCCAAAAATGCTGGTGTGAGCCAGTATTTGTGGCGATTTGTCACAGAAGCAACAGGAAACTTTGGTGGGGGGGCAGAGCGGGTCTGGGTAGGAGGGAGGGGCATCGGGACCCATGCCATCTGTAAGCCTGGGCCACTCATACAGCCTTACCCACTTTCCTGCTCCTACTGGGAGGTGCTGAGAAGAGCTGCTACCTACTCTGTGCCTGGCCCGCACAGGTGCGGAAGTGGCTAACGACCTTTCAAGGGGTGCCTGCATCACTCCCATCTGAAAGGCTGAGAAATGGAGACCCAAGTCAGTGCCTCACAACAGTGCCCACGGCAGCACTGTGCTGCCCCAGCCAGCAGAAGACCACCCAGAGGACAAGGCACCACTCACTGTTACAGATACTTGTGTCCGTGTATCCCAGGACCACACTGCCATAGGGACATGGGGCTGACTGCTCCCTTCATCTCTGGAAACGTTCACTGTGAGTCCCAATCCCAACTTTTGACACGTCATTGTAATGCCACAGCTTCCTGTGGGGCTTACTGTATTCACAAGCGGACCTAGAGCTGTCCCTGTCCTCTAAACCAGTTTTACAACAGGATCTGTGAGTCCCTGACAAGTCACCAGGACTGGAGCACTTCACTGGGGCCAGAGGGGCAGCCCTGAGGGCTGCATATGTTGTCACAAATAAGCCACCTATAATCCAAGTTTTACGCTGGAATTAGCACACCTCATTGAAACACCCCAAAATTTGCTAGAAACTGATTTTATTAACAAGTCACATGATATAAAAGAAAGAGAACATTCAAAGGACATGTAGTGAAATAGTGCTATGTCTCAAAGGGCAGCCAGAGAAGGATAAGGCACAATGGGTATTTAGAAAACACCAGTAGGAGCCTGAAGAGTGGAAGCTCGTCATCTGTGTACACACTCACACACACCCCACGTGCCTATGGCCCATCAGAGAAGAACGTACCAGGAGTCAGCAGTCAGGGGTCTGAGATAACCAGTGGGCTGGCAGCTGATATCCCCTGCAGCTCGGACATTCCAAAAGGCTGGGGACACCTCTCAAGCCAATCCTTTCCACTTACTTATGACAACATGGTTCTGGCTGCAGGAGCTCACAAGTTATCAAGGTAAGTGAAGAGCTCTTACATTTGGAGTGTGAAAGGGTTGCACTTCCATGGCTTGCCACCGAGAAGGCCTGCCTTCCTAAGGCAAGTCCCAGGAAGCACCGTAAGAGCCATGTTCCCACCACAGAGAGCCCCAAGAGCCTGGAAAGCCCTCCTCTTGTGCCTGGCTCCTCTGGGGAAGGGCAAGGCCACGCACCCACAAACAAGCCTCCTTTTGAACATCCTTGGGAGATAGAGACCAGCTCAGAGAACCTCACAGTGTTGTGCTCTGAGGTTAACAATGGTGTCTCCTTGAGTTGCCAGAGGTCACAGGCTCATCAAGCTAGGACAGTTGAAAAAAGACCAAAGCTAGGCCCCAGACCAAGCACATGGGACAAGGGCAGGTCGGGGTGTACCGGCTGAGGGGAGCCACTTGGGCCAAGAGAGAGAAGGGATTTCCAGGAGCTTTTACCAGTGTGGAGTACTAGGGGGCAGGGAGGGGGGGCTTGGGGGGTAGAGCGTCTGCTGGTCCACAGGACAACCACCTCCAGCACAGGGACATCACCAAAGGCTAACAAAAAGGCACTTTCCTTCTGCTCAGTGTCTCGGGTCTGCAGGAGATCTGGGCAAGGAGCCCTCGCCTGGCTTCCTCCAGTCCCAGTGCTGCCCAGGAGGGATGGTGCCTTTTCTGCATGGCTCAATCCAGGGAAACCCTCCCCACTTCAGAGTGACAGCCTGCCCCAGCAGTGTGGGTGGAATGCCAGCAGAAGGAATGAGATATGTGGTCACCAAAGTCCAGAAGATCAAAGGCTCATGTTGAACCTGCAGAGCCTGGGCTCTGGCCCTCAGCTTCTTGCCACTGGAACTGCTGCTAGCAGTCCCTGCAGAGCAGAGGACACCACTCACCTAGAGATGGGTACGAAGGTGTGTTTTTGGGAAGGAGGGAGCAGCTGGGTTCAGAGTCCAGGGAAGGGTGGTCAGGCTTGAAGACCAGCTCCACACAGTCCAGGCACTGTGTGGAAGTCACTTCTCTGTGGTCTGAAGGATCCACACACCCCACACAGCCAAGGAGGCCCTCTGCCCACAGCATCAAAGACTAATGCAGACTGGCCTGGCCTGGGAAAATGGTGCCCGGTGTGACCAGTCTCAGCCCTGCTCCAGGCTGTCGGTGGGCTGCACCACGGTGTAGCTACCCTGGCCCATGGAGAGCTGCCGGCTGAAGAAGGATGTGCTGCGCTTTGGCTTCACTCGCTTGATCCCCTTGCCTGAGAGGGAGAAAAGAGGAACACGCTGAGAAGAGGCGCTGCGTTGGTAGCCTAGGCCCCAGACGGCTGGGCTCTCACTCAGGTGGGATGGCTCCTTCTGGAGACCGAGTGCCCCCTTCATCTGCCCCCTTCTGAGCCTGTCCTCCACCCCTAACTCTACCACAGATTGCAGAGAGGGGGCCAGTGGCTGGTGCCTGACCAGCTGTGCTATCTGAGGAACTTTTGCCACAACTTGTTCAACTGAGCAAAAGAAACCAAGTACTGATGACACACACGACTAAGGGGAACCCCAGGCAGGTAGAAAGAACTCTCAAAGCTAAGACCATCAAGCAAGGTAGCTAGGGACAGGCCTGCAGTCACAGACCATGCACTGTGCACCTCTGACAAGGTGTGAGAGAACAGCACCTAACCTCTGCTGTCTGCCTCCCCTAAGCCCACAACCCAGTCTAGATGCACAAAAAAATCCAAGTCCACGCTAGGGATGGAGCTCAGTGGTGGGGTGTACAAGGTCCTGGGTTCAATCTGCAGCACCACAAAAAAAAAAAAAAAACCCTCTAAATTTTTTTTTTGTTAGCATATATAATTGTAAAAATGGCTTCACTACGATATTTCCATACATGCACATAATGTACTTTGATCAAATTCAGCCCCTCTATTACTCTTTCTTATTCCTTCTCCCCTAATTCTAGATTTATAGGGAGGGCCTAGATTTAATCGAGGGCACTGGGTGGTCCCTGTTTCTCAAGTTCTAGAAGATGCTGCAGGACACAACTGTCGAGGCAGCAGGGAGAAGGGAAAGGACCCTGACAACCCAGACCCTGGCTCTCCGTCTCTCAGCTGGACTCTGTGGGGAGAGAGCTGACCCCATCTGAATTGCCCTGGAGTTGGCATGGCACGTGGGTACCATTCGCAGGACAAGTGGCTCACCGTCTTCCACATAGTCGATGGTGGAGAGATGCTGGATCCGGCTGCACACCACGCTGCACTGCCTCCGCAGCTTGGGGCGCTGGGTGGGAGGCAGTGAGGAGTCATGGGCTGAATGGGCGCCAGGGGCTCTGTCCTGGGGGGCGGCGGGCTCTGCAGCCTGGCTCAGCTCAATGCAGTACTCGATGAGGCCGCTCATCAGCTCAGCCTGGGGAGGGACAGGGGCCAGATGAAACCACAGGGTGGCCTGAGCCTTCAATCACACACACAGACCTAAGGCCCGTGCCCTCTGGTAGGGGTGGGAGCAGATTTGGGAACAAACACCTTTTCCGAGGAAAGAAGGAAGAAGAGAGGAAGAGAGAGTCAGGTAATCTGGGGACTAGGGAGCAGGCTGGGTACAGTGGCTCACACCTATAATCCCACCTATTCAGGAACTAGAGATCTGGAGGATTGAGGTTTAAAGCCAGTCCCCGCAAAAGGTAGCAAGACCCCATCTCAACAAACAAGCTGGGTATAGCATTTGTGATCCTAGCTACTTGGGAAGCCTTTAAGTAGGAGGATTTAGACTTGAGGCTGGCCCTAGGCAAAAGCAAGACCCTACCTAAAAAATAACTACAGTGAAAAGGGCTGGGGGTGTGGCTCAAGTGGGAGAGGACCTGCCTAGCAAGTGCCTTGAGGTCCTGAGTTCAAATTCCACTACCACCCCCCCCCACCTCCCCAAAAAAAGGCTGACTGCAGGCTAGAGCAAGTGGAGGAGCCTAGCTGGGCTTCCAGAAAACAGCTGCTGCAGAGAGGGAGGGGGTGGTCTGGCTGAAGAAAGGCGCCTGTGTGGTGGGAGAACCTGCAGGCCTGCGGAGGAGGGTGATGTCACTGGCGGGGTGGCTCCCTCTGAGCACATTCCTCTGACATGATGCCTTCTCCACAGACTGCTAACAGATGTGTTGACACAAAAGGCAACGTGCCAGACATCTGAGGGCACAGCTGGGTACCATGACCAGGGCCTAGGGCTCCAGAGGAGTCATAGAAGCTGCCCCAGGGTGCTGTCCCTTTGTCAGGAAACGTTATTTACTGGGCACCCTGCAGTGTCAGACCCCCGTGCTTCTGAGGGACCTGAGAACTGAATGGCAGAGCTAGGTCCAGTGTCTGGTGGTGGCCCCATGGGCACTGCTCCAGCCCTGTGCGTTTAATGTGGCTGGAGGCCTGGTACTGGCACAGTCCACCCTGGAGGGATGGGAGATTGGGCCGGCAGCCCTCCTGGCCCAGGAGGAAGAGCAGCCACCAAGGCCGAGGTCTCTACGGGTCCTGCCTTTGAGGGACAGTCCACATGGCCCCCTCTCCCACTAAGGGAGCACCATTAGGCAGAGGGGCAGTGAACTAGTGACAGGTGGCAGCTGAAACACACCAGGAAAACCCTCCAAGTACCAAAACCAAAAGCTCATGGCATAGCCCAGTGCTTCCTGGGAGTTGAAATGGCCACTTCCGTTCAAATACCCATTCCTGCAACAGCACTTGGGGGCTGGAAGGGAACTTTCTCAACCTGAGGCAGGACAGCCACCAAGACCCAGGGCAACACCTGACGTCTGTGGGAGGCCCGCGGTCCCTCAGGGAAGGGGCAGGTGGGGAAGGGTGCGCACACCTGCCTCGAGCCAGTGCACACTGTCAGGCAGGATGAGCGTCAGGGCGACAGGCACACAACTGTCACCAATCACAGACAACTTAACTGTCTACACAGAAAACTCCAAAAGCCTTCAGAAAAGCTACTAGAGCTGCAGGCCACAAGATACACAGGTAATAAAATCAATTGCCTTTCTTTCTCTTCTGTTTCTCTCTCTCTGGAACTTCCTATGTAGCCAGGTTGGCCTCGAATTCGTGATCTTCCTGCCTCTGCTCCCGAGTGCTGGGATTAAGCATGTGCACCATCACGCCCGACCTTCAATTGCATTTCTTGTGTGTGTGTGTGCTACTGTAGCTAAGATTACAGGTATGTACCACATACCTCCCCTTCTCCCATCCTTCCCCTTCCCCTTTTTGAGACAGGGTTTCGCTACATTTCTCAGGCTGGCCTTGAACTCCTGTGCTCGAGGGACCCTCCTACCTCACCTTGGCCTAAGTAGTTAAGACTACAGGTATGCACCATCATGCTTGGCTCCCAAGCACTACAAATAAGGGCCATTCAACCTGTATAAAGCTTCAGTCATGGTTACAATGTGGTTATTAGTGAAAGACAATACACAAGGATCAGCTGAGAATCCAGAGACAGACGCACACACACATGGCCAACCGACTTTGACCAAGCATGCAAGGGCAAAGGCGGAGTACAAACCACATCCATAACTTCATCTTGCCTCACGCTTGCTAGGCACACGCTCTACCACTTGTGCCACTCCGCCAGCCCTGTTTTTTTTCACACTTCAATCCTCCTGTCTCTGCCTCCTGAGTAGCTAGGATTACAGGTGTGAGCCACCAGCCCATCTTTCATAAGCTCAAAAATGAAGCGCACTCACACACCCTCATGTAAAAACTAAGCCTAGAGAGCTACCCATGTATGGCAGTGATGTCACTGCAGTTTTAAGTTGCATTTTCCTAATGACTGATGGTATTGCCTACTAATTGCTATTTACAGATCTTTTGGGCAGTGTTGGGTCAAATCATTTGTCCGTTGTTTTATTGGTTTTCTTAGGAATTGTGTGAGTTCTGTATGCATTCTACACACTAGTCCTTTAATATCTCTTCTGCAAATGTTTCCTTTCTGTCTACAATTGGACTTTTTGTTTTCTTTGGTGGTACTGGGGTTTAAACTCTGGGCCTTGTACTTGCTGGGTAGGCAGGTGCTCTACTGCTTAAGCCATACCCCCAGCCCTTTTTTTTTGCTTTTTAGGGTTTTTTTTTTTTTTTCCTTTTTTTTCAATAAGATCTTGCATTTTTGCTCAGGCCAGCCTTAGCCTCAGACCGAAATGTAGCTGAGACAGGTGTGAACTAGCACATCCAGCTTATTTTGTTGAGATGGGGTCTTGCTAACTTTTTCTCTAGACTGGCTTTGAACTGCAATCCCCTAATCTCTGCCTCTTTGTTTTGTTTTGTTTTTTTTTTTTTTGATGGCACTTAGGTTCGAACTCGGGGTTTCATGCTTGCTAGGCAGGCACTCCACCATTTGAGCCACTGCACCAGCCATCTCTGCCTCTTTGTAATTTCTGGGCATGAGCCACCAAGACTTGGCCTCACCTTTTTTTTTTTTTTTTTTTGGTGGTACTGGAGTTCATACTCAGGATCTTGTTAGGCAGGCACTCTATCACTTAAGCCACACTTCCAGTCCCTGGGTTTTTACATAAGAAAAGGTCTATGACCATGTAAAAACCTATACACAAACATTTATTCATTTATTTATTTGTGATACTGGGGTTTGAACTCAGGGCCTACATCTTGAACCACTCCACCACCAGCCCTTTCTTTTTTTGTGAGGTTTTTTTTTTTTTTTTTTTTTTTTTTGGGATAGGGTCTTGCAAACTATTTGCTGGGCTGGTTTGGAACCACAATCCTCCTGATCTCTGCCTCCTGAGTAGCTAGGATTATAGGTGTGAACCACTGGCGCTCAGCTTACTTAAATGTTTAGAAAAGTCAAAACTGGCAACAGCCCCAATGCTCTTCAATGGGTGAACAGGTAAGGGCTGCAAGGCGCTGGGTTCCATCCCCTGAACCTCTCCCTGACCCTCCCCTCCGCCCCCCTGCCAAAAATGGTGCCCAGATGAGCAATGGAATGGTGCGTCACCATAAAACAGGAGGAAGTGGGGCTGGAGTGTGGTACAGTGGTAGGGCACTGGCCTAGCACATGTGAGGCCCTGGGTACAATCCCCAAAATCCCAAAAACAGAAACCAAACAAAAAGAAAAAAAAGGGAATGAACTGCGCTACCACACAATCTCAAAAGCACGCTGCTAGTGGAGGTACGCCTATCGCACATACTGAAGTTTATCTAGTCGCCAGATGATGCCCATCCCTGCTATTTCCAACTTTTTGGAAGAGCAGAGAGGACATGTGTTTTTAAGGATGGGAGTCCCTAAGACTTGTCTATGTGCCAAGAGAAGGGAGGAGTAACAACAGTCGCCAAAAGAGCTCACTGCAGGGAGGACAATGCTGTGACCAGAGGGAGAAGCAGAGGCAGGAGAGTGGGGAGTAGGTGGAATGAATGGATCCAGACATGGGTCTTGAGGGCCTTCACCCTTCCCCACCAGCTCATCTGAGGGTGCGAATCACCACAGCACCCATCTCTCAGTGGTTCGTGTGACAGGAGACAGCGCTGCTGCTCACGCAACCCTGGGCGGTACTCCAACCTCCTTCCCAGCCAGCCTGGAGCCTCCAAGAGTATGGGGCCTGCTGGGGACCAGCACAGCTTTTCCTCTCCCCAGGGGCAGGTGACGCCACAGCTACCTGCTTGGAGTAGACCCTGAGCAGCTTGTTGACAGGCACGCCCTCGCTGTCCCCATCGAACTCCAGCCACAGGACAGGCTCCTCTTCCTCGGGGGAGGTGTGGTCCCATGACAGCTCCTGGAAGCGCAAGCCCAGCAGGACATGCTGGCCAGCGGGAGAACAGAACAAGGCTTGGAACCCTGGCCAGGGACACCTGGTCAGGGCGCTTGCCTCTCCAGACTGAGTCTAAATTCCTCCACGCTTCTCTAAGGAGAGGGGGCCCAGCTCCCACGGGACCCTTGTGAGGGGCTTGGTCCAGGGAGGTGAGAACCCCTCTTTCTCCGTCCTTCCCTCCAGGGAGTTAAGCCCCTGGCAGCTGGGAGGTCACAGGGGGAAAGAGGCAGGTGGGAGGGGGAGGTCTTTGCCATGAGAACAGCTGCTCTTAGCATGCCAGGCACAGCTGCCCAAGAATAGCTCAGTCCCTCTCTGGGGACCAACAGATGTCAGCCGAAACTCTCTTGCCAGCTTGTGAGGGGACTCCAATCAGGTGTGGGGAAACTGCCATACAGGGAGGGCTATTGATACTGCAGTCTATCCCAGCAGATGGAGGTGAGGCAGGGATGAGCATCTGGTGGCTCATCCACCAAATGGACAGCCCAGGAGGGCTCCCAGCTGTGAGGTCTTTCTGGAAAACCATCAATGTAGCAGCCAGATGCTGCCTGATTCCCTCTACTCCCAGGTGCAGCCTCCCACCCCTCCCTGCCTCGGTCACACCTTGCCCAGCAGCAGAGAAAAGCTGACCCAGAGCAGACCGAAGGAAGCCCCCAGGTCCTGCGAACAGGACCCAGGACATCAGAGGAAGGCAGGGCATTCCCAGATAGTCCACTCACACTGCCCTCAGGCCCCCACTCCCTTTTGCCCCACGAAGGGCACCTCAGGTCCCACCCTTTGGAAGCTGGAGGAGGTACCTTCTCCCTGCTGTCAATAACATGCACACCCTCCAGACTGATGGCCACGGTCACCGGCTTGCGCCCACCCCGGTGCAAAAAGCCCTGGGCTGGCTTGTCAATCTCGCCGTGGAAGAAGGCACACCTGGGGAAGGGACTAGCATGAGCCACTCCCTCCAGCACGTGACTCACTCTGGAGGCCTGCTCTGGGCCCCGAGAAGCCTAAGCTGTTTGGGTGGCTGAGGGCTAAACAGAAACCTGTCCCGGGGAGGGAGAAGCTGAAAGGGGGAGAAGCTGGTTTCAAGGGGTGGTGGAATCTGAGTGTTCATGCAGGTCAGGAGGGTTGAGCAGGCGGGAGGAGAAATGGATGGCACAGCACAGGGTGGGCTCTGTGGGCAAAGGGGAGAACACAAACCAGGCAGGGAGAGAGCAAGCTGCATTCAGGGCTGGCCAGGGGCCTCAGGTTAGGGAGTGAGGCTAAGGCTGATGGAGGTGGCCAGGCCATGAAGCCCCAATGCCCACTGTCCAGGCAAAGACCCTGCAGCAGCAGTGACCTGCTGGGACACACAAGAAGGCAAGGGCTGCCCAGGGGAGAACATGCCCTGGGCTCAAGACTCAGAAGACACCCACTTACTGCCTTCCCTCCTGCCAGCCACATTCTCTCCCGTCCTTATGGCTCACCCTCTACCCTTGCACTTGGCTAATCCAAGTCTGAGTTAAGTCACCCTGCAGCATGAGAGGACTAGAGGTGATCACAAACCCCTCTTCTGGAGAATTCTAAAATCCTCCCTTGACCCTACGCTCAGCTAAAGAAGAACTGAAGCAGCCAGCAAGAACATCCCCACCTTCCCCCATCAACGTCTCACTCTCCCTAGGTCACACACATGCGGGTGCTGTCACTTCACTCATCATAAAAATGAGTAAACTCTTTGACTACTCCATTGCTCTACATTTTACAACAAAGTTCCTTGAAAGCTGGGGACACTTACTGTCTCGATCCCCCCTCCACTCATTCCCACCTCCACGGGGCTGAGGCCAATCATGAGCCTCAACAATGAGGAGGAGCTGGACAGGACAAGCTGAACTTGACCTCGAAGCCCCAGCACTGCAGTGCATGGTACTTGGCCTAAAGACAACCTCCTGCCCTCTCAGCCCCGGGTCCTCTCTTGGCCTGGCCACTACTCACCACCCCACATTGGCCATCTCTTGGGGGTTCTTGGCCCCAAACTCCATCTACCTGCCAAGGACTCACTAACCACCCTCTGGGCTCAGACCTCTCTCCCCACTCAACTTGAAACCCAAATGCCCACATGGAGTTACCACTGAGGCATCTATCAGGTGTGTCTAAGTCAGCATGTCTAAAACCAAGTTCCTGGTCTTTCCCTGACCTGTTCCACTGCAGACTTCATCCCAGTTGACAACAACTTTCTCTATAGAGTCTAGTCTCCTCTCCTATTGGGCACCTACCTACCAGACCCTGTCGACTCCACCCTGAGAGGTCTCCAGAACCTTACCAGGCTCCCACTTTTGTCATTACCATCAGGTCTGAGCCATCCTTCTCTGCATTACTGTTACCCTCCTCTGCTCTCCTGGCTGCCACCTGTAGGTGATCCTCTACCTCTGCCTCCCTTCCCCCAATGCCAGCTTCACGAGACAAGGTCAAGGGTCCCTGGCTCACCAAGGGCCCTCCGGTGTGTATGGAGTGTCCAGCACACAGAAGGAATGTATGAGCAAAAGTTGGCTGAAGGACAGACTGCTGGCCAGTGACCAAGTGACCTGGCAGGTGGGATGGAGGAAGAAGTGGATTGGTGGCTAACTTGGGACTGGTGCTGACCCCAAGCTAGCTCTTCACAGAATGGACAGCATACTGGAGCAGAGGTGGGCTAACTGGCATCTCTATCAGTCACACCCAAGGACGGGCTATGGGGCTGGCAGAGGAGGGCAGAAGGGCACTGAACTGGGGTGGGGCACTTACCCATAGAAGGGCAACTCGTGGCACTTGAGGAGGTAGGCACGGTAATGGGAGCCCAGCGTGGCCTCATGCTCGCTGCTGTTACCAATTGTTTCCTTCACCTGGCGGTACGCGTTTAGCAGGCCCTGCTCACCCGTCCCAGCTTTGGCTCCGCGGCCCCGGAGGGCAGCAAAAAGGCCATGGCTCCGCTTGCAGAGGTGGGCTGGGAGGAAGGAGTTTAACTTCTCCCTGTGAAGGAAGGAAGGTGGGTGTTGGAGGCCTGGCCAGAGGTGCCGAGGTCTTCCTAGCATGGGGGCCACCCTCACAGAGGAAGGACAGGGCTCTGTAGGTGGCCTGGCTTAGGGATCCACATGGCATACAAATGTACCAGGGTCTTCCACTGTCCAGTGGAGGCACCAGGCAGTGTCCCCTGCCCTGACATAACTGCAGGGATCCCCACCATCTCCACCCCAGCAGTGGCCTACTCAGCCTGTTCACAGGCCAATCCTACCTGGAGTTTAGGGACTGCTATGTGGGGGCTGGGACATAAATTTCTTCCAATTTAGAGTTTAGGTAAAAGCCCTCGGGGGCAAAGGGGACTAGGGTACCAGACATAGGTAGGGTCAGAGCTCAGCTCTCCTGCTGCCAGTCTCCACTCTCCTGCCACACTTCCATAGGACAGGCTCTGGATTCAGACTGTCTGTCACAACCAGCTGTGTGACTGGCAAGAGGCACCTTCCCTGCTCTGTGCCCACTTCATCTGCAAAATGGGAATGGGATGGTGATGCCACCCCCACCCCCGCCCCCGGTGTTGCTACCTGAACCTAAAACATGACAAGCTCTTTAAGTGTAAGCCTAGGATCAGGGTAGGAGGTCCACAATGATGGTCTGGGCTCACTGTGTAACGCCACACTGTTGCCCAGCTGTCTTGATGGTCCAGATGCCGTACACTGGGCCCAGGAGCCTGGGGCCACCTTCCTGTCTTTTCTACCAGGCCAGCCAATGACCTAGTTCCCTTCAAATTGTGGTCCTCCTGATCTCTACCTCCTGAGTAGCTAGAATTACAGATGTGAGCCACCAGCGCCTGGCATGCTGGGTGCTATGGAATGTCCTTCAACCTGTCCTGCAAGACTGCAGGACTCTGTGACTCTCAAGCTTGAGAGATACCCAGGTTTACAGGAGAGGCCTGAAGGAAAGGCGGTTTGGCCAAGAAAGGAGCCAGAAGCACACCCAGCAGGGATCTGGACGGGTTGCAGGGTAGATCAGTGTGTGTCCTGAGGCAGGACACTTAGGTTTCCTGAGTTAGAGGAACTTTTACAACCAAAACCTGGTGTGAGTGGCCTGACACTCAATGTTCTGTTCTGCCAGACAAAGATGTCAAAACACCAACCCTGATCAACATCTGATCATGAAAAACAGAGCATCCTCCATCATACATGCACCCAGGACAGGAAAGGTTCTCATCATAAATGCAACTACTTTTTGGGCGTCAGTGGCTCACACCTGTAATCCTAGCTACTCAGGAGACAGAGATCAGGAGGATCGCAGTTCAAAGCCAGCCCGGGCAAATAGTTCATGAGACCCTACCTCAAAAAAAAACCTGTCACAAAAAAGGGCTGGTGGAATGGCTCAAGGTGTAGGACCTGAGTTCAAGCCCCAGTGCTGTAAATAAATAAATAAATAACATGTAACTACTGGCTGGGTGCCAGCGGCTCACTCCTGTAATCCTAGCTACCCAAGAGGCAGAGATCAGGTGGATCACGGTTTGAAGCCAGTCAGGGCCAACAGTTCTTGAGACCCTATCTCGAAAAATACCAGCCAAAAAAGGGCTATCAGAGTGGCTCAAGTGGTAGAGCACCTGAGGCCAAGTTCAAACCCCAGTACTGCCAGAAAAAAAAAAAATGCAACTACTTTTCCATCTTAGGCCACCCTGGCATCCTACAGGCCGTGGTCAGCCATTCCAATAAGCTGCAGCAGAAGATCTCTGTCTGAGGCCTCCAAGGCTCCATCTCCCTGTGTATAAGAAGGACATGAATCCTACGCAATAGACAGGGAAAAAGGGTCAGGATGGGCCCAGCCCAAAGTTGGTGCAGGATAAATTCCACTGAGGACATCATTTCTCCAGAGAGGAGGGGTCCCCCTTGGGCTTCTAAAGTCCAAACATCCCAGGCCGTGGGGAGGGGACAGCGCTGCAATAGAAGGGTCAAGGTGAGGAAGGAACTTGGGTCGGCCTGAGAGGCTCAGGCAAAGGGAGGAGGGGATTTTGGGGGGCTGCCCAACTGTCTCAGCGCTGCTGTGCATATGTCATCATCTGTCCCCCAGTCTTCCTGCTCTCGGCTCACAGTGAGACCCATCACAAGACCTGGATGCAGCTACAGTGCTTCCTCTGGGTGAACCTGGGACCAAGCCCTGAGTGAGCACGAGGGCTCTGGTCATGTAAGAGGAAAGGCCCCTCCAACAAGCAGCTGCCTACTGCCACCTGGTCACAAGGCAAGAGCATGCCTGGGTTTGTGCTGGCCAAGAGGAGGAGGGCTGGGTGACATGAGGGAGTACAAGGCCTAGGTCCCAGCTGAAACCTCACACTGATCTCAGTGTGAAGCACCCTGACCATCCAGGCTGCATGGTACTGAAGCTCATGTCAAAATGAGCTTTTATTTTTATTTTTTTTGTCATGTGCCAGGTGAACAGACATGCTCATCGTAAGTGCTAGGACCCCACAGCACCCAGCCTTGAGCCAGCTCTGCTGGGAGCCGTCAGGTGAGTCTGAGTCCAGAGCCTGACAGGCTTCAGCATGGGGACCTGTCCCTGCCTGTCTCTCCCAACTTACCCACAAGATCAATTTGGGGAGGGGAGGAGCCCTGACTAGGAACAGCCTGCAAATTCATGGTCACAGGAATTACTTCAAAATTGAGAGGCACCCTCCAAGGAGATCAAGACTGGCCTGGTCTGCTGCCAGGGCAGACTAATCCTCACCAATCCCAAGGCCTGCTAATTCACACAGCAATGACAGGTCTCTCCAGAGAGGGGTGAGAAGCGGACAGCAGCTTGCTGAGTGTCTAGGGAGCAGGGCTCCATCCTCAGGGTTTGGAACTCAGCTGCCCTGTTACCGGTCACCAGAGAATCTAACTCCCTCCTGACTTCAGCCAGAGCCTGGGCTCCATCCTTATGCACATCTGGGGCCCCTCCAGGTGGGGACTCATCTCAGGTATCACTTCTGCCGAGTCTTCCAACACTCACAGCACAAGAGGAAAAGAAGGCTCCAAGAGGTGGAGCAACTGCCCAAGGCCACACAGGAAGTCTATGCGAGACCGAGGCCTCTAGACTCCAGGACTGTACCCCACCTTGTAGGTCCTAGGACTACTTGTAAGTAGGATCCCAGGGGCAGCCTCCCCAACCAGGTGCCACTGCCCTCACCTCAGGGTACAGGCCGCAGGCTGGCCAGGCTGGTAGGGCCCAAGCTGCACACGGCACACCAGAGCACCCAGCACCTCGCAGTCCTCCACGTCACATGGGTACCGAGCGGCCAGCACATTGGCCTTAGCCTCCTCATAGAGCAGCCGAAGGACCTCTTCCTCGTGGATCTGTGGGCCGGTGTGGCAGGCGAGGACCACTCAGCTAGGCTGGGACCAGGCATGAGTGTTTATGGGTCTAGGGGCAAGGGAGCTTGGACACAGGACATGAAGGACCTGGGTGGCACTTGCTGCCTTACCTGGAGCTCCTGCCGCCTTGGGAAGAACACGTTCCTTCGGAACTGTAGGGAAGGCTCATCTGGGGATAAACCTTGGGGTCACTGCCTGGCCATCTTCCTCCAATGACCTTGATCCCAGCTCCCAGCCCTCTCCACCCCAACGGCGAAGGCCTTTGTTCTAGAAATGGCTACCCAGAGAGGCACACCAGCAGCTCACCTCTTTCTGCCTCTCCCAGCCCACCCTTCTCTGGGACTCCCTGCAGTCACCCTGTGCTTCCGTGCCCCTCAGCTAGGGCACCTCCGTGAGCCTGCCACATCACTAACCCATGGCCACGTCGTCATCCGGGGCGTCAGTGAAGCGTAGCAGCAGCTCTGGCCACTGGCGGCCCAGCTTGTAGGGCTGGTGCTTGGGCTTCAGCTGCACCTCTGTGGGGAGAAGGGATGTGTCATGCAGTCTCCAAACAGACAATAATGCCCACCCTGCCAGCCCCAGCGAGGGCAGTCACAGCCAACAGTGGCTGAGGAGGACTAAGCATCCAGAGCCATTTCAAGTGGTTTACACACATTTACCCTGCAATATTCCACCCTCCATTTTACCACAGAGAAAATGAGGCTCAGAGAGGTTAGGCTGCTTGGCCAAAATCACAGCAAGTCAAAGGGTGTCTGGCTTTAGGCATAGCCAGGCTCTGTTCAGTACAGCCCCAGGACAAGTTGCAGCTGAGAGGGTGAGGTGGATAGAAGATGCTTGGGGATGTGGCTCAGAGGGACACAGCACTGCCACCAGAAAAAAGTACCTGAGGCTGGTGACTAGGACCCAAAGGCCTAAGGAGCTGCCCTTCCTTTCCCTTGACAAAGCCTGGTCCCACCCCCCTCCCACCAGTCTCCAGGTGACCCTCCATTGTGCAAGCTCTACACCTCCATGGTCCACAAGCACTCCATCATTTGCTTCTGCCCGGCCCTCCCACCTTACTGCCTTCTCTCTCCCTCCTGCCTTGCTCCTACTACACTGCCTTATTAAATGGCACGAGATCTAGAGTGTTTGTGCCTCAGAGTCTTGACACTTGTTTTCCTTCTGCTTCAGGGACCCATCTCACCCATCTTTACTTGCTGGCTGTCTCAGGTCTTAGTTCAAGGACACCTGTCCTGGCCCCCTAACTAAGGCAGCCCTTCCTCAAGACATTCTATCACAAAACTGCACCATTTTTTGCTCACCTTTATGGAGTTCTCCACCCCTGACATTCTTTTACCACCTCTGCCCACACTCAACTGTAAGTGCCACATGGGTAGGAGCCAGCTGAGTCTTGCCCATTGCTAAATCCCTGGCACACAGGGGGCCCACACCATGGATTGGCACTCCACTCATAGCCCCTCAACCTCTAGGCTGCCAACACCTTGGGTCAGGAGTGACAGGGAAGTTGGGCTCCTGCACCAGCACCTGCCAGCCAGCTGACAGTGGCCACTGGGGCACTGGCCTTGAGATGTGTGAGGCCATTTCTAAGCTCACCCAGAGATACACTGAGATGTTTGCTGAGGAAGCCTGCCATGTACTCTGCCCCACACTCCTCCCTCTGCCCTTCCCCCTTCTCTCCTCATGCCGAGCGCATTGTCCTGACAGCCTGATGCCAAGGGTCCTTGTTTCTGTTCTTTGGACTATCTGAACCTTCCTTCTGGAACCCTGATCTTGACCACAAACAGCAACCACAGCCTCCCTACCCCCAGCCTCTTCTGTCTAAGCCCTGCATTCAGCTTCCCTAGATATTTCTTTTTGTTCGGTAGTGAGGTTGAACTCAGAGCCTTCACCTTGAGCCACTCCACCAGCCCTTTTTGTGATGGGTTTTTTCAAGATAGGGTCTTGTGAACTATTTGCCCAGGCTGGCTTCAAACTGCGATCCTCCTGATCTCTGCCTCCTGAGCAGTGAGGATTATAGGTGTGAGCCACTGGTGCCCAACTCCTGGACATTTCTTGTCCCATCATTTCTGAGCCAGATTTCCTAGGGAGCTCAATGGCCAGCATTTTCCCCCTAGACCCCTGGACCCACTCATCTGTCACCCTTCCAGCCTTCCTCTCCCCTTCAGGAAGGGCTTCTTGACATCTTGCGCCCCCCAGCACCCATCATGCTCTAAAGAGCATTGAAGTCATCCACTACACAGATAGAACCTGAAGCCTGAGGGACGGGGACTGCCAGAGGTCAAGGGCAGTGGCTACAAAGAACCACAGCTTTGCTTCCCAAACCCCCTTCACCCCACTTGCGACTGGAAAGAACCCATTACCAATTCCCAGCTCTGTCCCTAGCATCTCTAGCATCCAGTGTGGGGAAAGGTCACTCTGGGAACAGGGAAGTCCTGTCTCCTACCTTTACTATAAGCCCCAGGAGCACAGAGGGTCCTGTCATCAGAACAGGACTAGGCTAACCTCACAGGCCCTGACTACTAGATGGGACCTTCCTGCCTAGTGGCCGTCACCAAAACCAGACTGAGAGTCCCCGAAGCCCTGTTCCATGCAGAATAACAGTGGCATTGAGGAGGCCAAGCACTACCAAAATATGCATCAAGCAGGACATTTCCTGCAGAGGGCACCTTGTCCCCGGCTCATCCTGCCTCTGTACTGCTTCACCCAGTCTGCAATGCGGGAAGGCCAGAGCTTCTGGAGGCCTCAGGAAAAACTGAAGTAGCCATTCAGTCGCCTACAGCAGCCTGGGAACAACGTGGGTGCAAACTGTTCTGTGGCCTGAGCCACCCTCCTCCTGGATGGGCCGTGCCACACAGGAGGCCCATTCAGCTCTTGCCCCAGGGAACAAGAATGTGAGGAGGGTGTGGGGGTGGAGGAAGTGGAAGGGTTGCAAGCTTCCCAGCAGCAGCACTGGGAGCCTCCTGAGGCAGGGTGGGGACCACCTACTAGGACCCACCACCCCAGCTTTCCAAAGACACAGCCAAGGGACTCATAGTCTGACCAGCAGTCCAGAGGGCAAGGGAGGGGGGTTGCCTGGAGGTGCAGTACCCAGGAGAGCCAGGAGAGCCAGGAGAGCCGGGTCAGCAGGAAGAGGGTGGGTGAGAACCCTAGAGCAGCAGCTGCACAGGAAGCTGGGAGAGGATGGGAAGGGGGGTGCAGGGTGTTCCCTCTCTTCCACCAAGCAGACTTGAGCTCCTCCCTCCAGGGTAAAGACCCAAACCCCAGTGGCCTCAGGAAAGGAGGAAATCACTAGGAAACCCTGCAGCCTGACTCTGGCTGTCCTCCCACCCCTCTGCCCCCATTCTCTACAACAAAGGGAACACTGACGTTCAGAGAACATGCCTAGCTCCACCACCAATTTACTCCCCCAAATGATGACATGGAAAATCCTGTCCCATGGCCCTTTCCTGTCTACACCAGTGGGTTCAGGGACATCATTCACCCAGAGGGTCTGGAGAGCCACTGACCCTATTCCCACCTCCCCTTGGGGCTCCAGTCTGAAAGGGCAGGATGTAGGTGGACATAGAGCCAGAAGCTAGGCAGAGCTGAGGCCCCCATGCACAGAAATTGTGGCCCTCCTCTTCCTGCCCTCCCCACCCTCAACAAAGGCCTCACTTTAGGAGACTGCTTCCTGGGCTGTGTCTCAGCCTCCTCCCTACCCCCACAACAGGATGCAGTCCTGTTGAGTCCTTCTGGTTCTGTTTTGAACCTAACACTCATTGGTTTTATCCCTCCAGATCTCAGATTCTTCACTTCAGGACAGGCCTTGGGGACACAGTGAAGCCATACTCGCAAAGTGTAGCCCAGGTTGTAGCATGAGCTGGCATGCTCAGTGAATATGGGACCCTTTTGCCCTCCCCACATTCCTGTTCCTCCTGATGCCCCAGGCTCAAACACCACTAAGGTGTGTGTGTGTTGGGAGGAGGGAAGGGGAGTTCAGCCCTCCTCTGCCACAAGCACAAAGAAAATGACGGGGGCAGAGAAGCCATGACTCTTCTCAGGGCATCAGGATACACCATGTCACACCTTCCCTTGATGTTTAGTGGCCAGAGGTTCTGGAAGCTGCACCTCCATCCACACTGGTCAGTGCCCTTCCAACCCTCCTGCCTGGGCTTCTCACCGCCAAGCCTTACCCAGCAGAGGGGAGACCAGCCAGAGTGCGAAGGCCTCCAGGGCGATGTCTGGGAGCTGCAGGACCTCACAGATTGAGCGGTGCAGCTCATGGGCACTGAGCGTGGGCAGGTTCTCCACAGCCAGGGGCACTACTGTGTCATCAGCTAGGTATACTAGCACATCAGCTGCTGCAAGGGATGAGAGGGAGGCCAGGCAGGGTCAGTTAAGGCCCACTGCCAGGCTCAGCCAGGCTGACCAGGCCCCTTGGGGTATCCCAGGCTACACTGAAGCAGAACCCCTACATTCCCAAAAGATCATATGAAAAGTGCTGCCTAAGCTGGGCGCCGGTGGCTCACACCTGACATCCTAGCTACTCAGGAGGCAGAGATCAGGAGGATTGTGGTTTGAAACCATCCAGGGCAAATAGTTCTCGAGACCCTATCTTGAAAAAATCTTATCACAAAAAAGGGGGTTGGTGGAGTGGTTCAAGGTGTAGGCCCTGAGTTCAAACTCTAGGACTTCCAAAAAAAAAAAAAAAAAAGAGTGCTGCCTATTAGAATTTCTGTGAGACCCTCAAATCACACAGAAACCCGGTAACTGTGGCCCAGGCACCAGGCTCATTCCACAAGGTTCAAATGAGGGCTATGGCAAACCCCCAACTACTCAGTCCTAAGGAGTCAACTCTGCTGTGCTTCCACCCCAATGGAGAATATTCCACAGGTGGGGAACTAGGGCAGACAGGGAGACCCATCCTTAGGTAGCCTATCAGTAGCTTATCAGGCTGGGAGTGAGGAGAACTGGTGACCCACCATTATCTTTGGGTAACTCTCTCTCTGGCCCAGGCTAAGATGGGAATGAGGGTTCTTATAGCCACCCCAGATCACCTCAGCTTCCTTAGGACTCTTCAAGCCTCAGGAATCAATACTGTGGCCTTTCAGGGCAGCCTTAGCAGGGTAGGAAAATACAACCCAAATAGCCAAGAGTTCCCTGTGAAAAGCTGTAGGATTCCCATTTGGAGCCCAGAGCCAAAGACAGCTAGATTCCAATCTCCTCTCTAGAACCACAGGCATGGGGAAGGCAGCTAAGCTTGGAGCCCACACACTTGGGCTCCAAAACTTCCTGTCTCCAGGCTCTTGGCTGACACCAGCAAGTTTGTTAGTTGCTTCATGTGTAAAAGTAGAGTTAATATCCCTGCCTCAAAAAGTAGCTGTGAACCAAATGAAGCCTGTGAAAGGCAGGGGACAGTCTAAGTTTATATTAACATAAGTGAAAGTACGTTTTGGCCCCTGCTAAAGTCTCTTCTGCTCCAGCAGTTACTGTGAGCGATCAAAACATCATCTCCAGGAGACTGAAGTTCAGACCAAGTTTATAGGCAGGGAAAATCGGCACTGAAGGCTGAAGTTCATGATTGCCTAGAGGGCCCAGCAGTAGAGCCCAATTTCCTCCCAATAAAACAAAGATAATAATGATCCCTGCTTGAGAGAAAGAAATGGAAAAAAAAAGTGAAGGTATCACTTTCCATTCTTGTGCCCTCATTTGAATGCTCATTTTACTAAGGAAGAGAGGAGATTCAAGAATATTGACAAGGCCACTAAGCTAGTGACAGAGCCCAGGCCCTCTGACTTCTATGACTTTGCCACAGAATGCACCTCATATCTTAGTTGATACATAAGATTATCTATAGTGAAAAAGACGACGAGACAGTTGCAGGGCCGGGGTCCCAGCACGGTAGGGAGGGTATAAAAAGCCCACCTCGGGCTCCCACGGAGGACACGCTGCTTCGGTGGGACCGCTCAGCAGTGCTGGACTGCCCGGCATTACCTTCTGTCCCGTCCATCTGTAAAGGGAAAGAGCAACAGCAGTTACTGGGGGTCAGGGGTCGGGACGAGAGTCCCCCCAAGCTCTCAACGAGAAAAGGGATAGATCTACAAGGCTGAACAACCTGGAGGGAGGGACCAAGTGTGAGGACTGCAAGTGGGGCGTGTCCCTTGGCCGACTGAACATCGAGACTGAAGGGTCAGGGCCGTGACGGTCAGGAGCGGGCGTCAAAGCTTGCTGGCCAGGATGCCCAGGCAGGGCAGGGCGCACCCCTAGCGGGATCGGACAGGGAGTGACCGCGCTCTCACCTCGCAGGGTCGCAGAGCTCGTCGCCTCGGGTCAGGATCCTGCCCCGACTCCGGTCCCCAATTCGGGCCACGGCGCCGCGCCTGCCAACGCCGGGACTCGGGTTCCAGCTGGGAATCCGGCGGCTGGGGCTAAGCCGCGGAAGCTGCGGCGGGAGGAAGCGCGACTCGCTAAGCCCCGCCTCTCTGGCCTCGGAAGCCAATCGGAGCGCGGAGCCGCACGCGCCACGCCCCCGGGCATTGCGCATGCCCAGGCTCCCGGGGCGGGCCCCTAGGGTGTCTAGCCACGCCCCTGAAAAGGTAGCGTCAAGATTCCGCCTCGCCCCCAACCCGGGAGACCGAGGGTCATTTGCGCCCCACACTGGCCCCCTACCTATAATTTATAATAGGATGTGGCGAAGATTTATGAAAAATGGGGATGGGGGCGCGAGACCTACGGCCCATTCTTTGTGTGACTTTGGACCTGTCCCCTGCCTGTGGAATGGAGATGCTTCCTGGGACAAGTCGGGGGTCCACACTGGGTGAAGGTGTTGCAGGCAGCGGCCTCTACTGCCTTGCTCCCCTGGCCTTGAAAGGAGATGGACTCTTGGTTGTGATCAGGAAACAGGGTCCTGGACAAAGCCTTTCCCTTCTTCAGTCTGTAATGTGAGGAGATTGGACTCATTGGTTCTCAAGGACCCTTCCCACCCTCAAATTATGTGTGTCTATGTAAGAAATGCAAGACAGGTGAGCTGGGCTCTCCCAGCACTGGGGAAGCTGAAACAGGTGGATGGAGAGTTGGAGGTCAACCTGAGCTCCATAGGAAAAAAAAAAAGTAAAAGAAAGGAAGAGAGGGAGAAGAGAAGGAAAAGAAAACAGAACGAAACGTAGGTCAGGGATACTTGTCCCACTTTTTCCAGACACAGCCTCCAAGACCTTGAAGTATCCCCAGGCTCAGGAGAGGCATTGGAGCCCCCAGGAGGCAGGTGTGAAACCACCTGTCCTCCAGATCATGTCACCAACATGTTCTGGCAACACCAGCATGTGTGTGCTTGCAGAGAAAAACAAGTCCATGTGGAAGCCAGAGGAACCAGAGATTGGTCCCAATGACCATAAAGAAAGGACACGGGTTTGCCTTGGCCTAACTCTGGATGGAGAGAAACTCTAGGTTCCTGGCCTGTCCAAGTCTCTTCAGTATTTGAAGCAGGTCACGGCCCATCCTCCCAGGAGCACACTGTGCCCCATTTGAACCCATTGTACTGTCTTCCTCACTGGATGACTCAGGGACTCAACGGAAGCTACCACATGGGTGCACAGAAAGGCGCAGAGGGAGCAAGCATCTCCCTCCAGATTTTCAGCTCTGGGACCCTTACACCAGGACACAGTGGCTCCATGGCCTCCCTAAACAAGCTGGAGCTCAGTGGGGACACTGTTCAGTGTGTACTGGGTACAAGGCCTGTGATAGGCAATGGAGATCAGGTGAGACAACAGGAAGTGTCTGTTGTGGTTTAATTGAGTAGTGAAGAAGAGAGGAGAGAGAAGGAAGCCCAGGTGAATAGCATATTTAAGACTACAGAAGGTGACAGTATTGCCACAGAGCTACAAAATACTATAGGCAAGAAGAGGAAGGCCTTTAATTCCTGCTGGACATGGGGCTAAGCCCTTTTCCATGTGTCTTCTCAGGCCATCCCCACAGGCCCTGTCAGTAGAAATAAAAGTATTATTGCCAGGCATGGTGGCATACACCTGTAATCACAGCTACTCGGGAGGCAAAGGTAGGAAGATTGCAGTCTGAGGCAGGCCCTAAGCAATAGCACGAGACCCTGTCTGAAAAGTAAACTAAAGCAAAGAAGAGCTGGGGGTGTGGCTCAAGTAGTAGAGGACTTACCTAGCAAGTGTGAAGCCTTGAGTTCAGTCTTCAGTGTCATAGGGGAAAAAAGTATTAGCAACAAACATTTATGTGCCACTTTTTTTTTTTTTTCAGTGCTAGGGATCAAACCCAGGGCCTCACATATATAAAGCAAGTGCTCTACCACTGAGCTAAAACCCCAGCCCTGCCAGACACTTACCTAGGTGACTTAATTCTTGTCATACACTAAGCAGTTAGGAAGGAGGAAACGGGATGGGAAAGCGCCAATAAGGTGGCTGACATCCAGTGTGTTTGGTGGCCAGGAGACTGGTCTGGGTCTAACTAAGGAGGAGCATTGGAAGGGTCTGGAAGGCTGGGTGGCATGCTGGCTGACAGAGTAGGGTGGGGAGGGGAGAGGAAGGGAGCAGCATGAAATGACAGGCACACAGGAAAGCCTGGGTCTCTCAGAGCCAGCAAGAGAATCCACCACTGGCGGGGAACCTTGAGTCCTAAGGGGAGGGGAATGGGGGCAGAGGGCAGGCAGTGAGGACACTGTGAACAATGGGCCTGGTGGAATTTGCAGGAAGACCAGAGAAACAGCTCCAGGGTGGGCTTCTTTTGCAAGGCTCCAGGTCAGGAAGAAGAGGCTGTCTCTTGAATTCATCTGTGGGGTTGGAAAAGAGAGTGGGAACCCATCTTCTGAAAGTGAACGAAGAGAACTGTGGGCTTGGAGGGTCGAGAGATACTTAAACACAAGCCATTGGGTGGGTTCATGTCCTACTTTGGTAAGCAATGAAGGACTCCAAAGCCCACAGAAGGGCTGCCCAGTGTCACTCGGAGGTAACAGACAGCAGAACTAGGATGGCAGCCCTACCTGCCATGAGAAGACAGTCCTCACAACGGTCTTTGGGGCAGTCCCAGGAGCCCCAGGCAGCTCCAGGGGGAGGAGGTCTGAGATGAGGCCACTGTAGCAGGGTGGGTGGGGTCTGCTCTGACCACAGCAAGAGGGCCAGTCCTTGGGCACCCTCTAGGGAACAAGAGCTACAGGGGGACCTGGAGTGGGAGGGTGGGGTATTGTTTGTTTTTTTGAGGTTGAACCCTGGGCCTTGTGCTAGGCAAGCACTCTACCAGTTGAGCAATGCCCCAGCCCAAACCTTTACATTCTTTTGGTGATAGGGTGAAAGAACCAGAGCCCCAGGTCTGGCTGCTGATTCTTCCATCCATTCAATGATTCACTTAATTGAGATTTCTCGCATACCTGCTCGTGTGCCATGCACTGTTTTGTGGTGAAAACAGTCAGAGATCCTAGTCTGCCCCGACAGACAACCAAGTAGTCAGCTACATTATGTGTGGTTGATAAGTGCAATTGTTAAAAAGGAAAGGAGTCACCTGGGAGGGGCCCCCACAGCTGGGTGGGAGGACAGATCACAAGGATACATGGAATGATTCCAGGAGGCTTCACTGAAGTGACACTTGAGCCCCAGCTTCAAGGAGGCTAGAGGAGAGTGTCCAGAAGAAGGGACACTTGGTGCAAAGGCCTGGAGGCGGGGACCTGTTTGTAGAAAAGTAGGAAGGCCAGGGTGGCAGGAACTGAGGTCAGAGGAGGATGGGCATTGAAAGGATTTAGTCCCCCTCTCTCTTTTAATTTATAAAGAAAAGAAATTTATTTCTTACAGTTTGGAGGCTGGGAAGTCCAACATCTAGGTGGTGACATCTGGTGAGGTCCTTCTTACTCTATCATTCCATAGCAGAAGGCCAGAGGGTAAGAGAAGGGAAGAGAAAACACAGGATTTTGGTTTTGACTGAGAGCAGCATGGAGCCATTGCACACAGACACGCAATCCTTCTCTTTCCCCAGGGGAAGAGGAGGCCAAGGGAGACTGCATTTCTGGCTCACTTGGCTGAGGCATAAACAACTCTGGGGAGAGCAGACAGACAGGCTTCAGGGCCTGGTGAGTTTACTTCTGGGGAGGGCTCCTTTCCTTTCCGGGTGGTTTTTACTGTCCTGTCTCTGGTGGCTGCTGCAGGCCACTGTGGACCGCGGCTGCACCCTGGTGGCCATGCCCTGACTCTACCTGGCCTGTCAGGGTGGGCAAGGCCCAGGGGATGAATGGAGTTTGAGTTGGGCTGGATAGGCAGGCAGGGCCTTGTCCCTTGCTGACTGAGGTAGCTCTCCCAGGATCATCCAGGCCGGGACCCAGTTGCCACCCCTAACCATGAGGCAAGGCTGTCACTGCAGGCCAGGGGCTCAGGCCAACTGGGTCTGTCACCCTGCTCCTTGAGGTTCTCTGCTGTGCACACCTCCTTCAGGCTCAGGGCCACTGAGGCTGCTAGTTGCTCCTAGTTGCCTGAGGTCTAGCACTGGGCCACTTTGTTTAACCTGTATCCATGGTTAAACATTAGTGGGAGGTTATCTGTCCGGAGCAGGGCGGGGAGGTTATACTTTCACCAGTCTCTTCTGTGGAGCCAGAGCCGCCAGTTCCCACCTAAGCTCAGACAATGCCAGTGGAGGAGTTTGTGGCTGGTTGGATCTCTGGTGAGTCATTTTTCTCTTCTTTCCATCACATTACCCCCAAGGGTGGGTCACTTCCCGGGAAAGGTGGGCAACAAGAAGAGCTAAGTCCATCACAGAGCCAGTTGTCCTCAGAGCTCCTGAGAATGGCCAGCAGTATGAAGAGGAGAGAAAGGCAACGGTAGGAGGGGCTACTTCTGCATCGCAAGGCCATTCTGCCTGACACTGCTGAAGGCCTGAGAGCCGAGGAGCACCCTGCAGCATGAGCCCTTCCTCCTCTCCTGGCCCACCCTGTCTCGGCCTTCTGTGAAGCCCAGAAGGAAGTTCACCTTTGAGCTTACCTGCTGTCCTGAGTTCCTCTTTAGGCTTCTGCCCTACCTGGCAATGGGGTGGCGTTCCGGGCCCTGAGGTCCTCTGTGGGTGTGTACCCAGCTCAGCTGCTGGTGATATTCCTCTTAAGAGAAAGAGGGGCATTGTGAGCCTCCCTCAAGGGAAGGAAGACCAGGAAGTGGGGTGCCTCCTCCCCTAGGGTCAGCAGGACTGGAGGAAGGGCCTCCAGCTCTGCACTGCTGACTAAGGGGAGGGCAGGGCAAGGCCTGCTCTGGATCAAGGCCACAACCCTCTGGGATGAAGGAAGGCAGGAATACAGCTGGTAAGGAGAGAACAGTGGAAACTCTTTTCTAAGTCCCACAGTCCATAATCAGGGTTAAGGACAAGGTGTTCATTCTTAGGAGGAGTCCAGGGTCTCACTCCCTTGTCCCAGCACCTTTCTGGCCCAATGCCTGGTGTAGCAGGGACAGCTGGAGTCTCTGGAGTCAGGCATGGAAGGTGGGTGGCAGGTTATGAGAAGGCTGGGCCTCCATCCTCCAGCTTGAATCCCTCTCTTCTCAAGCACAGACTGCCTCCTGCACCTGGTGCAATGCACTCACTCACAGCACCTTCTTGTCCACAGGAGCTCTGGGCCTGGTCCTGGGACACCCCTTTGACACTGTAAAGGTGAGTCTAGGAGAGGTACCAGAGGAACAATGGTCTGGCCTTAACCAAACATCAGGTTCCTAGAGCAAGAACAGGTAAGCTCTTCGTGGGAGAACTGGCTGCCTGATGTAGAAGCAGCCCTGGCCTGCCTGCCTGCCCACTTGCCCTGTCCTTCCCATCCAGGTACGGCTGCAGACCCAGAGCACGTACCGGGGCATTATGGACTGCATAGTGAAGACGTACCGCCATGAGTCGGTGGGTGGCCTGCTTTGGGGTCAGGGGCATCTGGGTAGGAGGAGAAGCTTCCTTCTCCTTGCTAACAGTTTTCTGCCCCTGGAAGAGACAAGACCCAAGTCTGGGGCCCTTAGGGGCAGCAGGAGGTAGCTAAGTACTCCAAGCATGGAGCCGAGGCCTAGACAGCCTCACCTGCTCCATGTCTCTGAGCAGGGCTCCTACAGGAGTGGTGTCCAGCCACAGGAGGCCTGACCAGGGCTAGTAAGGGCAGAGGGGAGGCCCTCCATGCCAAACCAGTGCCACCATGTTGTTCTGCAGCTCCTGGGCTTCTTCAAGGGAATGAGCTTCCCTCTGGTCAGCATAGCCGTGGTCAACTCCGTCCTTTTTGGGGTCTACAGCAACGTCCTGTTGGCTCTCACGGCCATGTCCCACCAGGAGCGGCGTACCCAGCTGCCCAGTTACACGCACGTCTTCATAGCAGGCTGCACTGGGGGTGTCATACAGGTGAGAGGGCAGCATGTGGGCACACACACACACAGGTAGCATAGTGATGGCCAGTGGGATCTGTCCCCTCTCGGCCCCCTCTGCTGACCCATAGCTGTGGATGGGCAGCCTTTCTGGCCTGCCAGGCTGCAGGTCATGGAGACCAGAAGAGGCAAAAGGCAGAGAGAGGTGGGGAGAGGAAGTGCTAAGAGGATACCATGAAGAAGCAGTCAATGACTGCTGTCAGATTGACAGGATTAGTCCCCATGGTGACCTTTGACCCCAAGAACTGCCAGCCCTGATAGAGCTCAGAACTTTACCCCTCTAGTGGTCCCAATGTTGTCCTGGCACTTGTCCAGTCTGTTTGACTCAGGGCTTTGCCTGCCTGGGTGGCTGTGAGCCTCACTTGAGGCCTCAGGCCACAGAGCTGCCTGGGAGAGGCCCAGGATATGAATCATTAAGTCACCCCATCATTTGTTTTTGGTTTTTTTTCTCAGCACTGTATGCTGGGAGTCTGAGGGTAGGGGCCGTTAGGCCCCAGAGGGGACCTGAGCTGAATAGAGCCCTGAGCCTCACTGGGCAGAGGAATGGGTGCCTGACTCCATCCTGCACCTCAGCTGGGCACATGGGACACCCTTGACTGGGCACCTGCCCTGATGCCCTTCAGACTTCATGGGACAGAAAGGAAGACCAGAGAACAAAGTCAGGCTACTCACTCAAGAGAATCAATGATTAACAAGGCCACCGAGGTCCTGGCTTGTCTTCTGCCCCTTCTCCTACAGGTGCATGCCTATGTATTTCCTGAGCCCTAGACATGCACCTCACAAAAGCAAGCAAGAGAACTGAGACCCTTGGTGAGATGGCCTGACTTAGGCCCAACCAGGCCCTGCTCCTCAGTCCCCACCCCCTCTGACTCTCAGGAGCCACGGAGAGGAATTGACTCCCAGTCTTGGAGCAACAATGTGTTTCAGTGAGGAGGTGGGAGGAAGAGGCAGCAGCTGACAGCCTCTGATGGGCACTAAAGTTGCTTCTGGCCTGGCTGAGGCCAGCCCTATCAATGGTGAGGCAGTGTACACTCGTCATTGCGTGGGATGCCCCCACCTTCAGCCCAGCCCTTTCCTTAGCCCCAGAAGGGCCTGGATCAGGAGCCCACTCTCTGGAGAAATCCTCAGCTCAGCCCTGCCATTAGGTTCCTGAGGGCAGCATCACAATGGGGGTCCCCTACCCTGCCTGCCAAGATGGAAGTAAGAAGACTGTGGCCTGCACCTGCTAAAGCCCATGGCCAGAATTGGCTACCAGTCCCTCTGCTGCCATGTCAAGGGCTGAGGGACTGATCTCATGGCTGCCATGAAACAGACTGACACCACATATATCCCAGAGACGGGCCAACCTCAGCTTGGACTTCCCAGCAGCTGAACTTCAGCAGCTTCCTTCTCTTACTGGACTTTTTTTTTTTTTTTTTTGGCAGTACTGGGGTTTAAACTCAGGTCCTCATGCTTGCTAGGCAGGCTTCTCTTGGCATAGTTACAGCCATGGCCCAAATCTCACCCCGCTACCATCTCCTCAGCCCCACCCTCACCCAGGCCCAGTTCAGTGCTACCCAGATCTGTCCCAAGACAATGGTTAGAGTTCTAGGACCTGCTAAATCCTACCTGTCACCACTGTGCCACCCTCAGAAGTCTGTTTGTACATCAGTGTCTGGGGCTTGATGAGAGGCACTGCCCCTGCTGGGAGGTGTTTTGAAGAAGGTGGGGGAGGGAGACTATAAAGTTGGATCTGGTAATTAGAACAATGCCAACAAGGTGGCCTCCTTCACCCTGGGGAGGTTGGTTCTTTGCTGTCTCATGGTCATAGACTGAATTCTCATTCAGCCCTGGTTGCTACCAATGGGTGTGCATCCCCAGAGTTAGGGAAGCTAGAAACCCACTCCCACTGCTGGAAAAATCATTCGGGTTTGTCCTCTGGGGACTGGTGTCCTCTGTCACACAGGAGGGGGCAGTGCTGAGTGCTGTCAGAGCTTGATGCTAAAGGAGGTGGCCTGTCCTCACTCACTATACTTAATCACCCTGCCCATACCCAGCCATGTGTGCAAAAGACCCAAAGTTGGTGGCAGGAGCTGGCATAGCCCCCACAGGCCATGCAGCCTCTCTGCCTCTCCTCTCTTATTACAAGCAGAAAATCCCCACCCAGGGACTTCTGTGTCCTTCCTGACAGACCTTCTTCCTGGCCCCTTTTGATCTCATCAAAGTCCGTCTACAAAATCAGACAGAACCGAGGGTGCAGCCTGGTGGTCCCCAACCCCGGTACCGGGGGCCTGTGCACTGTGCAGCCACCATCTTCCGGGAGGAGGGGCCCCGGGGATTGTTCCGTGGAGCCTGGGCCCTGATGCTGAGGGACACTCCCACTTTGGGACTCTACTTCGTCACCTATGAAGGGTTCTGTCACCAGAACACGCCGCATGGCCAGAACCCCAGTAAGTGAGGTGGTGGAAGGGCAGGGCTTGCAGGTAAGGAGGGAGAAGGGGGCTGGGAGCATGCTCTGTTCCAATCTGATCCCACCCACACTCCCTCTACCCCAGGCTCAGCCACAGTGCTGGTGGCAGGGGGCTTTGCAGGCATCGCCTCCTGGGTTGCAGCCACGCCTTTGGATGTGATCAAGTCCCGGATGCAGATGGATGGGCTGAGGCGGAGGGAGTACCAGGGAGTGTTGGACTGTGTGGTGAGCAGCTTCCGGCAGGAGGGACTGAGGGTCTTCTTCCGGGGCTTGACCATCAACAGTGCCCGTGGCTTTCCTGTCAACGCTGTCACCTTCCTCAGCTACGAATATCTCCTGCATTCATGGGGATGACCCTGGCCAGTGATGCCAGCTGCTGTGCAGCAGGACCATGGCCAATTGTGGGATTGGAGTCCAAGCTAAAGTACCCAACTTGCAATTCAAAGAGGCTTGGCCCTTCCTGGGTTGGGCACCTCCCCAGTGACTGGACAGGCTGGGAGCCACCTGCACAGGAAGCCAGTGGTCCTGGCCCAGCACGGACTCCAAGGCAGGGTTGAGCCTCCAGCAGGCCTCACCTCAAACCCTTTGCTTCTATGACACTGGGGCACAAGGCACAGATGAACCCAGCAGTGACACTCCAGTCCCCATGCCAGTTTCCCCTCAAAGAGCTGACTTCACCTGCCTCCGTCTCTGCACCCGGCCCCCTTCCAATGACAGTGTGCTTGGTTCCTCCCACCCCCACCAGTGGAGAGTGACCTTTTGTTTCTTCCCTGTCCGGAATCCTCTAGGGACACCCATCACCTTTAGGAAAAGGCCTATGCTCCCAGCCTCTGGCTGTCTCTCCCCTTAGCTTTCCTCTTTCTTGGTCACTTCATGGCCCTGAACAAGTTGTGCTCACTCGTGACCCAGACCTGGAATGCTTATCCCTGTGGCCAATGAGGACAGGGCCTGGCAGGATGCCTCCAGCTGACCTCACCCTTCTCCAAGACTCAGGTGGAGCACCATCTCCTGGGGTCCCTCCTGCCCTGCCTGGGCTGACTTTGAGGTTCCCAGCACTCCAGCCCACCTCACACCTTGATCAGAGCTGTTGCCTGTGCTGCTTCAGGGGTGTTGATGTGCCAGTTAGCCTGCGAGTGCCTTGTGGTCAGGCTATACATCTACCAGTCTCAGCACCTGCCCAAGGCAGAACAGACATCTGAACAAATGCTCATTAAATACGGTGCTGATTGCATCACTGATCTGTCTTCCCTGCTCCGCCCACCACACCTGCTCCCTTGGTCCAGCCACACACACCTGCCCGCCAACTCCCATCTGCTGCCTGACCCCTTTCCAGATCATCCCCAGTGAGGGGGCAGAAGTTGGGGTGTCTGCCCGGACTACATCCATCCTATAGCACTTGTCTTCTTCCCCATCTCAATTGCTAAGTGGGAATTAAAAACAGGCTAAGAGGGTTCCTTTAATTAACCATAAAACGGAACATAGTCTACACCAGTGTCCCAGTATGAGATAAGCTGAGTCCACCTCATAGCCACCTGAATTCCTGCCACTTTCTGGGGGCTCCTGTGCCCAATATGATTACCACAGTTTACAGAGAATGTGGCTTTGGCTCAGAGACATGTAATTTGTCCCAGGTCACACAGCTGGTAAGTTGTACAGTGTGCCTGGACATATCTGAGCCTCCAGCTCCAGAGCCCGGTTCCTTTGCTACCCTGTTCTACCTGGCACCATGGCTGTCTCCTACAAGTCACCTCAGTTTCAACTCGCCTGGGCTAGATCTGCCAGGACTGTCCCCCTTCATGTGCCCCTTGGGGCTCTCCTTCATTGCATCACGTCACAGTCTAGGATGGCCATTGCAGATCATTCTCCCATGCTCAGAGTGCGGCAGCTGGGCAGGAGGCCCAGAATGAGGTTCCATTTTCCAGCCTTCCTTGCAGCTAGATGGAGTCTCACTTGTGGTTAGGTTCTTGCTGGAGAATCATGAGCAAGAGGAATGCGTACAAAATGTACCTTACTTGCTTCAAAGGAAAACCCTTAGTTGGGCACTGGTAGCACCTGCCTGTAATCCTAGTTACTTGGGAGGCTGAGAGCGGGAGAATCGAGGTTTGAGGCCAACCTGGGCAAATAGTTTGCAAGACCCCATCTCCCAAATAACCAGAACAAAATGCACTGTTGTTGTGGCTCAAGTGGTAGAGTTCCTGCTTTGCAAGTGTTAAAGCCCTGGGTTCAAACCTCAGTCCCACCAAAACCATTTTTTAAAAAAGAATCATGTTTTGGTGTCCCCCTCCTTTTTTGAGCCCATTGCTGCCCTTTCTGTGCCTCAGTTTCATCTGTAATCTCCTTTGACTGGACAGTGTGCAACACCACTGCAATGCCAGGGTTTCAGGCTGGACATAGCGGTGGGAGCACAGCAGATGCTGGAACACCACTGGGCAATCAGTGCCTTGAAGGTGGTGTCTCTTAACAGGGCAAGGAGAGGACAAATCTGATTGGATCTTTGTAGTTTGCAGTTTTTTACCACGTGACCAGTTAGCAAGCAAGTAAAACCAGAATCCTTTTTTTGGGGTGGGGGCGTTGTTTTAATTAAATCCTTTTGGGGGGAGTAATTATGCCTGTGACCTTGGGCTGCTGATGTCCCTTTGGCTCTACCTAGAGGCATATCTGGTGGGGCTCCCTCCTCCAAACTCCTCAGAGACAGCAGCAGGCCACACACAGGGCTCTGGGTGCCAGACCCGGCTCTTTCATGGCAGTGGCCACTAACTGGGCTAGGAGAACAACCTCGGGGGTGAATTTTAGACAGAGTGGTTGGTGATAAAACCACTCCCCTTGCATGGAGGCTCAAGGGAGAGGATGACACCATAGGAAAGTGTGGGAAGACCAACAGAGATCCTGCAGGAAATGGCTACTGATGTTCCTTTTTCTTTTTTTTTTATGCTGGGGATCGAACCCAGAGCCTTGCACATGCTGGGCAAGCACTCTATCACTGAGCCACATCCTCAGCCTGAGGTTGCTGAGAATTTTTTTAGTTAGTTAGTTGGTTAGCCTGTCAGAAATCTTGGCAGTATTAGTGTTTGAACTTAGCGCCTTGTGCGTGCTAAGCCAGCACTCTACCACCAAAGCCATGACCCCAGCCCTTTTTGCTTTAACTCTTTTTCAAATAGAGTCTCACTTCATGCCTGGTCCCACCTGGACCATGACCCTCCTATTTATGCTTCCACGAAACTGGCATTTGCTGGCAGTGACTCAAGCTGTAGAGTTTCTGCCTAGGAAGTGTGAGGCCCTAAGTTCAACCTCTAGTACGACCAATAGAAAAAAATTCTTTCAAATAGCTGGCATGACAGATACGTGCGACCAAGCCCAGCTTTTATTGGCTGAGAAGGGGGTCTCACTATCTTTTGCTGGGCTTGCCTTCCCACTCTCTGCCTCCTGAGTAGCTAGGATTACAGGTGTGAGCCACTGCACCCAGCTGAGAATTCATAAGAGAAGAAATCTCTAAGAAATTGGATGTAGTCAATGGTCCTGGTTTGTGGTTACAAATGGGGCAAATGTTTGAGGGTCATGTGTTTCAAGCTTATAATGGGGACAGACATGTTAAACAGCATCCCATTGGGTTCCTGTTCTCAAATGTCATACTTTCACAGCAATGCACATCGCCAGAGACTAATTTAAGTGTGTAGTGATGTGACAGCCATATGTTCAGGCAAAGGAGGAAATTGCACAACTCTGGGATGACTCAGACTTAAATATTACCAGACTCACTAAGTAGCTGGGCCCATCGTGTGCGGATGAGACTTCACTGGTGTCCCCAGCCTGCCCCGTCCTGAGCACCAGGCTCACTGTTAGCTGTCTCTGGTCATGGATCCTTGGGTACCCCACAGGCACCTTGGATGCCCCAGCCTGGCCCTGCTGCAGTTTCGCAGGTCACAGGTGTGCCGTTGGCTTCCTGCTCAGGCTAGGTATCCCAGATTATCTCTACCCCTCTCCTTCTCACTTTGCAGCCCCAACTCCTGTTAACCCTGCTTCTAAAGGGTTTATGGGACCCACCCTATCTTTTCCAATCCTAATACTACAGCCCTGGTCCTGTCCTAAATTGAACAAATAATTTGACTTTTTTTTGTTTGTTTGTTTGTTTTGCTGTGGTGGGGTTGAACACAAGGCCTTGCATATGCTAGGGAAGAGCTCTACCACTGAGCTACATTCCCAGCCCCTTCTTTCTTGAAATGCAATTCTGACCAAGTCACCCTTCTCTTCAATGATTTCTCTTTACTCAGAGTGATAAGGACAAGCTCCTTCTCCCAGCCCACAAAGCCCGCAGACATTCACTTGCTCTTGGTTCCCTAAGCATATCTAGTTCCCTCCTACCACAGGACACTTGCACATGCTCTTCCCACTGCTTTTGTGCCTCCCATTCATCTTTCAGTTCCATATTGCTCCCATATGGAGATTTTTAATTTTTTTGCAGTACTGGGGTTTGAACTCAGGATCTTCACCCTGAGCCATCCACCAGCTATTTTTTGTAATGGGTTTTTTTGAAGATAGGATCTTAAGAACTATTTGCCCAGGCTGGCTTCGAACCTTGATCCTCCTAACCTCTGCCTCCTGAATAGCCAGGATTACAGGTGTGAGCCACTGGCACACACCTCCATTGCCACTGGCAATGGAGATCTTCTTTAGTCCCTCTATTTAGGTCAGGTTCCATTGGCTTATGTCAATGGTTCAGAACCACCCGGACGGTTTTCTGAGTCCCACCTCTGAGTTTCTGATTCAGTAGGTTAAGGGAAGAGTCTGGAAATGTGCATTTCACCAAGTTCCTAGAAGCTGCTGCTGCAGCTTTAAGAGCCCCTAGTGTGTGCCTTCTTCTCATCTCTCTTCCTTGATTGTAATTACACACTATCTTTATGCAACTTTTTATTATACCTGCTTCTTCTGCTTGGTTTTTGTCATCATCAAAGTTCTAACTGGCTGGGTGCTGGTGGCTCATACCTGTAATCCTAGCTACTTGAGAGGCAAAGATTAGGATTGTGGTTCAAAGTCAGCAGGGCAAATAGTTTGAGAGACTCTATCTCAAAAATAACCAATGCAAAAAAGGACTGGCAGAGTGGCTCAAGTTGTAAAGCACTTGCCTAGCAAGTGTGAAGCCCTGAGTTCAAACCCCAGTACTAGAAAAAAAATATAAACAAAACAAAACAAAAATCTCTGGGATATAGAAGTGCTCAATAAATAGTTGTTTGCTGGGCTGGTGTTGCATACGTGTAATCCCAGCACTTGGGAGGTTGAAGCAGGAACACTGAGAGTTCAAGACCAGCCTAGGTCTCAAATTCAAGGCCATGTGGGGTCCATATAGAGAAACCCTGTCACAAAAAGCCAAAAAAGAAAAATAAATAGTTGTTGAATGAACAAATGAATGAATGAAATAAAACTGGTCTTCCTAACTTCCTCTCTGGCAGGCTGGTGTTCTACATTTTATGTTGAGCCTCCTACTATAAAACAACTAGATTCTATGTCAGTTATACCAAACATAACATTAAAAGCCTTGCTAAGTTTGCAAGAAGTAAGGAAACATTCCAAGAACCCTTTGAAAAGCAGGAGAAGTGAGTGTGAACCCGGGTGGGGGACTGGGCTGCCCTGGGGCCAAACCTGACTCCACAGCCCTGAACCTGGAAGAACCACAAGGCCTTGAGTCCACGTGGAGTGGGAAAGCTGAGTCCAAGACTCAGAAATGAGCCCGCATCCTAAGGGGGCTGCATCTTCAGTGAAAGGGTAGGCCAGACAACCTCTACCCACAAGCAAAGGGGATCTAAAAGAAACCTGCTTCTCTCCCTTGTGCTGGAAACAATTAAAGAATAAGGTCCCTGCAGCCTGCCTCTGAGAAATTAATTTATTGTGTTATAGGGCCCCCTCGTGCACAAAAAGAGTAATTAAAATTTCCCTAAAGACATTTATCCTAAAGTGGGATCTTCAGGAGTTCTTATTGAAGTCCAAACTATAAAAAAACTGCCTCATACAACTCAATAGCAAAAAATCAAATAACTTTATTAAAAATGGGCAAAGGACCTGAAAAGACTTCTTCCTTTCTCCCTCTTTCCCTCCTTCCCTCCTTCCTTCCTTTCCTATCTCCATCTCTCTCTTCCTTCTTCCTTTGTGACAGTCTCACTGTGTAACTGAGCTGGCCTCAAATTCGCTATGTGGCCCAGGCTGGCCTGGGACTCAATTCTCCTTACTCAGTGCTGGGATTACAAGTGTGAACCACCATGCCCAACTTTGAATAGTCTTTTCCCAAAGAAGACACACAAATGGCCAATAGGACCCAGCATGGGAGGGCATGCCTCCCAGCACTTGGGAGGCAAAGGCAGGAAGATCAAGTTCAAGGTCAGCCTGGACTACATAGCAAGACTGTCTCAAACACACACACATACATACACACATTGCTAACAAGTATATGAAAAGGTTTTCAACATCACTAATCATCAGAAAAATGCAAATCAAAATCATAATGAGATGGCTATAATTAAGAATACAAAACATAACCACATGCCAGTGGCTCACACCTGCAATCCCAGCTACTCAGGTGGCAGATTAGGAGGATCTTGGTTCAAAGACAGCCAGGCAAATAGTTCTGCAAGACTCTATCTTGAAAAAACCCTACATGAAAAAAGGATGGGGAATGGCTCAAAGTGCAGGCCCTGAGTTCAAGCTCCAGTGCAAAAAAAAAGATAAAACATAACAAGTGTTGTTGAGAGTGTGGAGGAAAAAAAGGGAAAGCTTGTATACTGTTAGTAGAAAGGTAACTTGTTTCATCCACTACAGGAAATATAATGGTTCTTCAAAAAGTTTAAGATAGGCTCTATGCCCCTTTGCATAGCTGCCTGCCATTCTATCTCCTTTCAATGGCATCCTAATAAGTCTTTGCTCTCTTCTAAAAAAAAAAAAACAACAACAAAGTTGATGCAGTAGCTCATGCCTGTCATCCTAACCATGAGGGAGACGGAGACCTGATCATGGTTCCGGGCCAGCCTGGGCAAAAAAGTTTGTGAAACCCCCATCTCAACAGAAAAAACTGGGTGTGGTGACACATGCCTATCATCCCAGCTATGACAGGAAGAGTAAATAGGATTGGGCTCCAGGCCCTTCCCACTCCTCTACAGGCTGCAGTTCCAGGCTCACCTCCACTGAGAGTCACCCCAGGCTCTCTGGGACAACAGCACTTTCCACAAGGTTTTTTTCTACTCTTAATCACACACCACTGTCATTGTCATTGTCATTTTTTTTTTTTTTTTTTTTTTTGTGGTACCGGGACTCAGGTCCTTGAGCTTGCTGGGCATGCACTCTTACCACCTGAGTCATGCCTCCAGTCTTTGTTTTACTTTTTGAGACAGGGTCTCATGTTCATGCCCTGGTCAGTCTGGACCACATTGTCCTATTACTCTTCTCAAGTAGCTGGGATAACAGGTGTGTGCCGCCATGCTCAGCTTTTTATTGGTTAAGAGGGAGTATCACAACTTTTTGCCTTTTTTGAATGTTGATCCTCCTAATTGCTGCCTCCCAAGAAGCTAGGATTACAGGCATGAACCATCATACCTAGTTCCACTGTCATTGTCTTCGAGGTCCTGTCTGATAGAGATACCACCTTCTCAATCTTGTCATATAGGAGGCCTTGCTGAAAAGCTGTTGTGAAATGAACAAATGAATGAAAAAAGAATGAATGAATGGCTATTCCAAATTCTGGTTCCTTTTTGTTTCCCTGGCCTGTTTCCCACCCCCACCCCAAACACACACAATCTGAGGTTGAATCGGTCAGAGCTGTAGAATGTCTGGGATAATCCCTGGACATGTCTGTCCTCAAGCTTCACTTCTCATGAGAGTGACCCATGAAGGTATCTATTCTGGAGAGTCCAGACTGCTGGAATTCTGGAGAGTCCAGACTGCTGGAATTCTGGAAGAATGATCTCTATGAGTCATTAACAGCTGCACTGTGGTCAATTTTTCAAGTCTGAATTCAAAGAGTCTCCCTTCTCCCATGAAAATCACACCCTGGCCTTTTTTTTTTTTTTTTCTGGTTAAAAACTTTATTTCTGAAAGGAGAATTGTTTTTGACATGGAGTTCAAGGGATAGAGCCACTGTCTGTAAAACCCAAGTCCTATCTTCTTAAGTCCCAGGCTCTCTGACCTAACTCCTTCCTAAGGCTCTAGAACTTTCATGCAGGGTTTGGAAACTTCTTGAAAGGCCCACTTTTTTTTTTTTTTTTTTTGTGGTGATACTTCGTGTTGAACTCAGGATTCCAGCCCTGAAGGCTACATCTTTAGAGCCTCTTCTCAGGCTTGAACGACTTTCACTCTGAGCTTAAACTTGGTATACAACTTTCCTCCCTTCTATACCTTCCACATGCTGTATTTCCACAGGAAAGAAAGTACTGGTCTGCCTTCTGGAGAGGCGTTTCCATGGGAAACAGAGCAGAGGGGCTCTGGTGGCAGCCAAGGTGTCTTCACAGGCAGCAGAGCCGCTCCACCTCTGCCTCACAGTCGTAGAATTTCTCAAAGAGCTCTGGTGAGGTGCCATTGCACTCAAACCACCTCCTCAAGGTGCCCAGGGCCTGCAAGGCTTCTGCTTTGGTAGGCAGGGCCTCAAAGTCATCCTCTCTATGCTCTTCCTCATCTTCAGTGCCTGTCTCCTCTTTGCACACTCCAGGCCCTGGCTCCTCACTCTCTAGGTCTACAAAGCAGGAAAACTCCTCCTGACTCAGCCCTCTGGGGATTGGTGGCATCTCAGAGGCTTTGTCCAGGGCCAGGGGCATTTTGCCAGGAGCCAACCCTTCCTGAATGAAACTGCTCCAAATGAGCTGAGGAGGCACCTTAGCCCAGGATGCAGCTGCCATGTGCAGAGCGTCCAGCACTGTGATGCGGGTCCTGGCATCTGCCAGCAGGGTGTCCTCCCTCCTGCTCTGGACAGCGGCCAGCTTGCCCAGCAGACGGTGCCGGTAATGGGCCTTAAAGGCCCAGACCACAGAGCTGGGCAGGGAAGGTGTGGTGCTGGCAGCGGACAGAGGCAAGAGCCTCACATGGTGGAGCCTGGGCAGGCCTGTCAACTCCTCCACCACTCGGGCAGCCAGCAGCAAGGCTACCTGTCGGCCCTGCTGCCCCATGTCCTGGTCGAACTGTGCCAACCATTCTGACCAGGGAATGTCTGGGTCTGGATGGTAGGAAGCAGGCAGCACCTCACTGCAGACCCCAAAGAAGCATCTTGGGGCAGCCTGGAGCCCGCCCACTAATACCCGCCGCTTCTCTGTACCCCTGCTGTTGGCACACAGCAGTACCTTCACCCGATCACATGCAAAAGCTCTGCCAGGCACTGCCCGATACAGCAGGGGCACTTCGGCACAGCCAAAGATGTCCTCTGGGGAGAAGTCTTTAAGGGAAAGAGGTGGCTGGGCCTGAGATGTGAGTCCTGGAGGAGGTGGTTCAGAGGAGAATGAAGGGGCGAGGACATGGTGAGTCCCAAAGCCTACGTTGTTTCGGCGTTTCCAACGGACCAGCCAGCCGATGCTAGGCACAAAATCCTGGCCCATGATATCAGCCAGCTCCTTGGCTTTGTGAAGCAGCATGGGCCCTGTCACCTCCCAGGCCTTGGCCCGGGCGATGTGGTACCAGCAGAGCAGAGCCTCATCGATGCCGCTGTACTTGGACTCCCGTTTGCGCTTGCGCTCCCGGTTGGCTGTGCCACTGCACCAGTCTGCCAGAAGCTTCTCCTTATTCTTGCAGATGCGTGAGATCTGGGGCTGGGAGACCTGGAAGCGCCGGGCCACCTCTGACTGGGACATCTTGGACTCATCCAGGAGTTCCAGCACCTGGATCTTCTCGGCTAATGACAGAGCATGAAGCTTCTTTTTGCTGCTCAGTTCCATGGCTCCTCCAGGTCACCTGCGAGGAGAGGAGAGAGCCAGGTGGGCTGACACCAGGAGCAATAGAAGAGCACAGGAAGGAAGAGGGCAGGAAGACAGAGCAGTGGCTGGAGTGCGGAGGCCACCAGAGATTGGACCAGCTGAAGAAGTAGGGAAATGGCCACTGAGTGGCAGCATCCTCAGGATGCCAGCCCAGACCTGGGAGGGGGCATCTTTGGTCAGAGGGAGAGGGGAGTCTGGGCTGGGGTTTGGCATATTGGGGGAGAAGTATGAATAGAGTTCAGGGGACAGCTCGGAGACAATAAAGAAGTATGGATGGGGGGCTGGGCTGAGAGGGGTAGGTGTAGGGAACAGTCAGGCCTTCTGGGGGGGAGACCCCTAGGAGGAGGGCGGGGATGAGGGCCTGAGCCGGATTTGGATGAAAATGTTGGGGAGTGGGGCGGTGAACTGAACGAACAGAGTTGAGGTGACCAGGTGTCCAAACGACAAAGCCAGAGAATGGGGTCTGAAGGAGTGGCGCTGGGGGAAGAGTGGCAAGGCTGGGCGAGGGTCCGGCCTGGAGGGGGAGTGGGAGGGCAGGTGCACAGGCGACAATGGGCGACAGGAGTGAGGAGGCTGCGGGCAGCTAGAGGGGCGGGGTGTCCCCGGTGGGGAGGGTAGTGGTCTGGGAGGGGTACCAGGGCGCAGGGAGAGCGCCCGCGACCCAGGCAGGCCGGGAGCCAGGTTCTGGCGCCTTGGCCGGCCTCTCCCTGGAGTCCGTCTGCGGGGCTGACCCAGGAGCCGACCCGCCCGCCCGGCCCCGGGTCTCCCGTTCTGCACCCACCTCAGGCGCTCGTCCCGCGGCTCCCGCCCCTGCCCCCAGCCCGGCACCCGAGCCCCTGTCGGGGAGGCGACTGCAGAGCAGGGGAGGGATGGGCACCACGACCCAGAGGGCGGAGCGGGCGGAGGTGCTGCGCGGGTGGCGGGCAGCGGGTGCGCGCTCAGCAGGGCCCCGTGCGCGCCGCCCGCGCCGGGCTCTCTCCGGGCTGGGAAGACCGCGGTGCCGCCCCTCGGCTCCCGCCCACCGCAGCCCCGCCCCGACCCAATCAGATTGGTTCTAGGCGGGCGCCCGTCCCGCCTTCGGCTACGCTCATTGGACGCTGTGGAAGTGGCGGTTCCTCGGGCCCCCCTGGAGGCGGGGCTTCCAGCGAGAAAAGGCAGGAGGCGGAGCCGGGACCCAGCGGGTCTTCCCCCCTCCACCCCCCCACCGCGGGGCTGCTAGGCGCGATAACCGGGCCCTGGGGCCAGACCAGCCCTCCCGACCCCAAGCGGCCGGCGAAGCTGACTCCGCCTTCCTGGAGGTGACCCTAGGTAGCCTCAGCTCTTCCGTCTACAAACAGGGCCAATTGGTCCTCACAGAGCTGTTTTGAGAAAATGATGAAAGAAAATGGATGCAAGCTTTAAGCTACACAAAAGCTAGTTACCATGGACAGTGCTGGCCTCAAGTCTTACCAGGCTCCTTACCAGAACACTACTTGCATGAAGCCAGGCGTGATTTAGGCAAAGATTATTATTATTTTTTTTACTAGTTTTGGCACCTCTGGACAAGAGCCAAGTTCCTAAACTCAAGATCTGATATTTCCTTCTTTGCTAACGTTTGGTCCTGAACTAAATGCAGGCATGTGAACCTGCAGTCCTACTTTCCCTACTGCTCTCACCCAGTGCGGTTCTCACCTGCTTTCTCAGAGGTTTCCTTTCATCCCATTCTAACAGCTGACCCTGTCCATCCCTCCAAGTCCCTCTCCTGTAAACCATCCCAAATCTCCTCTTACTCATGTGAAGTTCATCTTCACATTCCTTTGCTAGCCCTGACTCCTCCGCCGCCGAGGATTTTGGCCTCACTCCCACTCTTGGCCTCTTAGCTGGAGGACCAGCTGTATGCTCAGCAACTCACAACCCAGCCTGCTGCCCTGCTTCTTTACTGAATGCAACAGCCAGGGCTCAGCTTATGAACAGACGCCTGCCATTTCAAGATGTTTCCAAGCTAAGGACACATCAGGAGATCCATAAACACTTGAAATCTTTTTTTCCTTTTTGTGGTACTGGGGTTTGAACTCAGGGCCTACACCTTGAGCCACTCAAGATAAGAGTCTCTGGAACTATTTTCCTGGGCTAGCTTTGAACCACAATTCTGATCTTTGCCTCCTGAATAGCTAGGATTACAGGCGTGAGTCACTGGTGCCTGGCTTAAATTTTTTAAAAGAACTTTGAAACTTTGTCATATGAGACATACAACATCCACTATGAAACAGCAAAAATGTTCCTATTAGCTGGAGGGATCTGCTCTCTTACATATAAACACCCTGGGAAAGAATGGAGACCTGCCCAGTGGGCAGGACTGGCCCCAGTATTCCTGCTCAGGTTCAGGAGTACTGCAGACCACTAACTCTACACCACATGAGCCAGGCTGAGGCCCTCATCTCTGCAAAAGCTTTCTTGGCCTAGCGGGGCCATCACTGGTTTGCTGCCATTAATTGCCGTTTATGTAGTAATCAAGCTTCTAGGCTCATTTTAAGATTGCAGTATCAACTGTTATAAACCTGTCACCACTCTCATCTACTATCCAAGTCTAGCAAAATTTTCCCCAGACAACAAAAGCACAGAAATAAACAGGATGCTAAAGTTGATTTTAACCCAAATTTTGTATTGATCAAAATAGCTTCATTGTTCTTTATAACAAGAAATTGTTATAAACTTGAATTTACATTAACAAATTAAAACTAACAAAATAACCAATTTTATATCTGCATATTGGGGTCCAACAAAAAATCTGATTTTAGGAGAAAATGTTTCAAAATGTATATTAAAAAAAAAAAAAAAAAGCCCCACTGTCTTAAAAGAAAGTTTTAGATGAAATGGCCATCTTAAGCAGTAGAGTCAGGAGACAAACCATCCAGCAGAGGGCTCTGTAAAAATGTTTATTTTTACTAATGTTTAGAATACAGGAACTAAAGGGGCAGGGAGAGACACCTTAACTCCAAAGCCACAGTGAGTTAGGGCCTGCCCACAGCCAAGGGGGAAGGCTACTGCAGGGTGTCCTGGCATGTACTGCCCCTCTCCTACTTAATGTCAGTACCACTAAGCAGAAAACCAAGGAATCAGGATGTGAAGACCTTACCAGCTGCTAGCGAGCGTGCAAGGGAAGGGGATGTCTATGCGGCTTTCCTGTGACCTGGGAACCAGGATACACAGGCAGGAGGCAGAGGCTCCCAACTCAGTTAAGGGCAGGAGGCTGAATGCCCAGGTCCAGGAAGAACAAAAAGGGAATTCTGGAGGTAGGCTTTTTTATCGAGATAAAAAACAGGCACATTATCCACCGTCTCCCTGTGGCCCCAAGCTGCTGGCCTGGCACTCTGGCACATCCCCTCTCCTCACAAAACCGAACAGAACAAGGGAGGCAGAAGACGAGGAAGTTCCAAGGACAGGGAACGCTTGGGTTGCCAGAGACCACCCACAGCTGAGCCAGCCAAGCACAGGAAGGAGAGGTGAAGCTGCTAGTCCTGTGTGGGGTAGGGTAGGACAGGGTAGAGCCAGGAGGGTGACCAAGAACATCCTGGCTTAGGCAAGACCCTGTGTAGCAGGACAAAGGGCCACAGAGGGGCACCCTGGAGGGAAGAGGCAAGGTGAAGCAGCACAAGGGGCATGGAAAGCTCCTGGTAAGTACAGCCTCATCTCGCTCAATCCCAGCTGCTCCCAGCAAAGAGGCCTGGCCAGCCTAACCTTTGGGGAAGGAAACCCTGGAGACCAGAGTAGGGGGCCAGGTAGGGCCAAAAAGTGAGCTGCTCTCCCACTCTTTCTCAGAGGATATGATTTGAACCCTGTGATCACCAGGGCCTGGGCCCAAGGCAAGCAGAGTGAATGCACTTCATGGAGAGCAGATAGAAGCTGGGTCCACAGGTCTGTCCTGGGGCAGCGTGCTGCTTGCTCCTTTCTCCCTGAGGGCCTGGGTCCAGAGGTGGTCAGAAGTGCCACCTTCACTTGCTGTTGCCAAAGGCAGGTTGGCACGACCACCCGAGGTTCTGGACTTGTGAAAGAGAGGAGGAAGGGAAGGTGGGTATGAAAATCAAGGTGGAGGAGAGAAACAGCCTTAGATGTGTGGGGGGGACTGGGGTGGTACATCAGGAGGAGTTCTGGTTCTGGTAGATGGAAGCTTTCTCCTTTAGCAGGTCCAGACACAGGTGGCAGCTCCAGCTTCCTGCAGAGAAGCACAGCAGGGTGAGGATGGCCCCACACATTCCCCATCTGTTGTCCTTCCACTCCCCACATTTCATTCCCCAGGAGGATGGGAAAATTCTGCTGTAGTAGCTTCATGGTTATCCTGAGTGAAAGGAGCCAGTTGGTCTTCAAACACTGTGAAAGCTGTTCTCCGTGGAGATGAAGGCAACACTCAGAGAAAGGGCAATTTCAGAACACAGATGCCCAGACCCTCTTGGCCCTGTTATAGAAGCCCAGGGAGTAGCAGGAAGGCCTAGGCAGATACAAAGTTTTAAAGTGTACCAGCTTTAGATTTGTGACTATTGAAGAATCAGACTTGGTTCTCATGGCCACAAAGGTAGAGAAAAGGTCATGAAAAGAGGCTCCAGAGAAAGCAATTCCGACTTGACAATAAAGCCAGGGTTTTTTGTGAAATGCACTGCAGGCTGAGATGAGCTGCCAACATCACTGGTTATCTGAGCAGAGGCCGAGGACCCCGTCAAAGGGAAAGGAGTGAACTCAGATGATCCACCCCCTCATGATCTCAGTCTAATTTCATAGTAAAACAAGAAATTGTTCCCTGTAAGAAAAACAACTGACTCATACCTTGTTATCACTTACTATGACTAGCAACTTTTTCCCAGAAACAAAATTAGTCCTTAATGTTTTGAAATTATAATGGTAATTATGCATATTTGGTTTTGGACTTTATTCTGGGGGGAAGGATCCACAGTTAGCTTTTATCAACTGTTCAAAGATAATGTGACTCAAAAATGCCAACAGGACGGTCCTTTCTAACCTCGAGGTCATTGAGTAGGGGTTGGCAAGCTTTACTGTAAAGAGCCAAAGTGTTACATATTTTAAGCTTTGTGAGCTACATACAGTCTCACTCACATCTTTGTCTTGTTTAAAAAAAAAATCCCTTTAAAAAATGTAAAAACCAGGGCTGGTGGAGTGGCTAAAGTGGTAAGAATACCTGCCTAGCAAGTGTGACGCCCTGAGTTCAAACCCCAATAACATTTAAAAAAAAAAGAAGAAAACTGTAAAAACCACTCTTAGTTTGCAAGCTATGCAAACTGGCTATAGTTGGAAGTGGCCCCCAGACCAGCGTACCAACGCTGACCTAGAGCTACTGGATGATGTCTAGGTGTAGCCCTTAACTGTCTGACGCTCCAGTGAGGGCACTATGCCTGTGGCTCCCCACTACCTTGGTGTTCCACAGAATGTCAATGAGAAAGCCCTTCTGCAGTTAAGGTAAATTTTATATACACTAAGGTGATATTTGATGGCTAAAAAGACAAAAAACAAGATACTATCTCTTTCTAAAACTCATTTGTAGCCTAGATGTGACAGTAGCGGTGTGTTCCCTTGCAGCTAGTAAAGGACTCTCAGACTTTGTTTAATGGCCTCAGTCTCAAATGATCCAAGCCTTGTATGCACATATGAATAATAAAACGATAAAAAAAAAAAAAGGCCTCAGTCTCTACAGGGTGACAGTCTGACCTACATGACAAGTCATATTCCAGCACACAGTGAACATCTCTAGCCTGAACTGCTGGCTCTCATTCTCTGTGCTCAGTTACTGGGCACTTGTGCCCTCCCAGGTAAGCTTCTGAATTCCAGTATGGGAAGGGCACAGTAATCCAGCAGGAAGGGACTGTGGAGAAGCAGCAACTTCTTGGTGCCACCACTGGTTGTGGTGAAGAGCTTCCAAAACTTTAAAGAGTTATCAAAGAATACTACTAGAGAGGTGGAGATCCATTCAGGCTCCAGGATCAACTCCCACACTGGGAAAGGAAAAGGAGAGGAAACAAACACTCAAATCTGTCAAGGTGGGAGGCTGACAGAGAAACTTCATATCAGACAAGTTGCCAACTCAGCTTCCAGACTGGTTAGAGGAAAACAATTCTCTCCTTCTAGGTGACTGTTCCCTGCTCAGCATCTGCTTCTCATGGGCTGTTGCTTTTCCGTGTTTGTAAATGCAGCTGATAACAATGTGCAAATGTTAAGCCCTTCTGGCTGAAATGCTAGGAGCAACCTGAATTGAGCCAAGGCAAAGTATCTTACTCTCTAATTTGGAAGAATATCTGATAATATGAAGAACACCTACTAATATAGGTGATTTTCTAAGTCACTAATAAAATTGTTTTCAGTAAAAGATCTGGGCCACTTACCTTCAGGAGGTTCAGACATGGATGGGGTGAGACAGTACATGTGGTAGCCACGATCACAGTCATCACAGAAGAGCAGCTGGTCCTAGACAAGGCAAGAGGAAGAAGAGGGTGTAATGACTTAGGTACCTTAGTTAGGCCAGTGGGGGGAGGAGGGATAGGAAAAAGGCTTCTGAGAACACTGCTGCTACTTCCAAGAGGGGCACGTGGTAGATAAAATGTAGAACTCAACTACCACTGTCTATCTCTACCCCAGACCAAGTCACTGTCACACCAATCTGGATCCTATCAGAATTCCTAACTGGGGATGGAGGTATGGCTCAAGTGGTAGACCTCCTGCCTAGCAATCTCAAGTTCCTGAGTTTAAACCCAAGTACCACCAAAAACAAAAAACCTCCTAACTGATCTCATGGCCTACTCTTTCCCAATAAACTCTTTTCTACAAAGCAGTCAAAGTTTTTAAAATGTAAGTCAGATCATATCACTCTCTTGATTAAAAGTCTCCAACAAACCAGGCACTGGGGCTCAAACCTATAATCCTAGCAAAATGGGAGGCTGAGATTGGGAGGATAGTTCACGAGACCCCATATCCAAAATAACTGGACCAAAATGGACTGGAGCTGTGGCTCAAGTGTTAGAGACCCAGCTTTTGCAAGTACAAAGCCCTGAGTTCAAACCCCAGACTCATTTAAAAAAAAAAAAAAAGGCCTCCAATAGAATTCCACTATACTAGAATAGAACTACTGGAGACCCAGTCACCGGGGATGTGCTTCAGTGGCAGAGTATGTGTTTAGCATGTGCAAGGCCCTGGGGTCAATCCCCAGGACCCCTCATCTGCAAAAGGGACCCTAACATCCCTCAGATTTGGCTGTGTCCACCTCTGATCAATCTCCTTCCACATTTCAGCCAGCCACAATGGCTTGCCCACCTGAAGGCCTCTGCACTGCCTGCTCCTTTCCAGCTCTCCCTCCAGACCTTCTGGGATTGTCGCCTTGATGTTATTTAAATTTCAACACCAACCTTACTTCCTCCAAAAAGCCATCTGACTGTGAATCTAAATCAGTATCCAATTACTCTTTGTCACATCACTGGTTTCCTTTTCTTCAAAACACATCATAAAAAGCTCTCATTTTCTTGCTTACTGCTGTTTCCAGAAGAATGCAAATTCCATGAAAGGAAGAACCTGTCTATCTTGTTAGTGTATTTAGAATCTGTCTGACCTAAAGTTGGTGCTCAAGAAACATATCTGCCAACAAATCCAAGTTCCAAGGGGATGCTAAAGAGAGGCATGTGGGAGGGACCTTGTCCCTTTTAAGAGAACACTGGCTTTGGATGGGGCTGTGGGAACAGCCAGTCTGGGGTGGGTAGGGCACATACGTCATTCTCAGAGGTGCCACAGAGATTGCAGCACTTGCACTCGATGCACTGCCAGCGATAGGTCTTCACAGCCGCCATCATCACAGGGGTGAACTGGAGGCAGGATGGATGCCCTGTGGGAGGAGGAGAGTGAAACAGGTGGGTGGAAATTGGGGTAGGGGTGAGGGAGATGAGCTCTACAGTGCCGAAGTCAGCAGGCCAAAACAGAGCTTTGCACTGGCTAGGCAGGTACTCTACCGCTTAAGCCACACTCCAGCCCTAGTCCTCTCTTTGGGGATGGAGGTACCTGAGCGGCCACAGTCAGAACAGGATACCAGCTCCTCAGGCTGTCCGGTCTTCTTGTTGATCTTTGAATCCCCCAGGCAGAAGTCACAATAATTATTGGGCAGGGCCAATCCATCAGGACCCTTCTTGGCTACAGGGAGAAAGAAGAGTATTTTGATGATACTCATGGGGGTCCCTGGATCACTCAAACATCCCTGCAAGGAGGGGCTTTCATAACCAGGCCAGCCCCTCTCCTGCTTGACCTCCCCGACACCTCAGCTTACATTTCTGCTCTTCAGACCTCTGGGAAACAGGGGTGGGTGGCTGGGAGTCTTCCTTGTCCTCGCCCTCCTCCTCAGCCAGGTGGGAGTGGGCATAGTGGTAACTGAGGCCAGGTCGGTTCTTATAACGTTTTCCACAAACTGGGTGGAAGAAGATTGCAGAGAGAGGTGTTAGGATACAAGGGAACCACATTCCCACCCCTACAACTTGTGGGGCTCCAGTTGAGGAGACAACCACCCCTGCCCCCAGCAGCTCTGTTCTGGGACAGCCCTCCCCTCAGCCAGGAACCTCAGGCCCTAGGGCTCTCTAGCCTCTCTAAACCTTAACCCTGTGGTTACCACTACTCTTCTACATTGGCTTCTGGATGCACTCAGCCCTTGCTACAATCACCATTTGCCCTGGGGAGCTCCAGGTCAGGGAAGGGGAGGAAAGTCCTATGATCTTTTATTATGGTGGGAAGGGGAAAGGTAAGGAACAGACTCCAAACTCTTTTGATCCTCAGTAAATGCAGGAGGCTCATGTTACCCCAAACATACCACGAAGCAGCCAGGGCAGTTGGGCCCCCAAAGAAATTCAAATACTCAATGTCAGTGCCCTGCCCAACCCCCACCCCCACCCCTGCCAACCAGCAAGGAAAGCAGATTCCCGAGAGCACCTTGTAGCCTTGAGCAGTGACAGCAATGAGGGCAAAGGGCCAGCAGAAGGAATGAGGAGGATGGGAGGAGGAGGTGGCAGAATGGTGGGAATATTAACTGACCACCGAGTGCCTGAGTGGAGGAAGGGAGCAGATGTATCTGTTCATAATGGATTCCTTATAATGCTTTTGGAGTGACCCCATGCACTAGGCCGAGTGGCCCTAGGAATGGAACAAGCCTATGGGAGACAAGCAGTGGTAAAGGCAGCTGCTGGGACTCTGAGAAGTGGAGCACAACCACTGTTCTACAGCTCCTACCCCCATGCCATTCCAGAGATTTCAAAACTAGCATCACAGATGAGAAAGGCAGGAGGAGCAAGGGAGGAGGGAAAGGGATAGGAAAATCAAAAGTCTGAAAAGTTGAGAGAGCTACCTCTCTGGGGCGCTTTCGAGGTATGCTTTTGTTTGAAACTATCTGAAAGACAGAAAGAAAAGTCATGAGAAGGAGGCCTTGATACACTTGAGACGGGGCAGCAGCAGCAGGAAAGCGGAGCGAGGGAGAGAACCCCAGCAGCAATGGTGCTCCAGAGTAGAGGCACGGAGGTGGGGCGAGCCAAAGCAAAGGGAAAGAGAACAGACACTGAAAACCTCAGGCCAGCCCCGAGCTCTGGCTCAATGGACCAGCAGACCTGGATGCTGCCCACTGAGACGCCAACTCTGCCTGCTAGGAGACCCCCACTCCCCCCACCCCAGGGGACAGAGAAATCTCTCCCAAAGCATGCAGATCCCACCCCCATCATGAAGCGAAAGCCTGGGCCTCCCAGAGGTCTTAGAGGGAACCAGTCAGCAGGCAGGATGAGAGCCCAGGCTTGTTTTTACCACTCAGGGCAAAAACATGACCCTCCCTCCTCTCACATCCAGAGCAGGAGCTGGGTCCAAGGCAAGGACTACCCACCCACTCTTGAGGCACTCACTGTCACAGGCATACGGCTTGTCCCGGTCCTCCAGGATGGAAGCGTCCAACTTCTTCCGGGCACTGCCCACACCCTTACCCTGCCAAAAAGAGCAACAGACGCCCTTACTAAAGTGTCTGGCCCAGAGGAGCTAACACTCTCCTGGTAGTGGCTGCTAATCTTACTTGAGAAAGGCAACCACAAGAAATAAAACATCAGCATCCCTGAACCACCCTGCTCCATACTGCCAGCCCCATGTGCTGGCCTCTCACCTTGGATTTACCCTTGCCCCGACGCTTGGGAGTATCTTCTTCATAGTCCTCATCATCAAGGTCATCTAGGAAGTCATCTGGTTCAAGGATCCGCTGAGTAGGAAGGAGGATGAGAATGAGCAGGAATCCTGTGCGTCCAAAACTCCCTCATGATGGAATTAGCCAAGGCCACCCAGAACCTCCTCTGGGACCTGGTGCCATCCACACCATCTCATTCCTTACTCTACAATCCCTTCAATGGTTTCCTTCCTATGTGCATCTTTCATGCTGTTCCTTTGGCCTAGAACTCTTTTCCTTTATCTCCAAGTGATGAAATAAAATGTTCTGCCTTCCAGAAAGTTTTCCCTGATATTCCCAACAGTCATGTGCTGACCTGCCTGGGAGAACACTATTGGTGGTTCCTTTCAGACGTATCCTGGTATAAACAAGAGCCCTGTTGCTTACTATGTGACCTTATAGGTTTTTACAGTATGGGGGTTTGAAATCAAAACCTTTTGCTTGTTAGGCAGGTGTTCTACAACTTGAACCATATCCCCAGTGTGATGTTTTTAAACTGTTCTGCTTCAGCTTTTCAGCCTGTGAAACGGGGACCACAGGACCTACCTCAAAGGACAGGTTAAAGGGAAGTAGATGGAAAAACACTTAGCACAATACCCAGCACATCTTTAGCTCATCTTATTTTATTTATTTTTTAAATTTATTTAGGTAGTACTGGAGTTTGAACTCAGGGCTTCACACTTGCTAGACAGGCACTCTATCATATGACCTGCACCTCTAGCCCAGCTCTTCTTATTTTTAAATTTAGTGTTAGTCTCCCAGCTGGCAGAGACAAGGGCTGCTTCACTAAGTAACCCAGGCACCAAAAAACTTGTGTTAAAATTTTTTGTGCAGGGGCTGGTGGGTGGCTGAAGCAATAGAGTGCTTGCCTAGTGAGTGTGAATCCCTGAGTTGAAATCCCAGTACTACCAAAAAAGAGAAAAAGTTTGTGCAAAAGAGGATGAATGAGGGCCAGTACTACCAAAAAAGAGAAAAAGTTTGTGCAAAAGAGGATGAATGAGTGGGAAAGGCTGGGTGGCAGGAGGGAAGCTTATCAGCACTGGAACAGAACTGCAGGGGTTGTGTTGCCTCAGCTTCTGCTTCAGTTATTTTTTTATTTTTATTTTTTTGCAGTGCTGGAATTGGATACAGGACCTCATGAACGCCAGGCAAATGCTCCACTACTGATCTGCTTCAGTTCCGCTGAGTGAGCCCTCCATGAAGAAGAGACTAGTCTCCAGCAAAGCTCCTCCAGACATGGGGATAATCTCATACCTTCCGAGCTCGACTATTGGTCACAGGAAACTCGCCCAGGCTGTCATCATCAACACGGGGATCTGGGGCCCCTCGCTTCTCCAGTGGGTCAGTGCGTAACAGAGCTTCTAAACTGCTGCCATCCTGAGAGATGAGTCCCTCCTTCTTCAGGGTCTGGTCTGTGTCTACAACACAGTCAAGATGAAGCAAGACTCAGTAGGGCTAAAGTCCTGAGTGCACAAAGTGCAAGAGTCAACCAGTCAGCCACTGTCTTCCATTCTCTGGCTGTGCAGGAACCAAGACACCCTAATTCACTTGGCACTAGGAACTCAGCTCTTTACCTGATTCCCCTGAAAAGAGTTCTTTGAAGGAAGGAATATCTAATTCAATTTAGCATCTGTAAAATCTAGCACAGGGTGGTAATAACGAGTATTAAGCAGCCTTCCTGTTATGCAGCAGGCCATGCCCCTGATCAAGGAGGGGTACCTCTTACCTGGTTTAATAGATGGGAAAGAAAGCCGGGGATCCTCGGGTGGGTGGGCTCTCCGCTTTTTCCGCCAGCGCCGGGCAGGGTAGGAATACAACTGTCCAGAGGCCAATCCTGTGGATGGAAGAAAGAGCAGTTAAGCCCTAACCCCAGTCCTAGAAATAATACTGAACACTTTCTAGCCGGGTATGTTCCCTTGAGTTCTAGAACAAGGGAGGAATACTGAGAGCATAGCCCTGAGGGTTGGGTGGAATACTCTGTGGAAAAGAAAAATGGCTGTAAGCTTATGAACACACAGAGTTCTCCAGAAGCTGAATAATGGCCTCAACATGGCAGAAAACAAAAGTGCTGGTACAAAGCTGTCTGCTTCAATCTCCCCAGTTTCTAACTGCGGGGAACATCATATTCACCCACAGGTGAATTCATCCACCAAAGAGGAGGAAGAATGTTCTTCCTCCTTGTGCTCTTGAGTCTCCTTAACCCTAGGCTGTACTCTTACCTGGACCCCGGTGTCGCTTTTCCATCCAGATGTAACAGTTGCTTTGGGCTACTCCAGTCTGTGAGTCCAAGAAAGGCAGGCGCACACTGCGCTCAGCACAGAGGCGGGCATTGTAATTGTGGCACTGCTCCATGGCATCTTTGTAGTACTGCTCCCCAAGGCTGCAAAGCCGACAAAAAGCAGGGGTAATAGGGTGCCAAGGTATCCCTCTCCCCTGCCAACTGCTTCCCTAGAAGGCCCAGAGGACTAGGAGATTGTCTTTTTGGTTCTATGTGCCTCCATTTCTGTCTCATGGGACACGAATGCCCTTCACTAAGCTATCATGAGGAAACGCACTTCACAAATAAATTACCACGAGGAACACATGACTTCATCACATGTCTAATCAGATTTAAGTCTTAACCCACAAAGAGTGGGGTGCAGCTCAATAATAAGGCCCTTGCCTAGCAAGTGCAAGGCCCTGGGCTATCTCCAGTAGGCTCCCTGCACACCTCCCTCCAAAAAAAAAAAAAAGAGGGAGAGAAAACAATGTTCACTCGGTGCTTCTTATGTGCATGTGTCCAGCTCTGTGCTAGTTAACATGTTACTTTTCTTAACCCTCAAGACTGTGAACTGCTAATGTTAGCCCCTCTTACAAATAAGGAAAAGAGTTCACTGAAATCGAGGTGGGGGCTCATCAAAAGTTTTTTTTTTTTTTTTTTTTTTGTGGTACTGGGGATCAAACCCAGGGTCTCATGCATACTAGGCACTCAACAACTGAGTTACATTCCCAGTCCCCTTATCAAAAGGTTTTCAGCAAACCATAGTAGATCCAGCCAACAAAAAGTTATTTAGCCACTAAAAAAAAAAGGAAGTACCCCACATACTCATATCAAGCAACTCTGAAGATAATGAGGAAAAAAAAGTAAGCTACAATACTGAGAAATACCTCAAGATGTTACCATTATGTAACGAAGAAGTTGATAAGATTGTGCAGGCCTCCAAGAACAGAAACTCAAAGCTTATACTGAGTACCATTACTAACAGGAAACCTGTTTGTTCTAAGGCCTATTGCAGGCCTTTCCCTATTCTCACACAACCTGCTTATACAGAAAAGAATTGTCTTGGACTCAAAAGGCTCAATTTGAATGGTGGCGCACACCTGTAATCCCAGCACTTGAGAGGCAGAGGGAGAAGGATCAAAAGTTCCAGGCCAGCCAGGGCCACATAGTCAGATCCTGTCTCAAAAATCAGAAAGCAGAGGTTGGAAGTTCAAGGTCCAAGGTCTTCCTAGGCAAAAAAAGCATGCGAACCCATCTGAAAAACTAAAAGCAAAAGGACTGGAGGCATGGCTTACATGGTAGAGCACTTGCCTAGCAAGCGTTAAAGCCCTGAATTAAATCTCCTAAAAGACTCAATTTGAAATCTGAAGCAACAGTAAACACTTAAGTGCTTTGAAAAGTTGGAAAACTGGAGTCAGAAGTTATGGGGTTCTAAGAAGCACATACAATGAATCAATCTTGTTCTCATCCTTTAAGGTTTAATGAGTACTTTAGTAAGGGAGAAAACTAACTATAACAGTTCTTATTTATATGCAATGGATCTTTTTTTGTTGTTCTGGGGATTGAACCCAGGGCCTTTCACATGCTAGGCAAGTGCTCTACCACTGAGCTACACCCAAGCCCAATGTTCAGTCAACCTTCAAATGGACAAACTGGGGGTGGAGGTGATTTCTTTCCCATAGTATCCCCACTACCCATGCTGGATTTAGGAGAATAAAGACCTGGCTTGGAGTTGATGGATTAGTTCAAGTGGCAGAACACTTGCCTAGCAATCGAAGTGAATTCGAATCCCAGTACCACAAAAAAAAAAAAAGACCTGGCTTCACTGAAAGTCACCACACAAATATGGACATTGAGTGAACCTGTATGGATTTCTACAGATTGGGGAGGTTGAACTAGATAAAGTTTGACATGAGAAATGGAGAGGTCTCTGTAGCTTATATTGGGAACCTGAACTACACCAACAAACCCTGCTCTGGAATCTAACGGAGGTTTTACTGAGCAGCCACAATGGACCACTGCGTAGCTTAGCTTTGTTCCTAGCAAGTGAAACAGACACACACCACACACCGAGTTAGCAACACCACGAGTACACCCGGGTTTGTTCATTCAATGAGCTGTAATGACTGTAATTTGAGGTAGGCACAAATCTTGTGAGGAAGGACAGAGCGCAAAAGAGAGCAGGCTCACATTGGTTCGCCTTTAGGAGGCAGTCACGTCCTCATCACACAGGAAAATGGGATAAACAAGGCTGAGTGCAGCAGCTTCTTTGTTTCTGCTGATGGGAATTGATCCTGACACTGGAAGTCAAACGGAAGGAAGGGCCAGCCCAGCCCAAGCCTGAGCTGTGGGTAAGAGGGCTGGGAATAAGAGGGCTGGGAATGAAACACTGAGAGAGAGAGAAAGAGGGAGGGAGGGAGGGAGGGAGGGAGGGAGAGAGAGAGAAAGAGAGAGAGAGAGTAGAATCTGATGAGAGCAAGAGAGAACAAGAGAGTACTCTTATGAACTTAAGGCTTCTGTAGCAAGAAAGTTCAAGCTAAGCTGGGTGCCTGTAATCCTAGCTACACAGGTGGCAGGAATCAGGAAGATCGAGGTTTGAAGCCAGCCCAGGCAAATAGTTCACAAAACCCCATGTGGAAAAAACCCTTCATAAAAAAGGGCTGGTGAAGTGCCTCAAGGTGTAGGCTGAGTTCAAACCCTAGTACTGCTTAAAAAAAAAAGTTCAAGCTAACAGTATTCTCTACATCTTGTCACCTAACTCACAAAGTTTCCAAGCTAGTCAGCAGCCAAACTGTCACTGTTATTATTATTATTATTATTATTCTGTGGTACTGAAGTTTGAATTCAGGGACTCCCGCTTACTAGGCAGCGCTCTACCACTCGAGCCACGCCCCAGTCCCAGTCGTTTTAGCTAGTGTCTTACCTTAGTAAGATCCCTTACAGACTGTTTCAATTCTGAAATAATATTTGGGAGGCCCAGAGAATTTACAAACAGAAAAAAATTCTTCTCTCAGGAAAAGACGCAAGTCAGAAAAGAGGAGCTAGTATAGTCCTTCCTGACCTCAATGCATAATCTCTGCTGTCATAAGATTTAGGTAAACTATAATCAAGAGCAGTGCCAGAAAAAGAATGGTACAAGAATACAGGGAAAGTTCTCTAGAGGGATGTGTTAATTGTGGTCCACAGCCCTCTGCAGAAAGCTGTTTCTTACTACTGGTACTCAGGAAACTGGCTGGTGACTCTCAGAATTTTTATAGCTCTTTAAAGAGATGTGAGAAGTCATACTCTATTTAAATGGGCAACCTGTCATTTATAACACTACATCAAAGGCTTGGCAACCCCATTTTCCTGAAGGAAGTCTTTCAACATGAAGAACCTCATTATGTGTAACTCTCAAAACCTAGGCAAGTCCCACATTCCCCCACTACTTAAGATTTCCAGGGTAGAAGATTTGATTTCTTTCATCACCCATGAAACCTGTGTAAAACCTTCCCTTGCAATGGGATAGGGAAAGTCAACAAAGAGAGAGGCAGGAAAACAAAGAACCTCGGAGTCAGGAAGGACAACTATAAAATCAACAGCGTCATTTCTAAATTGAGGAAAATGTCAGCCTGAAGAGAGCTGGGGAAACTGGAGTGGGCAGATCAGAGAAAGATAATAGTGTTGGGAGGAGGGGTGGCAGAAGGCGGCAGCAGGATAGAGCAAAAAGCAAATAAAAGGGGGGGGGGAAGGCCACAAGAGGAGAAGGCACTTAGCTTAATGGAAGTGGGAAAGCGTTCTTGAAGAAAAGGGCTCCAGGCAGGGGAGAGAAGCAACTTGACCTTAAAAAGAAATGGCTCTTGGGGAGAGTGGGGCTCAGCCCACGACAAAGACAAATGAGAAGAATAAGTCGCTGAGAACAGATCCCAAACCTTTCCCTTGACATTCGGTCAAAAGCGAAAAGCCCTGACTGGACAGCTCTTAGTTTTCCAGCCCCATACAGCCATTAAAAGGTGCCTGTTCTGTTTGTCCACAGGGCATTACAGCCCCTTTTAAAACTCAGTGGGTCCTTCTTCAAGGAGGATGGAATACATCAAAGTCCCCAAATATCCCTAACTCATAGGAAGCGGTGACCGGCCAGTCCCCTTGTTCCCACGACCTGCTTGCTAGTTTGTACTGCTCTCGACATCGGACCAGCACAATGGGGTCTACAGAGTGCGGAGGAGGCCCACCTACTCGCTTCGGTGCGCTACTTGGCCGTCACGGACTCCTTCAGCCAAGTTCCCGGGTTCTGATGGCGCAAAGACCCACGCCCCTGAAGTTATTTCCCTTCTGTACCAGCACCTCAATCAAGTCTTCCCAAGAATATTTGTAGTCTTGGGCACCTGCTATCCAAGACCCCACCCCATAAAAAACGACGTCACCGGGTTTAGTTCTACACACGCAGGGCCTGCTGAAGCGGGTCGCTCCCGGGCCGGCTGCGGGCAGCGGGTGGGGAGGGGGGCGGCGGCCGCGCGCGGGGACCTCCGGGGGCCGCCCGGGCCTCGGCCCCGCTCTTCCGGACCGACGCGCCTCGGGAGAAGGGCCGGACCGCGAGTCTCTCCCGACACACCCGGGACACGATCGGCCCCGAGCAGCAGAGAGGCTGCGGGTCAGGGGCTCCCGTGTGCCCCCCTCAGGGCCTCCACAAGTTTCCAAAGAAGCGCAACGTCTTCTCCGGAGTCTCCTGCTGCCCTCCCGACTACGAGTCGCAACATCAACTTCCTGGGTATGTCCTTCTCTCCACTTTGTCTCTTCCCGCACCGCCCCTTATTTCCGGGTCCCTAACAAGACCTCACGGCCTGGGAAAGAAAGAAACGACCACTCACAGCTTCACTACATTCTCCACCACAGCCGCCATCTTCCCAGCTCCTCTCCCTCAGGTCGGGAGGCCCCGGAGCCCGCAGTGCGCAGACGCCGAGGCTGCCCAGGGCACCCGCTTCCTTGTCCCTCTGCGCACGCGCAGTTTGGGTGCGCGGGCACGCGCGAGCCCTGCAGAAAGAGCTTCGCGACTATTTGCCGCGGTCTAAAAGGAAAAGCGTGAGGAAGCCTAGGGGAGCCCAGCGCGCAAGCGCGAACGGAGACGCTCGTGCACCCGCTGCTCAGGCTCCAGCCCCGCCTCCATCTAGAAGTACGCGAGGAAAGAGGGCCTGACCTGGTGCAAAAGTGAGAAGGGAAAGGTTGGCGAAAAGTTGGGAGGCTGGGACACGGGCTGAAGGAAGTGCAGGGGTCCTGCCTAGCTGATCTTTAGTCACATTCATAGGTAGGAGGCTGATGGGTAGCTAAAGATAAGAGTGGTGCCCAACGCCTGTAGTTCTAGCTATTTGGGAACTGAGATCAGGAGGATCGAAGTTCGAGCCAGCTGGGGCAAATAGTTCGTGAAATCCCCATCTCCAAACCTGAGCAAAGTGGACTGGACTGGAGGTGTGGCTCAAGTGGTAGAGCACCTGCTTTCATACCCCAACACCACCAAAAAAAAAAAAAAAGTGGTGCCCAGTCCACTTGTGCTCCCAAATGCGTGCCCGTTTCAGAGAAAGGAAAGTGAACGCCCAAAACTAGGGTGTTCTTTGGCATGATCTGACAAAAGTTACCTTACTTTCTTGCCACTAAACGCAGCCTTCAAACTTCACTGGCACCCCACCTCTTCTGCCTCACTTCCCACTACTGTTTATGGCATTCCCTCCACTTGGGTTCTGAAGAATTTCTCTGGTATAACTATCTCTGTCTTTTCTGTGCCAGTCAGTTCTCCTTCGCTACTGAATCATGCAAATCCATGTGGAAACATGGTTTAATATCCCTTTTTGAAAAATCAAAGTACTTCCTTAAGCCCCTATCTCACCCTTCCCTTGGCACTCCATTTCTTTTCATTCTTTCAAAGCAGACTTTCTGTTTCCAAGTCTCTCTTCCACCCAGCTAAATGAAGATTTTGTTCATTTAGATCAGGTCCTACCAAAGTCACCACAGTCTCCATTTCAACAGATTTAGAGATCTGTCTCATGGGTCCTCATGACACCACTGACCATTACCTCCTGTCCTATGGTACTGGCAGTTCCCTCTGTTCAGCCTTGGTTAGAGTTCTCAGGACTTGCTCCCTGGTCCTTGTCATTTCCCTAGTATACCTTATTTCACCAATTCCAAGTGCACATATTTGCAACCCCCCCATTTTAATATTCCAGAATCAGGACACATCTGACCATCATGTACCTTAAAATTGTTTTGGGCAGGTGAGAGTTGTGAGATACTGGTCATTGCTAACCCTGTACCTATATGAAAACTTGCAACCTGGAAAAAAATCCAGAGACAATATTGGTGCACATTTTTATTCCAGGAAACCAGATGATTGGGGGGAGACCAAAGGTATCAGAGGTGACTGAAGGCAGGAATCAAAAGAATGATAGAGCCAGGCAATGGTGGTTCACGCCTGTAATCCTAGCTACTTGGGAGGAAGAGATCAGGAGGATCATGGTTCAAAGTTAGCCCCAGGCAAATACTTCAGGAGACCCTATACTGAAAATACCCAACACAAAAAAAGGCTGGTGGAGCAGCGCAAGTGGTAGACCGCCTGCTTTGCAAGCATTGAGTCCCTGAGTTCAAACCCCAGTACCGCCAAAAAAAAGAAAAAAAAGTATGATAGGGGCATCTGGAGATATGGCTTGCTCAACACAGGCCCTGAGTTCAAACTGAAGTAAAAAAAAAAAAAGACAGGTTTTGGGCTGTGTGCCATGGCATGCACCTGTCATCCCAGTTGTGCTTCTGAGAAGAGTCCAGGCTGGGGAACAAAGCAAGACCCTATCTCCAAAATAACCAGAACAAAAAGGGCTGGAGGTGCACTCAAGTGGTAGAGCACTTGCCTAACAAGTATGAGGTCCTGAGTTCAGTTCCAATACTGACCCCCCATTCCCCACCCCAAAAAAAGAGTATGAGCCCAGTGCCAGTGTTTTACACCTGTAACCTCGATACTCAGGAGGCAAAGATCAGGAGGATCATAGTTCAAAACCAGTCCCAGGAAAATAGTTCTCCAGACCCTATCTCAAAGAAGCCTATCACAAATAAGTGCTGGTGGAGTGGCTCAAGAGGTAGAGCATCTGCCTAGCAATCATGAGGCCCTGAGTTCAAACTCTAGTGCTGCCAAAAAACAAAAAGAAAGTATGATAGATCATCTAAGCCAGACACCATGGCACATGCCTGTAATCCCAACTACTCAGGAGTTGGAGGTAGGAGGTTTGAGGTTTCAGGCCAACCTGGGCAAGGTTAGCATGAGACCTTATATGAAAAACAAACTAAAACCAAAAGACCTGGGGCATGGCTCAAATAGTAGAGCACTGGCCTTGTAAGCACAAGGGCCTGAGTTCAAACTCCAGGCCTGAAAAGAAAAAAAAAAAAAGAAAAACTGGCATACTGAACATATACCCAACCTCTCAGCAAGTCCGTTCCTGGCATACACACCACAAAGCACTTGCAAGGATGTTCATAGCAGCATTATTTGGCTGCCACCTACTGCCCCTCAAGATTAGGACGTTACAGATCAAGGCCCTGGGTTCCATCCCTAGCACCAAAACCAGCAACATGAGAACAAGCTAGTACTATACAATAGCATGAATGAGTATCAAGAGCTTAATTAGTGAAGATACTTTAAACAAAAGATGCCAAATTCAAAAGAGGACATTGTATGACTCCATTCATGTAAAGTTATCAAAACACACACTAATTCATGAGGACAGAAGCTGGAGAGGGGACATAAAGTGGCTACTGAGGTATAAGGAATGTTCTTTTTCTTTATCTGGAGGTGGCACAGGTTTATTCTCTTGGTGAAAAATTAATGGAGCTACACAAGGATTGTGCAGTTCTCTGTATTTCGGTAGAAAGGTTGAATTTAAAATGTTAGTGATAAGTAGGCTTGTTCTATATAGTTGGAATGGCAGCTAATGAGCCTAGCATGGATAGTTTTCCATTCCTTTAGAATTCTTTTAAGAAATGCAGCCGGGTGTGGTGGCACATGCTGTAATCTCAGTACTCAGGAGGCTGAGGTGGGGGAAGATCACAAATTCAAGACCAGTCTGAGCTACATAGAAAGACCCTGTAGAAGGAAAGGAAGAGGAAGGTAGAGGGGAAAGAGAGAGAGAGAGAGAGAGAGAGAGAGAGAGAGAGAGAGAGAGAGAGAGAGAAAGAGATGGGAAGAAAGCAAGAAAAAGAAAGAAAAAAAAGAAACCAGCAACCACTATCTACAGTGTGTCTCTTATAGATAGGAACCAAGGAGTGGGAATAGGGGTGCTGCCTCTTGTAATCTCAGCTAATGACTCTATTGACTTTTTTGCAAAATGTTTGTTCTCTCTCTCTCTCTCTCTCTCTGGCAGTGTTGGGGTTTGAACTCAAGATCTTGTGCTTGCTAGGCAGGTGCTCTAGCAGTTGAACCATGCCCCGAGCGCACAAAATGTTTTCTGTCTGCGGCTTGGGACTGTGGCGGTTTAGAGCCTTTAGGGGCTGAGGGAGCAATGCTTCCACTAGGGGGCACAATGACTACTTCTCTAAATCATGAGCAGAAATTGTCACTGGTCCATTTTGTGCTCCACATGGTACTGAGTAAGAAAGTAAAAAGAGGGTCCCACTGTTGGCTGGGATGATTGATTCCAACTGTCAAGAGGAAATAGGATTGCTGTGACTCATTGCAGGGCAGGAGGAAATAAAATGAAACCCAGTGAATCCCCTAAGATGACCTTTCTTAATATTACATTACCAAGTTAGGGGGATACAGTCTTCCCCCTGAAGGCAAACTAAAAAACAGAGAAAGTGAAAAAGCAACTTAAAAAGCATTGAAAATCCAGTAATACAAGTGAAGTTACTGCACCATCTAGGAAGCTAGAACCTAGAGAGTAAACCCAGCATTCTTTTTAATAAAGAATCCTGGTGTTTGGCCAGGCGTGATGGCTCTCATCTGTAATCACAGCTACTTGGGAGGTGGAGGTTGGGAGAGGGAGATGGGTAGGATTGAGGTTCAAGGTGAGGCCAGGATAGAGTTTGAGAAATTCCATCTCAACCAATAAAAGCTGGCATGGTGGTGTTATCCCAAATAGGGATAACATAAAAAAGAAGCATAAATAGGAGGGTGGAATTCCAGGCTAGCTAGGACATAAATACAAGACACTATTCAAAAAATAACTAAAGCAGGTCTGGGGTGTGACTTAAGTGGTAAACTACCTGCCTAGCAAGCATGAGGCCCTGAGTTCAAGCCCTAGTACCACCAAAAAAACAAAAACAAAACTGACCTTTAATCATTCCCCCTTTTTTTTTTTCTTTTTTGGTGCTAGGGATTGAACCCAGGGCCTTGCACATGCTAGGCAAGTGCTCAACCAATGAGCTACTTCCTCAATGACCTTTCTAAAACCTGGCCTCATGTCATCTTGTCTTTCCTGCTGCAAATCCTTCAGCAGCTTCTTATTGCAAGTAGCAAGATTGTTTTCCACTGACACTAACCTATTTTTCAGCTTCACTGTCCTGAGTCCCAGGTTCTTTTGTTACATGTCATAATCATTTTAAATCTTCCATGTGGAAATGAATCAAAGTTACCTGCAATTTTTTCAGCCATCCTGTAAGGGAGGTATCATTGATTCTGGTTAGAGATGGGGAAACTGAGTCTCATGCAGACTAGGTACAACTCAGAGGTCCATGCTCTTTCTGCTACATGGTGGCTCCTCTCTGCCATTCACTTTGTGCTTCAGTGCCAGTGCCTTTCCTTACACATGAGATCTGTTAACTCAGGTCTGGCTCAGAATCACATCTGGTCACCCAAGTGTGCACTAGACACTCAGGCAATTAGGCACCCCAGTCATTCCAGATCACGTTGTTTTCTTCAATGCTGGATTTAATATCTTTATCCCCACTAGAATGTTAGCTCCAACAGAGCAGGGATCACATCTGCCTTGGATTCCCTGTGCCCGGAGCTATGCAGAGGAGACCGCAGAAGCTTAAACAGACAGCACAGATGGTCAAGTCCACCAACCAGCATTGTTGTGTTATCCCCACCCCCACCCATCTCTACTTTCCTCATGATCCCCTGGTCCTCTGAAGCTAGAGAAGCTGTTGGTCCCTTGCACAAGGCTGTGGTTATTCTTTCACTCTTGGGTCTCCCCTGACAGACCCCAGTCAGCTGGGATTGGGCCCAAGCTTGGCTACTTCTTGCCACACACCTGAATCAACATCCAAATATCCAGGATTGATACTTGATTTGCTCCTCCTTCATTCTCACCATGGGCTCAGAATCAGGTACAGCTCTCCTAAATATAGGGCCTGCCCTGCCCCAAGCCCTCTGAGATGGGTTCTCCCCAACGTAAACCCAGAGCTCCCAAGATGGCTGACCTTTGGTGAAACCTGGGACAAAGGTACAGGATACTCAGCCACCCTCAGCAGCATGTTTTATTGCAACCAGAATCTCCTGGTCATGTGAGGAGGAGGATAGGGGCAGGGCACAAGGCAGGACACTGCTGGTCCCAGTCCGGGACACAAAGCCAGAGGTCCAGAACACCCTGCCTTTTCCCCTGCCTTCCAATTAGGACATCGAGTGGGGCTGAGGCAGAGGGGAGGTGGACAGGGGGGGTCTATTTCAGCAGAGCCTTCCCCCAAGGGACCTGCAGGAAAGGGGGCAGTTGGCAGTGGGAGTCCAGGTGACCGGAGATGCTCAGAGTGCTGTGGGCTGACTTCGGTGGAAACCACTGAGGTACACTGTGCCCGCAGGGAGAGGAGAGGGGAGGGAAACAAAGGCTCAAAGTGAGAATCTCTGGCCAGCACCCACGAATGGGACCTAGAATCCCAACTCCTGGGCCAGGGTTGTGTCCACATCCTGCCTCCCAGTGTCACCCCAGCCCAGGTGCCCCGCCTGGTCAGCCAACTGTCCTATGTGGGAATCTGCACTCGGTCCAGGTCCTGATCCATGATCTGAAGGACGTCATCCAGGATGGAGGGCCCCAGGTCCACATGCAGGGACAGCAGGGAGCTGGCATGGGACAGGAAGGGCTCCTCAGCCCCTGACTCTGGGGTCAGCCCATTGTGGGGTGAGCCAGCCTCTGGAATCCTCCAGATGTCCACATTTCCTGCCTCCTGTGGTGAAGGCTGGGGGGAAGACTGAGGAGTCTCCAGGTGCAGGCGAGGGGGCTTGGGTGGGGCCTGGGCTGTGGGTAAGGTGAGGGCCTGGGGCCCCCCGATGACAGGGAGAGAGATGGCATTCTTGAGCAAAGGCGACAGCCCATCCGGGTGCTCCCGCCCACACATCGTGGCTGTTCGGGTGAACTGGAAGGGGAGATCGAAACTGCCTTCCTCCTCAGACTCCTCCACTGATGTTCCTGGCAGAAGATGGAACTTGCCCTGCAAGAAGGAGATGTCCCCAAACATGTCATCACCGCCCCCACTGCCGATATGAATGGTGTGTCGGAAGTCCCCAAGCGGTGGGCTGATCATGTCCGAGGACAGCAGGTCCCGCAGCTTTTCCTTCTTGCCCTTGCGGTTGCTACGCTTCAGATAGATTGGGACCTTGGTGGACATGGTGACCTCAGCACCCAGGCCTGGCTGCCCAGCCCACGGCTCACACTGCTTCTTTTCAACACCCTCAGCCCAAAACACTGGCTCCACAGGGCGGGTTTTCAGATGCCAAAACTTGCCAAAGGGATAAAGACTAGAGTGTGGGATGTGGTCAGAGTTCGCCCAAGGAATTAGGAAAGGAAGACGAAAGGCCAATGAAATCAGCACTGAGATAACAAAAGTCACTTTCTCTGTAAAGGGTTGAAAATTCTTTTCAGAGAATCGGAGGCAGAAAGGTGGAGACCTTGTCAGCAGCAATGCACTTTAGTCTTGGTCCCAAGATTCTCCCCTGGTCCAGGGCCGAGGAGCTGAAACACAAAGGGGACATGTAAGTCGGGACAAGAGGCTCAGTCACAGGTAGCCATCTCATTTCTGGTTCCCTTGCATCAGCCCTGGGAACCCAGTTGGAGCCACTGTCATTTGCAGGAGGCTGCTGCAAGAAGTTTTTTCTCTCTCTCTCTTTTTTTTTTTTTTTTGCGGTGCTGGGGTTTGAACTCAGAGGCCTACTCCTTGAGCCACTCCACCAGCCCTTTTTCTGTGATGGGTTTTTTGGAGCTAGGGTCTCATGAACTATTTACTCAGGGCTGGCTTCAAACCGTGATCCTCTTGATCTCTGCCTCCTGAGTAGCTAGGATTATAGGCGTGAGCCACTGGTGCCCGGCAAGAAACGTTTTTCTTTTTGTGGTCCTAGGGTTTGAACCCAAAGCCTTGGGCATGCTAAGCAAGCACTCTACCACCTGAGCCACACTCTACTCCTTGTATTTTGTTTTTGAGACAGAGTCTCACTAATTTTGCTTGGGCTGACCTTGAACTCACAATCCTCCTGTCTCAACCTTCTGAGTAGCTGGCATTACAGATATGCACCATGACACCCAGCTAAGAAGCATGTCTTCATAGACCCACTGAGTCTTACGGAGTAGCCTACCTGCACTCAGCCCCTCCCTGTATATGAGGGGAAACTGAGGTCTGGAATCTGAGTGACAGGCCCGAAGACACCTACAAAGTCCTGCTGTGGTCTGTTGCTCTGGGTTTCTGGCTCTGCACATCATCCCTGTGCAGGTACTCAGTCCCTACCCTGACCTTGGCCAACAGTGCTGAACAGCCGACATCACTCACTGGGTCTAATCACATCCCACATAGAGGTGAGGCCCCCTTCCGAGAGTCTTCCTGTCCTCTCCCGGAGTTAGGAGCCTCCTTATGGGCAGAGTCTGAATCCAATACTATTTCTGACCCTCCTCCCTGCTCCAATACTAAAGGGAAGATAGAATGGGGAGTGCAAATATTTGTAGGGGTGTTCTGTACTTGCATTCTTGAGTCCTTTGCAAACACATCTCAATTAATCTTCCTACTACCATCCTCATTTAAAAATTAGAGGCACCATGCTGGGTGCTAGTGGCTCACGCCTATAATCCTAGCTACTTGGGAGGCTGAGATCAGGAAGATTGAGGTTCGAGGCCAGCCCAGGCAACCAGTTTGTGAAGACCACCCCCATCTCCAAAATAACCAGAGCAAAATGGTCTGGAGGTATGGCTCAAGCGGTAGAATGCCTACTTTGCAAGCACAAAACCCTGAGTTCAAACCCCAATCCCATTAAAAAAATAATAAATAAAAATTTTAAAATTAGCCAGGCACTGGTGGCTCATGCCTGTAACCCTAGCAGAGATCAGGAGGATCATGGTTCGAAGCCAGCCCAGGCAAATAGTTTGCGAGACCCTATCTTGAAAAAAACTTTTCACAAAAAAAAAAAAAAAAAAAAAAGGACTGGTGGAGTGGCTCAAGTGAAGGTGTGTTTGCTCAAATGCTGATGGTGGTTATCTCAAGGTAGTGGACTTTCAGGTTGACTTTTCTCTTGTTTTTTGAGGTGCTGGGGATTGAATCCAGGGCCCCATGCATGCTAGGCAAGCTTTCTATTACTGAGATTCACCCCAGCCACCAACTTCTAAATACTAATCATGTATTATTTATATGACATATTTATGTAGTCAAAGAAGAACGAAGTTTTTTTTTTTTTTTTTTAATTTGGAGATAGGGTCTCTCAAACTATTTGCCCAGGCTGGCCTTGAACCTCTGTCCTCCTGATCTCTGTCTCCAAAGTAGCTAGGATTGCAGGCGTGAGCCACCAGGGCCTGGACAAAGCTATTTTTAATGTGGAAAAAAATAAATGTACTACAAACGGGTGTCATACTGGTCACAGAAAGGAAACGAGCAAATATGCCCTCTGCTTCCTGGGGAGGAGGAGGGAGTGAATGGTGGATCTAACTGGCCTCCTGCAGACACATTCAAGCCCACGTGCAGCATCAGCATGAAAGGCAGAGAGAGAAATCTGTCCAAGGTCATCCAGAAGGTAAAGGCAGGGTCAGGATTCAAGGCAGAGGAGCCCCCTCTCTCCCATTATTCTTACCCCCAACCCCCCGGACAGCTGGGTCTGAGCAAAGGAGGCCTCTGTCAGTTCCTCTGCCTGGGTCTCCATCCCGGGGCAGACCGAGGGTGAGCAGGAAGGGTAGGAAGGGCAGGAAGGAGGATGCAGAGTCCCCCTCCTCCAGCACAGGCCCTCACTCAGGAAACCCCACCCTAGGGCCGGACACCCCAGGTCAGTCATGCTGAGCCACAGTGCCCAGACATCTTGTTTCTCCAGAGCACCTGCAGCTCACAGGAAACAAAGGAAAGACTCTCTAGTGGCAGGTTCCAGCTAAGCCTGGAGGAGCTGCGGGGAGAGGAGGCTGGGAGCTCCCTGAGGTTTTGAAATCCCATCATTCATTCATTCTGTGACCACTGCCAGGTCCAAGGGGGCATGCTGACAATATCCAATCTATCCCCTCCCTCGGGTGAGAAGCACCACGGTAGCTTTTCCTTCCTTTCTGTTCATGGAGAGGAGTGGACTGGTGGGATTTGCCCAGAGCCTGGGCCAGGTCCTCCCCTAACCCCCGCCCCATCACGCTAGAGCGCCAAGACAGCTTGAATGTTTCCACAGCAATTTGGGCGTCCCTGACAGCTGTCTCACTCAGAGCCAGATGTATCCACCCAATCCCAGATGTGGGGAGAACCGAGGCTAAGGGGAAGGGTGGAGCCAGCATCCGCTGCCCAGGAGAGGGCTGGGAATTACAACCAGCAAGCCCCAAAATATTCACATTTGGCAACTGCAAGGACCCCTGAGCTCCAGCCTGCCATGCAGCTTCCTGCAATAATGTTCCCAGCCTACTTGGGGTACATGTCATAACCTCCCTGGACAGAGGCTGCAGCTGAACCTAGGAGATGTTACGGAACTTTGCCAAGGTCATCCAGCTAGCAAGAGCAAGCAGTGGTACCTAGTTTAGACCATGTGGCTGTAAGGCAGTGGGCCTCACCATCCCGGACAGTAGGAAAGAAACCACCCCTATCCCCAGGACGCCTCCATCTAGTCCTAATTCTTGGGTGCCTCTTCCCCCAACTTGCAAGCGTCCAGAGATATGAGAGTGAGCTCTCATTAGGACAAAGCTGTGTTGAGTGGAAAGGGTGGTTTCCCACAATATTGGGAGGAGCAGAGGAGTAGCAGATGGGAGCCATCCCAGCTTTCTGGGCTGCCCTGGACAGAAGCCCTGGGCCTCTCTCAAAAAAAAAAATGACTTCTGGAGAAGGGGCAAGGACACTCCCCACTAGGGATGCTCAAGGGACAGCCCCCTGACTTTGAAATCAAGAGAGTGACTTTGAATTCAGCCCCATCTGGAACCCTGTGACCTTGAGCAAGAAAGACACCTCTCCTCTCTAGGTCTCGCCTTCCCCATCTACAAAATGGGCTAACAATAAATTATCCATGGTATACTGTAGTTAAGAGTGCCACTGCACAACAGATGGGGTCAATGGTCACTGTCAGTTCTGTCAAATGAATTCATCAAATATCTGCAAGGCCTGTTCAAGCATTTTGGTTCTCTAGGACAGTGCTCAGAAAAAGAACAAAAACGAACCGCCCCTGACCCCAGGTGTTCGCCTCTTCTTGCCTGCCTGGATGTGGCCAGTGCGGAGTCTCCCGGGGACCTGGTGCTGACCTGCGTCCGGTCCCGCAGCCACTAGGTGACGCGCGCGTCCCCCGCTATCGCCCCGCGTTCCAGAGGAGTCCAGACCAACCCCGGTCTCCAATGTCCTCGGGCTCCAGGCAGGAGCCTTCCCAGGAGCTGCGAGTACCAGATGCAAATGTCCACGGGGTCTTTTTTTCTTTGTCGCACACTCAGACAATCAGAGAGAAAGGGAGCAATTGGGGACCCTGCCCCCGTCTCCAAGCTCTGGGAGGAACCTCCTCCGTGCTTCCTGGCCTGGGCGATGTCCGAGTGTCCGCTCGGCTCGGGGCCAGAGCTCGGACGTGCTGGACCCCGCCCCTCCCTGGGGTCCGGCTCCTCAGTCCGGGCTCGGGTTCCGGCGCCGACCCCTCCCCGTCCCTTGCCCGGGAACAGCTAGTCCAGTCCGGATCCTTTTCAGGACACTGCAGCCACAGCTAAAGATAGGAGAACACCTCACTATCAGCTAAAAATACGGCCCGCAAGCCCGGCGGGGACACTAGGCGGAGGGAGGACGCTCCCTAGTCCCGAGGGTGGGGCGCGGGCTCCTGCACAGAATGGAGCTCTGGGTAGGGTAGCGCAGCACCCGCCGACCGCAAGGGTCACGGGCGGGGCTGTGGGGACCGAGGCGCGGGCGGGAAACCCCACGGAACCCAAGGAGCCCGGGAAACGACCTGCGCGGAGGTGAGGCCGGGGCCCGGGGGCAAGCTGGGACAGGGCGCCACCGCGATGGGCCTTTCAGGGGGCCCAGCGGAGGCGCGGACGAACGGCAAAATCCCGGCTCGAACTCACCGTGAGACGCGCAGGCGGCCGACCCGCGGGCGGCGATAGCTCCGGAGCAGGACTGCGCGGCTATGGGACGCGACCCGGGCCGTGAACTTACTGTGCGGCCCGTGGCCCTGAAGCCCCGCCCCCGGCCCGCGGAGCCAATGACAAGGCCTCCCGGCTCAGGCCCCTCCCACCCGGGAGCTGCCCAGACTCCCCCTTTGCAGAGGCCCGCTGCTGGGGTCCAGCAGCCGAGCGCGCTCGGGAGTCCATCCTACTCCTGGCAGCCTGATTGCACCGGGGTGGACTGCATGGATTCCACCTGTGCCCGTTGGCGTCCCAACCCTCCGCTCTTAGAAGCTCCGGGACGGTGGCAAGCGGAAGACCGAATTCTTCAAAATTCGCTTGAGCGTCCTTGGACCCGTTCCTTCCCTTGAGGGCTCGATCTGGGGAGGCGCCAGCACAAGTATATTCAGTGACTAGTACGGCAGTGAATGGGGCCTTGGAGGCGTCTACGTCAAAAGCTTACAAATTTATAAGCGCTTTGAAGATCTTACCCTTCCCTGGAAGGGGGCGGGGAGATAAGAAGGAGGGCAGGCTCTGCAGCCTGGACACACCTGTATTTGCTGTCCAGCTTGGTGGCTCCAGGAGAAGAGGTGCGGCTCCTACTCAGTCATTCATTCATGCAGTACTACAGTACCGGAAACTTTTATCGAAGGGCAGGCACTGCACAGGATGCTGGAGATAAGCTATGGGGGAATTTTCCTTGCTCCATTCATTGATTCAACTAAGGCTAAGCACCGCTGTTCTTGTCGCTGGGGATTTTCATACTCCTCTGGATTGGGACCCACAGCCCACTGAAGGGAAATGCAAAAATCTAAGGTTCCAGGCGCATCACGACACCCTTTCAGGTGGGTAACTGCTAAACAGTGAGGCAAAGAAAGAGGTGGATAGTGACCAGATGAGGGGAACCTCGTTTTTCAGAAAGTGACAGCCAGAATGTTTGGCTTCCATACTGTAAATGTGGGAAGGGCCCTTAAGGAGATGGGGCCAGGAAGGCATTTTACAAGCGGGAAGGGTGCTGGGGGTGGGGGAGATGTCAGCCAAGATTGGAGGGGAAGATGGAAAGAAGGATCGTTAATGATGCCCCCTAAAGATGTCTGTGTTCTAATCTTGGGAACATAGGAATGCTTTGATACATGGAAAGAGGGAGTTTTGATTGCCAGTGGAATTACAGTTGCTAATCAATAAACTTTTTTTTCATCTTTCTTTTTAGATAGAGCCTTACTATGTTGTCAGGATAATTTTTTTTTTTTTTTTTTTTTGGTGGGAATGGTTTTGAACTAAGGGCTTCACACTTGCAAAGCAGGTGCTCTATTGCTTGAGCCATTTTGCTCTGGTTATTTTGCAGATGGGATCTTGCCCAGGCTGACTTTGAATCTTGATCTTCCTCATCTCAGCCTCCCAAGTAGCTAAGATTACACGTGTGAGCCACCTGCAATTAGCCCAGATGTCAGGCTAATTTTGAGCTCCTGGGGTCAAGCTATCCTCCTGTCTCAGCCTCCCAAAAAGCTGGGATTATAGGTTTAGGTGTGCGTCCAGCATGCCTTGCTCACTTGACGTTAGAGAAATTATCCTGAATCATCTGAGTGGCCCAGTTAAATAATAAGGGCCCTTTAAAAGTAGAAGAGAATACAGAAGGGGAGAATCAAAGAGTCATGGTTATGAAAAAAAGGTCAGCTGTTGTTATGAAACAGGGCTGTGCTGCTGTTTCCAAAGATGGAGGGAAGGGGCCACAAGCCATGGAATTTTGTACCCTCTAGAAGCTGGAAAAGAGAAGGAAATAGCTCCTCCCCTGGAGCCTCCAGAAAGAACACAGCCTTGCTGACACCTTGATTTCAACCCAGTGCAACGTGTGTTGGACTTCTGACTTGTAGAACACAAGATAATGAATTTGTGTTATTTCAAGCCACCAAGGTCATGTTGATTGGTTCTGGCAGCCATGGAAAATAAATACACGGAAGTTTCGGGTTTTATTCTTGAGCCTGCTCTATTCCTTCCTCAGTTATCCAGGGATAGGTCAGGTGGATTCTGCCAGGACTGGTCTGCTGGCTTGGAGGAAAACTGAGGGCTGAACAGTCCAGGAAGAGGGGATGCTGGTCCCGGGCCAACTTGTGGTGTGGGTGGGTGCTGTCGTTTGAATGTGTTCCCCAAAAGGCATGTGTTGGAAATGTAATCCCCACTGCAGGTGTTGGGAGGTGGGGCCTAATGGAAGATGTTTAGGTTGTGAGGGCTCCTCCTTCATGACTGGATTAGTACTGGTTATAAAAAAGCTTAAGCTGTTCAAGGCCAGCCTGGGCAAGTAGTTCACAAGACCCTATCTCCAAAATAACCAGAGCAAAATGAACTGGAGGTGTGGCTCACCATAGAGCACCTGCTTTGCAAGTGCAAAGTACTGAGTTTAAACCCCATCTCAAGCCTGGTGCCGTGGCTCATGCCTGTGATCCTAGACTCAGGAGGCAGAGATCAGGGGGATCATGGTTTGAAGCCAGCCCAGGCAAATAGACCACGAGACCCTATTTTGAAAAAATTCATCACAAAAAGGGCTGGTGAGTGGCTCAAGGTATAGAACCTAAGTTCAAGCCCCAGTACCACAAAAAAAAAAAATCAAACCCAGTCTCATTAATAAAACTAAATAAATGTACTTGAGACTGTGAGTTCAATCTCTTGTACATGTATTTCCCCCTCTGTCTCTGTCTCTCTCTCCTCCCTCGCTCTGCAACCCCATTGCTCTTCTCTCTTCTGCCACCAATGAAGCAACAAAAGACCCTCACTGAATGCCAACACCGTACTCTTAGATATCCCAGCTTCCAACCCTGAGCCAAATACGTTTCTGCTCATTATAAATTACTCACCTGAGGCATTGTGTTATAGCAGCAGCGCACAGATTAAGGTTATGGGTAAGAGGTGTTCCTCTCCCTCCTTTTGCCACCAGGCTTTGCTAGGTATCCACCCCCTCCAGACTCACCTGTGCCCTTACCATTTGCCTCTTCTCCCTGAATTCTTGTTGGCCTGGTAAGGTGGTCAGAGCCAGAATCAGTACTCCCATTTTACAGACATGGAAACTAAGATTTCAGGCTGATTTGGTCACCCTGAAAGTGGCAGGACACCCCTCCCCTCAGGTTTCTCAGGGATTGCCACCCCATCTCTCCCTCCCCTAACACCAGAGTCCTGGGAGAGGAGGTACAGCAATGTGCCCTGAGCTATGGCCTTTGAGCCATCACCAGTTTCTGAGCTGGCTCTGACACTGACTGGCTCTGTGGCCCTGGGCAAAGGTCCTTTCTGAGACTCCTTGCTTGTAAAATGGGGGTGAGGGTGGAACTCAGATTACATGATCCCAAACAAGCTGAGGAGCCCACTAGAGCTCTGTTGATTGGACAAACCCTATCCTGCAGGCAGGATGATTTCATAAGTACACAGAGAGTTTTGGGGGGCAGCGAGCTGGCCTACCCAGAACAACTATAATGATGGAGCCACCTGAACCAGCAGGAGCGGCTGAGGTGAAGCCAGACCCACTGCCCATCTGCTAAGTGTCCTCCTTCAGAAGTGGGAGCAGGTGGGAAGGGATATGAGCTCCATTCAGAGCTGGCAACAAAGCAGAAAGTTCCGATTTGAGAGGCACAAGCTCTTACCTAAGGCCACACAGCCAGGAACCAACTCAGAGCTCTTTACAGAAGTTCTGGGATAGGTCAGTAATGGGGGCCCCTGGAGGGAAGATAGAGAGCCCTGCAGCCCCCTGTCTGGTCCTGGCTTCTGCTCTCCTCAGCCTGGCTCCAAACCAGGACTGGAGTCACCATCTGTGCTCTGCAGAATGTTTTCAGACCCTCTGGGTGTGACAAGATTCTGCCAGTGCTGGCTCTGTTTCCCTTAATCCTGGGAGCATTCCTGCCATCATCTGGATCAGGGTGCTGCCCAACTTCACCTCCAGGAGTGGTTTGGTCTGGTTCTGGGTGCTGCCCTTTTCAAGTGCTCAGGGAAGGCACTTCCTTCTTCCTTTCACAGGTGAGGTTGTTGCTTGGCTGGGGCTGAGAGCCCGCAGCCCCTTCTGGTCCTGGCCTTCTGCCTCCTCAGCCTGGCTCCAAACCAGGAACTGGAGTCACATCTGTGCCTCTGCAGAATGTTTTCAGCTCCTCTGGTGTGACAAGCTTCTGCCCGGTGCTGGCTCTGTTTCCCTTAATCATGGGGCTTCCTGCCTCTCTGGATCAGGGTGCTGCCCAACTTCACCTCCAGGATGGTTTGGTCTGGTTTGGGTTGCTGCCATTTCAAGTGCCAGGGAGGCACTTCTCTTCCTTTCACGTCCATGTGCTTCCCGAAGCTGCGCGCTCGTCGAAGAGGACGACCATCCCCATAGAGGAGGACCGTTCTTCGGTCAAGGGTATACGAGTAGCTGCGCTCCCCTGCTAGAACCTCCAAACAAGCTCTCAGTTTACTAAAACTGGCTTTTTTTACATAACGTCTCAGGTAAGGACCTGGGTGCATGTAGCTGTGAGGCTGGGATAACCTGAGTGTTGGGGTTGGCCAGAGTAGCCTGTATTTCTAACCCAAGAGACACTCAGGCAAGTGCCCTTCCAGCTTGAACCCTGTGTCTAGGACTGAGGGCTCAGCAGAGTCCTGGACCGTCTCCTCTGGGAGGGGGCAGGACCCAGACAGCCACTTGGGAGGGGCAGGACATGTCCTGATGGAGACATTGGAATGGGGTCTTGCTGGTGCTGGTGGCTCATACCTGTAATCCTAGTTACTCAGGATGCAGAGAGCAGGAGGATCATGGTTCGAAGCCAGCCTGGGCAAATAGTTTGCAAGACCCTATCTCGAAAAAATCCTATCACAAAAAATTGGGCTGGTGGAGTGGCTCAAGGTGAAGGCCCTGAGTTCAAGCCCCAGTACCACAAAAACAAGGATGGGGTCTTCAGCTTTCTTCTCATCCCAGAGCCTCTCTGGCCCTAGGATGGGTCCAGCAGGTCCCACACCAGCCCTACAACTGCCTCCCCTACTGTGACAGCCACATGGGGATTGACTCAGCCCTTCTTTCCTCTC